GCACACGGTGTTGTACATACTCAGATTGGAGAAGGTATCGCAGGTCAAGGAAGAAGTGGTAGAGACGTCTGTTTGTAACTGAGCCAGCATCAAATGCCAGCGTGGCGTTGGGGTTGACGGATTGTGGTTCACCGACTTGTCTCGTGGTCAAGAAGGTATACAGGATAGACATGACTTTAGTGAGGAAGTTGCCTCGCACGACAATCTCTTCCGTGATGGAAGGAGTGGTGAGAAGCTGCAATGAAAGGTTGACAATCGAGTGGTCAGGCTCTCGGTCCGCGATGAGGTACAGTTGGGCCAGAGCCGTGTACAATGCAGACAAACGAAGACCCATAATGCGCTTGAACTGAGGAACATTGACAACAGTGCTAATGTAGAGATCACGCAAGTCGGTTCGTGTCTTCTTCCACAACCTCAAGTCATAGAGCACCATCCAGTCTAGGCGAGTACGCTGCCACAAGTCTTCATACGGAGGTGCTTTTTCACCTGGACCGGGAATTGGCGGCCGAACTTGCCAGTGACTGTCTGTGTTGGAAGGCCTTTGCCGATGCGAACCAGGAGTCTTGGGAATGGGGATATAGCCAGTAGGGGCGGATTCAGGACCTGGACTCTGAGATGCAGATGGGCCTCGTTCGGCAGAGGGCCGTTCTGCGGTTTGAGCCGGTGCCGGTCGAGGAGGTGGCGGCTGAGTGCCCGTCAGTCCGGCGAGAATGCGTTCTGCTAGAGCAAGTTCCTCATCTGCACCTGCCAAGACCATATCTTCATCTTCTTCCTGGTCACGAGAGAGTTCGATGTCCATTTCGTCGTCATCTTCATCATCAGCATCGTGTGCCTCGACGTAGTCTTCGTCTTCATCTTCGTCTATACCATCTTCATCAAGCATGTCGTCCTCGTCCTCGTCAGCGGTCAAGATGACCTGACCATGGTTAGGCAAATTGATCATGAGCGTACGACCTGGAAGGTTCTCAGTCCGCTGGTGATCGTCAATGCCCTTCATGCCAATATCTTCGTTGTATCCCCCGCTGCCCTTCTTCCAGGGCGTAAGCATCTCCTCACAGATGATTTGTCTGAAAATCTCATTGTCCTCGAGGATTTCACAGCCGGCAATATCAGCCAACCACTCCACTATCGTTGTGCACATTTGCTCGCGGAAAGTGTCGCGGGCAGAGCGCACCGTGACGGTAACCTTGATCTCCTCGATAATTTTCGAAACACCTAAGAGTCTGTTCAGGTCCTTCGAATACTTTATCACACTGCGGCCCATATCGTTTGTTTCATGAGCCCGCGCAAGGCCAAAGCTATCTCGTTCGCGACAAGCACGGGTAACCTGATGAGAAACATCGCGAATTGTATGTTTCTCATCGTTCCACAGCATTACCGCAAATTCCGGCTCTTCTTCCTCTTCGTCGCCAGCGCCGTACCAGTCCGGACGCAACCGAGAGGCCTCCTCATCTTGCCTGATGCCCTCGACGGTCTTCGGCAGCCGCAATTGCTCCGGGGAGCAAAGATAACATCGCAGAAGTAGTCGAGTGCACGGGATATAGTCAAGCGGATTGAATCCACAAGCTCAGAAGGCAATGGCCGCTGCGCCCGTTTACCCTTGGCATCACCACTATCGGTATGGATTGCGCAAAACAGCGGAAGGCGCCATGCCTCGTCATCACCACAATCACAGCAGCCACAGTTTCCGGAGGAAAGCGAAATCTGATATTGATGTCCGGTGTGATCCGATGAGTCGAAACATCGACTGCACAACACGCACGTATCATCCGCGGCACAGGTCACGCATCGGTATGTGGCTTCCCCAGCACGGAAGATATGACCGCAGCGCTTGCCCCTCGCTGCCTCGCTGTACTCAGCTCCTTCCCGGGCACCTTGAGCCTCCGCCAGTTTCCATGGCCCAGCCGGAGTTCCTTCTGGGAACAGCTGTTGTAGTAGATCTGTGTTGTGTCCGACAAGCGATCGGAAAAGAAGCTCTAGCAGGTCCTTCTCGGCAGCGGGCCCATAGCGGAAATTGTGTTTTTTGGGCAAACGGAGAAGACCATCACCGAGCAGCTTCTCACATTCCCCGAGCATGAGCATGGTTTGTCGTTGTGGCCGGGCTATCGTAGCGGCCGCTCGGGCTATCACAAGTGGGTGATGGAACGGAGCGCCGTTGTCGCGACAATGCGCTCAAGGTAGTAATGGTCCGAAGCAGGTGGTTTCTTCGCTGGTATGCAGGCGGAAAAGAAATTTTCAAGTGAGAGTTCAAAAGATCGGTACGGATCGAGTCGATAAGGTTCTCAGATGTAGTTCACGTTGCTCACACACTAATACTTTGTGGTGGGGGGAAGGTGAGAGCAACGGGTGAAGGTGGACCAATGCAGGCGAGCAGATCAGCACAGAGACGGTGAAGTCATACGCGGTTAAAATTCGAACGTGGAGCTCAAAGGTCCAAAAGAACAAAAAAGGAAAGCAAGAAATCAAATAGGTATCGTTTGTAGAGACCGGAAGGTAACATATTTCGCTATGACATCGATGGAACCGGTCTCTCAGTAAAACGCCACATCCACGGCCTGACCACCTACAGAAAACGCGCCACAGTTTCAACATTTGAAGTTATAAAGACAAATATAGCCGCTTATGGGGCCTCTTCCTAGGTGTACTTGACGACGAGAAAATTTAATAATCTGATCTATTTGTCCCAAGATTATCTTAGGGGCCTTATATGCAAGAACACTCTGTGTTTTTGATGTATACGAAGGCGGTAAAACGCATAAACCATACAGAGGACCAGGAGGATTGCAAGTCAAAATACAGATTTCCATCTATCACGTACAAGCCCACATATGGGATGAGAAACAACAGGCATGAGCTTCGCTGGCTTTTCCATGCCCCTTTACCCGCGGTAGGGTATACCCAACATCACTTTCGGCAAGTCCATTTACTCGTCGTCCTCCTCCTCCTTAACCATATAACGGTGCTTGATGTCCTTCCATTGGCGCTGTAGGGTGAGAGAGAAATAGTCAGCGTGGGTCCTAGCCTCGGGTATTGTAGACGGTCCATCGGGAAAGAGGTTCACATACGCCCTGGTTCCAGCTGTCCCAGACCTTGTTGGAGGTGATGTCGAAGGCACTGTTTTGACATTTCATGGTCAGTCTTCCGCATTAAGGGTGCGACATGTCTAGCATGCTCGGAGATTCGATATAACCCACAGCTCAAAAGCGAAAGCGCCGGCAAAAGCAGTGGTCAGGAGAACAGTGTTCTTGCGGATGAAGGTCCTAAACACAGAGAATAGTGCCTCGGTTAGATTGCAATTGGACAATTTCGATCGCGATCGTAGGACCTAGGAAGGGGAGACATGCGAGTAGATAACGTTTGCGAGCTGTCATGCGAGAGGTCAGTCAGTACTGGACGTAGCAGTGGAAATAGAGGATCTGGGGGGGGGGAGTATAGACATACGCCAGCCATTGTGAGGGATTGGGGTGTTTTCACACGACCTAAATCAAAGGATTGGACTGAAGGATGGGGCAACGAGAGGTGAAGTTGTGAGGTTGAAGTTGCGAAGGCTGAATCTGCGGGAATTGCCGGTACGCTGATTGGCCGAGCCTCCGGCCTTCCGCACTCAACTTTCAATGTTCGCGTTGTTTTTTCTCTTCCGATCTTTAAAGCTATTGCTCTCTGCCTTGGAGCTTGACTCTGTCAAGTTGCTATCAGATATTTCTCATCTTACCATTTAATTACCCAAATTTGACCCCCCCACACCACACCATGGCCTCGAACGTCGCCAGGTCCGGCATCACCACCAATGCCCAAACCGGCGAACGATACATTCCCTCCTCAGTCCGTGCCGACGGTTCTAAGCGCAAGGAGATCCGCGTGCGCCCTGGCTACAAGCCTCCCGAGGACGTCGAACTATACAAGAACCGGGCTGCGGCTGCATGGAAGAACCGCGGAAAAGGCGGGGTGCCCGGTGCGGAAACCTTGAGTAGCGAAGAGGACAAGACCAAGGTCGCAGCGAAATCTACAATTACCCCCACCACTGCCGCCAGCAACAAGAACGCCAAACGCCGCGAAGCCAAGCGAAATGCGAAGGAAACCGACGAAGCCGGCCCCACCGCTGAGGGCAAGGGCGCAGAGTCAAACAACTGGCGGGTCCCCGCACCCGCACCTAAGGAAGAAAAGCCTGCTGAAGAGCCGGTTGACCTCGAGGCAGAGAAGGAGAAGAAAGCCCGCAGTCTGAAGAAGAAACTCCGCCAGGCGCGGGATCTTCGCGACAAGAAGCAGCAGGGAGAGGCCCTGTTGCCCGAGCAGTTGGAGAAGGTCATCAAGATTCAGGAACTTGTGCGGCAGCTGGATGTGTTGGGCTTTGATTCCAATGGTGATAAGAAGAATGGTGAAAGCAATGAGATTCCTTGAATGCCTTTTTGAACCTTAAACGCGGGGTAAGATCAGATTCAATACACCCATGTCCATGTGTTGAGTATATGCCCATATGCATATAATCATCACCAGGGCTACCTGCAACCACCCTGGGACGTCCGTTGGGGGCTATCAGACTATCCTACATCATTGTGACAAGTGATGGGAAGTGGGATGTGAGATATATTTCCTTCATGGCAGGATAGATTGCCACCAATCGGTTCCAGCCTTCCAGTCACCCACATCGCTTCGACTGCGAGGGGTTCAGGCTGCTGTCACATCTATCCGATTCCTTCAATCGGAGTCTGGGTGCTCCCCGCCCTTGATCCTGAATTGAGATCTGAGAACTGAGGAGAGTAACAGACTTCATAAATGGATTAAATCCAACATTCTGTTGACCGAACATGGGCTGGAATTGGATTAGACATTAGAAAGTGAACATCTGAAACATTTGATATCCGGCTAATGCCGTCGATTTCCAACTTTCAACAAGAAAAATATATATTACAATGATACATTTACTATACATGGCTTAGACCTTGATGTTGTGTACATCCCCAAGCACAAGTAGCAAGACCACATGATCCAGTCACACGGTATCAGATTTCGGAGTCAACAAGACGAACAGGAGACGTCACAATGCCACCCCGGAGGTTCCAACGCTTATAATCAAAGGAAGTCCATGGGCGCCACGGACTAGGCTCATCATTGAGCGGGATTCTTCCAATACCGTAGGTGGCAGATAGGATACCCTGTTTGACACAGTCGCCCACACCTACGCCGTTATACCAGTTTCCCGCGAGAATAAGCCGCTTGCTGTACTCATTGCGAACTGTGTGCGAGAGCTCATACATACGGTCCAGATGGCCGACTGTGTACTGAGGAATAGCATCCTTCTGGAGACGACTCCGTGCGACAGTTGGAGTATCGGTGATATTCATGTGCCTCTTGAGCATGTCGCGGGCCATATTCACTGCAGTGTCGTGGTCTGGATACTCTTCGAAACCATCCCAGTAATGTCCACCTAGCATGACGGTGAGTTTCGTTCCAGGTGCAGAATCTTGGCTAACTTCAGATGATGAAGGGTCCGTTCCGTTCCCTACACTAGAGGACGAGGCGAAGATGACACCAAGTCCACATTCTGGGTTCTGCTTGTAGGGGATCGAACGCGGTATGAGGTATCCGAAGCCATCCTCCACGGGTAGAAGGTTGGGATTTGGGTAATAGAGATTAACGACCATTACCGTCACGGCGTAGTTCTGTTTGCGTAATAGAGATGGGGCTAAGCCGACAGGCTTCCCTCGGCAGGTGACTGTTCGGGTTTGCGCATGATGTTTGCAAGTGAAACTGGAGGGATAGTGGAGATGACATATCGATAATCAAATGTCTTGATTTGATTGTGCTTGGGTGACCAATATTCCATCTATTGACAGTCAGCATCAATCTCAGGGCCCAGGGAGTTCAGGGACATAGCATGGCAGTGCGGAATAATTCACATACAGCAAGGCCAGCAGTAGACTCTGCCCATCCACTCAAAGCTTTGATCTCCGTGTTCATTCGGAAGTCGACTTTGCCGGATGCTTTCAATGAAGCAATCAGTGCTTGAATAAGCTGGGCAACTCCCCTCTTAAAGGTGAAAGTACTAGCTCCGGCCGCGAGGACTTCTAAATCATGCTGACGGCGCACTAATTCGGGGCCTGCAGGCATGGCGTCTATGGCCATGAAATCATCCATATTCCGAGTCCTCGTTTTAGAGATTGACCTGGAGATAAGGGATGCCGTAACTCCACCAGAAACCAACCCACCGATGCCCCCAATGCCTCCCTCAAGGTTGCGGAGGCCACCCAACAGTGCTTGGGCACTCAATCGATCGATATCACCAGCATAAATTCCATGGTACACAGCGGAGACTAGATTATCTGCAACATTGGGGCCAAAACGACGTCTGATGAAGTCGGCAACAGATTCATCCTTCGCCCATTCGGTTGGGTGCCGGGCGGAGTGAAGACATCCTTCGCTAACCCCGAAAGAAATTTGTTAAATAGCGGCTCTTGCATAGTATCCATAAATATTTGCAAGTTCTCCCCAAACGAGAGTTCAGGCTTTGGCGCCGGCATGCGAACGAGACGGTCCGGGTAGTAAATGTAACGATTTCGGGCCGCGGGGCTCGTCTTTGGGGTAACAATGAGGTCGTCGTACAAGCCTAGATTTGTAGCCTTTTAATAGGGTCAGCATATGAAAGCTTTTCGATTCCGAGTATGCGCACACGAGCAATACTCACCAGGTAAAGCAGAGGGAGTGATCCTGGCAGCGAGCTCTTTAAGGTCCGCGGTCCATACTCAAACATGACATTGCCACCATCAACAGGAACTGTTTCAGAATTGATCCAACCACCGAGCCGGTCCGTTTTCTCGAACACGTTGACATGTTTGCATGTAGGGTCTTGCGCGAGTTGCCAGGCGGCTGTGAGTCCAGTGATGCCACCACCAAGAACGGCGGCAGTGTATGCGCGTTTCTGATCGAGATGAATCAATTGCGTTCGTCTTGGTCTTACTGCTCTAGAGACACATGGTAGCAACATCTCTGCTGATCTGAGCAATGTTTGGTGGTGGGATAATTAATGCTAAACCCGAAGGTCCTCGGGAGCTTCCGTCCTTACTTAAGCTACGCGGGGAGCCTGGAGGGCTGGTCTGCCTACAATCCTACGCTTGCACAGTTGGTTCATGAGACATTCGCGAATTCATCTTCGCTTCGGTATTATTCTTTTGAAGATCAACGGGGGAATCTATGAACAGACCAGATAATAGTATCTGAAACAAAAGCAAATGCATAAAGAGTATCAACGCCATTCCCTCCAGCCATTCCTCGTTCATTGATCAAGATCGGATTGTACATAGTATTCTTCGCTTCAGAAACAGACTGTTGTGGGATGTGTGTTTTTTTCGATTTTTCTTCATTGTCAGTCATGTCAGGCGGAGTCACGCAGTCAGCTCCTGGCTTTGGCTCTGAGTGTTCTCCTCGGTCTCCGGTTTGATTAACTCTTGCGGTCCATCCACATCCGTAACAAACTTGCGCTCGCTGACATGCTCTCCAGAGCGCGGAGTCCACACCTTGTCGGTGTAAGCACCGCGCTGGCCCTCGGTGTGCTTATAGGGGCACTTGGGGTTCAGGCAGGGATTGAACTTGCAGGCGGTCTCGACATGTGTAAACTTGCATCCTTCGATCTTGCAGTCGGCTCCATTGCGGCAGACTGGCATACTCGGGTGCTTGAAGGGACAGGTGGGATTGGTACAGTGAGGGAAGAACCGACACATGGCCTCTGCCTGGTGAGCGGATCGCACTGCTGGTGAAGGGTGGCGCCCGGTGCATTTCTTGTTCTTGCAAGCTGCACCGAATGAGCAAGTATCGGAAGGATCGATTGAAGTACCTTCGGGGGCGGCAGGTGATTGATGGGCAAACGGGCAATCCTGCCGCGAGCATCGTTGGTTGAAGCGACACACAGTGTCGGGGTTGCTTTCATCTTGTTCACCACCCGTTGTGCTGTCCATGTCCACATCTGCTCCTTCTGCCGCTCTCGGCTTGTTGTATCCGCGCTTTCCTCCACGCTGGCCACCTCGCTCGACCCGATTGAAGAGCGAACGACCCTGAGGGCCATTCTGGGAACCAGTTTGGAAAGCGGGGTTGACAGCGGGTGGCATGAAGCCAGGCATGAATTGAGACATCATGCGAGCTTGTTCTTCCAACATCGACATAAGCTGCATCTGGTTTTCGGGGGTCATCTGCATCATGGAGTTGCCTTGCATTCCCATGGCACGGCCACCGCGACCATTTTGTTGTCCGCCTCTCATTTGACCCCGGCCGTTGTGACCGATGCGCCCGTTTCTTTGTCCCCGCACACGGTGTAGAGCTGCATCCGAGCCACGGTCTAGGTTTCGATTGATTTGGTTCAACATTCTTCCCTTGCCGCCTCTGCCGTTGCGCATCGCTTTCGGTCCTGTGGGGCTATTGAGGAGCACTGTCAGCATGTTATAGACATTAGCAGAAAGGCATGGTAAAACCTACATCTCGTTTCCGGCCTCCGCCATCTCGGCATCCTGGCCGTTGGCCTCTCCGAACGGATTGGACGTCGTTTGAGCTGAGTTGTCGAATTCCATGGCCGAAGGGTTCAACTGGCCCATGGTGGTGTCGGTCGAGGCTGGAGCAGCCCCGTTGATTTGTTGGTTGAGCAACTCGACTTGAGTGAAAAGCCATTGTGAAAACTCGAGGGCCGCAGTGTCACCTTCCTGGAGGCCAAGGAAATCATTTGAAAGCTCAGTGGCTATTTGCTCTTCGGTCTTGCCGTTGACCAGCATGAGAACGATGTATTCGATTAGTGGTGACTCTTGGCCATCACTCCAACCCATCTCCACCAATTTCGGCTGGATGACATTTGCGACTGCTCGCGCAAGAGGCGTTTCCAAAGTGATTTGAGGCAGCATGGCGAAGGCGATTGTAGAGTCAGGGACAAGTGAAAGGTTGGTGAGAAATTCACAAAGAGGGAGCAGTGCTGATAAAAGAACTTGCGCCACCCGATAAAGGCGTTTCGGATCTTATCGGCGCGACTAACAATGAAGATGCGATGAAAACGGTAGGTAATAGCAGTTGAGGTTGGAAGTGAGTTTTTATAGACCAGTAACAGGTTCTGGTAGAGAAAGCAAGACTTTAGCAAGCAGATTGAAGTGAAGCTAAAGACCCGACGACCAAAACGGATGTTTGATCACGTGGCTGTGGCTGGCCGGCGGTGAGGTGGGGCAGTACATACAATGCAAACAACCACGTCGATTTTGGTAGTATCAATGAAGAGAAGCTCTTGCTTTGATTGAACTGTGTTTTAATAGTCAGATGAAAGAGATAATAAATCTGAACTTGTTGAAAGACATAAGGAGTGGAACTTGCAACTACTGAAGTTTGGGTTTATATATTCACAATGGCTATTGTTCCCGCCACCAAGCTATTGAGTTGGTGGTTGTGAATGGGGCTAAATGGGTGCTAATACAAAGAGAGTATCCAGACAAAGAACCCACGGTCAAGTGACGTCTGAGAAAGGAATAGCAATTGTCTCAAGGCTTTTAGTTCCGTAGCCTGAGGCACTGAAGTATTGTACCTGAAATATCAGGCATAATATACTGCTTCGGGCCGTCATAAAAAAACATGTACGCATAACTAGTTTAGCGGCACAGGGACGTTTATGTGGCTGCAGGCCACCTATCTACAAAGCGCTGTCGATCTCCCCGCTCGGAATCATATGCCATCAACCCCTGTCTGCCGAGGTGTCATGTCTTCACCATAGGGCATCTTCCCCAGATCGTCGGTGTCCCCACAATAATTGTACGGTGTGAAACCGAGACCACAACTGAACGCTGTGGGGATCTGTGCCTAGGCCAGCCCCATATTGCAATATCAAATCTATGGGAGGGATCAATGAACAAAGGATGAAGTCACATAATGCGGGGTTCGCAAGCACGCCTCCTTTAGGCCATACTCTACACCTATTTGGGGCATGGGGAACACACATCATTGGATACTAAATGTTCAGAGGTATTCTCTGAAAACTAGTGTGGTTGTGTCCCCGGATTGATAAACGCTGCAACCCGTATGGTTCATACTGTTGACAAGTTCGTCTTCATAACTAGCCTTCCCTGCCGTATGTTATGCAACATACCAGTCCTTTTTCTCTTATTCTGAACGCGCCCTCCAAGGCAGAAGCCAGACTAAACCCACCTTGGTATAGTCTAACGGCGCTATGATTGAAGACCTCCTGGCCGGGCGACATTCAGTCGGGCCTCAGTATGGCTTCTAGGACTATTAGTTGCATTCTGCGTATTCCGGAAGTTCCAAGCTTCAGCACAAATCGCCCGTCTCGGTGTCAGAGCTCCCAAAATTGGGTTCCGGCTCCCATATGCTCTCGATTTCATTTTCCAAGGTTACCAAGCCAATCAAGTGAACCGCGATATAGAGTTCTGGGATGCAAAAGTCGGCCAAGCAGGCGGCCTAACAAATGTGAAGACAGCCGAAGTGGACGCTGGCATTTCCACCCGTATGGTCATCACCAAGGACCCAGAAAATATCAAGGCACTCCTCACCGGTCAGTTCGCCGACTACGGTAAGGGTGAAACCTTTCACCAGGAGTGGAAGGAGTTCCTTGGCGACAGCATCTTTACCACAGACGGCGAACTATGGTCTCGCTCCCGCCAGCTCATCCGTCCCATGTTCGTGCGTGACCGTATTGTCGACACAGAAATCTTCGAGAAGCATGTTCAGAAACTCATCCCGCTTCTTGGCGGCAGCGACTCACCCAGCAGCAGCAAGGTAGTGGATGTCGGATCACTCTTCTTCCGGTATACCCTCGATGCAGCAACGGACTACCTGCTCGGCCAGGGCACAGACAGTCTTGATAACCCGGCAACACGCTTCGCTGAAGCGTTTAGATGTGTGCAACAGCGGCAAGCGGAGTACTTCCGTTTCGGGTGAGTGATGAGACTCGACCCTGTGCGACGCAAGCACAACCTTTCATCGAAGTTCCCAGAACCTAATCTAACATTAAACCCTAAAACAGAGTCTTTAGCTACTTCATGTCACGCACCGAATTCCGCAAGAACCTCAAGATCATGGACGAGTTCATCCAGCCATACATCCAAACCGTCCTCGCCCACTCACCCGACGAACTCAATGAGAAGCTCTCAAAGCACGAGACCTTCCTCGATGCCCTAGCGAGCTTTACCCGTGATCCCCGCGTCCTCCGCGACCAACTTGTCGCCGTCCTCCTCGCAGGCCGCGACACAACAGCCGCCACACTATCATTCTGCCTCTTCGAGCTGTCGCGGCACCCAGAAGTTGTCGCCAAGCTGCGCGACGAGATCCGCAATAGACTTGGCGTCGGCGCCAACGCCCAGAAACCCAGCTACACCGATCTCAAGGAGATGAAGTATCTCAACGCAGTGTTGCACGAGACGATGCGTTTGTATCCAGTCGTACCCTTCAACGTACGCTATTCTTTGCACGATACGACGCTTCCACGTGGCGGTGGGCCGGATGGGCTAGCGCCTGTGGGTGTGCGTGCAAACTCGCGGGTTGTCTACTCGACGATGTTGATGCAGCGGGATCCTGATCTGTATGACGGCCCTGGATCGAAGAACTACTTCGATCCTGGGAAATGGATTCCTGAGAGGTGGGTTTCCGGCTGGCAGCCCAGACCGTGGCATTTCGTTCCGTTTAATGGTGGACCGCGGATTTGTATTGGGCAGCAATTTGCTATTATTGAGATGGGGTACACGGTTATTCGGATTTTGCAGGTTTATGAACGCATTATTGCGCTGCCGGTTGGTGGGAAAGACAAAGTTGAAGATCCGGTGCTTCGGTTTGAAGTTACTCTTAGTCCTGGCTCCGAGTTGAATTGTGTTTTCCTCAAGGAGGGTGAAGAGGCTGTGCGCAGTGGCGCTAAGGCAAGAGTTACTTGAGGTATGGTTGATTCTTTGAACTACTGTATGGTATGATATCTTCAGTACATGAATTTATGCCCTGCTTTTAGCTTCTGGAACAAGGTAGAATTCATATTCTTGCATTCTTAGTATCCGATAGGTAGATCTAAGCGGAATTATACCCTCCATAAAAAGAAATACTAAAAGCCCTACCTACAATAACGTTCCATTATAAATTTTGATGCATTCATGCAGTTTGTGGTAGAATTTACTTTGCTTTTTGCTGGATCTTCCCAGGGTTTGTGCCTTTGTTTCCTTTGTCCAATGAAGCTATTTAGATAGGCTCCATGGCAGCAGATAGAGACCATCATCAGCATATATTCTATTGATTCTTCTGTTAATCACCTCTTTCTTCTCTTTGTAGATCTGTGGACACAGACTCCATCAATTCCAAATCCTGACATAACTACGTGTATAGGAAGAATGCCTTCCAACAATAGCAAGTCATTGTCAGCCATTACTAGTCCCGGCAACCGCCGACACGATTTTATTCGTCTTACGACTTCATTCAGAACACCTAAACGAAAGAAGATCCATGGTAGGATCCTTTTCTCTTAATGTTGCACTTTTTGGACACCGATACCATCAAATACGGCGGTTTGGCCGAGTGGTCTAAGGCGATTGACTAGAACCGCCTTGAAATCAAGCATTCTTAATCAATTCCGTTCGCGGGCGCATGTTCGAATCATGCAGCCGTCGTAAAATTTTTGCTTCATTAGCCTAGTGTGGCGAGACATCTATAGACTAAGAAGATAGGAATAAACTAGAAAAGGCAGACCTGTTCTTCACCATATCTAACTACCTTACTCTACCTACATATTGTATATTATGTTTAAGATATTTGATATAGTATAAGTTATTACCTATATTATTACCTACCTAGGTAGATAGCTAAATTCTATGTGAACCCTAACAAAAGGGAAAATTTGCGTTTGGGCGTTAACCGATTGGGGTTAGTGTACTTGGCACTTGGCAGAACCATATCGGGAAATCCACCCCTTGTGCCTTGCGCCTTGTCACTTAGATTAAGGGTGTATGTACCAAGCAAAAATTTAACGACGGCTGCATGATTCATGCGCGAAAAGAATTGATAAAGAATGCTTGATTTCAAGATTTGAACATACATTGAGGTGGTCATTCTTCTTAGTTCCTTCTTGCCTTCTCCTTCTCAGTAGTCAGTCGGCTTACTTTAGAGTAAAGGAACAAATACAGGTCCTCCATGAGCTACTCACATAAGTATTGAAATAGAAATATTCCAGTCTTTAGTATCTGTCAGTGTTGATCTAGATCAGTTTGGAGGCATTATATTTAACTCTATTCTCTTATTAGTGTATACCTAGGTACCTCCTTGTGGAATTTTAGGTGAGCATATAGGTGTTTTCCTCATATGCCTATTATCTGGAAAATTAGGGCCAATTGGGGGTTTCCCCGAGTGGTCTAAGACGATTATGTTCACTACTTAAAAATAAGTCTATATCCACTAACAATTCCATCAGCTTGAAATCAATTCCGCTCGCGGGCGCCTTCGAATCATGTAGCCGTCGTTGCAGTCTTTTTGCCCAAATCAGGCCTAGTTCTGGGGAGGTTATGAAGTAGAAACTCTAGTGTAATACCTTTCTGTACAAGTCATCTTGAGAAATAAGAATACAATTAGTAGGAGTTTGACTGTCGCTTCCGTAGCTTCCTAAGTCTTTGCAAAATCTCCACTTTCCGCAACTCCATGAACAAATCCTCTTCATCTGCATCATCCAAATCACATAGCACACCGCCCATCCGTACAGGTGGGTATGTGGCTTCGATCTCCTTGACTGAGACATGAGCTCTCTCTTTGACAGCTGCAATGTATGTTGAGCTCTTAACCACATCTGAGATCAAAGAAGTATCCGAGATCGGTAATCCTTTAGACGGAGGTAGACCAGGATCCTTCGCCGGTGCATATGTGCCGTTTTTGGGACTAGCGACTTCTTTTTGCTCTGTGTTCTTAGATTCCACCCAGCCTCTACTCATCTGCACAGCCTTTTCCCATTGTCCGAATTTAACAGCACTCTCTTGTCGCGGGACTTGGGGCTCGAAGACCACACCACCAGAACGATTGATATCGCGTAGTTCGGCAAAGTTGTGCCACAGTCCAACAGCAAGGCCTGCTGCAATTGCTGCGCCGAGAGCTGTAGTTTCACGCATCTTGGGGCGGTACACAGGGATAGATATCAGGTCTGCTTGAGTCTATATTCGAGATGAGATCAATTCTTGTTCAAACTTCATCAAGGTATAAGGTAAGAAGGCGCCGATAGATTCTTACCTGCATTGCCAAGTCTGAGTTGCTCATACCCCTGTCTACAGCCAGTTCGGAGAGTGTATGGCCGCTGTCTTTCTCCATTGCATCTAGGATGGCTTTAGTTTGGAAGCAGGTTGCCTCTAGAGTGGCACGTGCGATATGGCCCTTTTGGGTGTATTGGGTGATCCCAACTGCACACTGTCAGATAGAGTATAACAGTCAGGTAATGAGAAACTCACAGATTGTTCCTTTCGCGTCATCAATCCAATAAGGTGCGAAAAGTCCACTGAAGGCAGTGACAAACACACATCCACCATTGTCTTCCACCGAGTAGGCAAGTTCATTGACCTCCTTAGACTCCTGGAAGAAATTCAAGTTATTCTGCAAGAATTTGATTCCAGACCCAGCAACAGCAATGCTTCCCTCAAGCGCATAGATAGGCTTCCCGCCAAAGTGGTAAGCCACCGTAGCCAGTAATCCATGTGTCGAGAACACGGGCTTGTCACCAACATTGTACAAAAGAAAGCATCCAGTGCCGTAAGTGTTCTTCGCCATTCCAGGCGAGAACCCTTTCTGTCCAACCAACGCCGCAGACTGATCTCCCAGACATCCCATAATCGGAACGCGCGCCAACGCCCCAGAAGCAACAACCCCATACGCCGTCGCATCAGACGAGGGCACAATCCTAGGCAAATGAACCTTCCCCCCTAATCCCAAAAAAGTCCAGAAGCGTCTGATCATACTGCAACGTCTCCAGGTCCACAAACATGGTCCGCGAAGCGTTTGTTGAATCCGAGACAAAGACGTTGGCAGCCACGCCACCGTTCAAACGGTATACCAGCCAAGCATCGACGGTACCAAACGCCAGCGTGCCGCGGTCAAATGCATCCTTCACTCTGGGGACATGCGCCAACATCCAGAGCAGCTTTGTAGCCGACGAGTAGGTTGACAGCGGCAGACCGCAGAGAGTCTGGAGCTGCGCAGCCCCTGGTTTCTGTTTCAGTTCTGCAACGATCGCCTGCGAGCGTGTGTCTGTCCATACAATGGCATTGTACAGGGGCTCGCCGGTCTCGTGGTCCCAGACTATGGTTGTTTCGCGCTGGTTGGTTATTCCGATGCTTTGGATGCTGCTTCGGGTGTGGCCTTGTGTTTCGAAGTTCCGGACGGCTTCTTCGATGCAGGTCTCTACTGAGGTTACGATCTCGAGAGGGTCATGTTCGTGCCAACTAGAAGTGATTAATTTTGATTAATTTTGCATCCTGGGTGGGCTTTTGGTCTGGCTGTTGGATTGGACTGGGACTTACCCCGGGCTCGGGTAGATTTGGCTGAACTCGACTTGATGTGATGCTACTGGGTCGCCCTCGCGATTGAAGATCAAAAATCTGGTGCTCGTTGTGCCTTGATCGATCGATCCCACAAAGGTATCTGAGGGCTGCATGGTTATGGATAGACGAATCTACGGAGGAAAACAAATCGAGTTGGCTATTTGCGCATGACATGAGATGTCAAACCTTGCGATACAAAGGAAGAACTCGAGATATAGCAGACCCCCAATACATAAATAAAAGACTTCGTATATAATAACTTCACGGTCACACAGCGGGGTGCTGATTCATGGAATGAGGGGAAGACACCGAGGGAAAGGATTGGTGGGATTATCCCTTGGTCAGACGTGAGATGAGAAGTGAGAACGGGCTGTGCGGCGACATGTATTGGTTCTTCGTGTAGACTCTTCTCGGGATTCTTGGTACTTGGACTTGTGGAATTAGCCAAGTGTCAGTGCACTTCCAAGGTTTGGACTCATTAGGGAAAAGATATCCCCAGGAAAAAGGCTCTCTCATTCCGACTTCCCCCAAACCCCAGTATGACCTCCATGCATATTGTGGAGAGAGATCAGCAGACGATTGACGACTCGGTTCATTTGGCGAAGTGTCAGATCCAACTTGGTGGGGAATTGCGCACTGACTCGGTCTTATTCCATTGTCATATATTAAGCAACACGACAAACATCTATAGATGGCCCAAATTGCAACTGTTAGGCCGGTCGAAATTGAAATTTTATCTGCAAGCCTATATTGGCCTTTTTTCCACAGTGAATACTGCGGTGCTAACTGGAGGACAAAACATTTCTATCTACAACACTCGCAGAGTCAAATCCGGACAACCCTGGTCTCGGTGATACTACCTCTAAGGATATGATCACATGGTCAACGGTCAATTGTGTCACTACGGACGAGAAATAACGAGCAAGAAAATACTACCCTCAGTATCATCATTATCGGGAAAGACCAATCTCTTTCCGCTGCTCTCGCCTCCTTTTGGAGAAGCCTGCCGCTTCAAGGTGACACAGTTTGGACTTTCTAGAAAATTACAATTGGGCCTGCGTGAGGTCTGGCACCCGACGAGTTGATGAGTAACAGAAGACATACAAGCTTCTCCTACAGTCATGGCAGAGGCAAATACCGGTAAGCGGGAACTATACACCACATTGCGGTGTCCAAGAATTACCCTAAGAATACAACCCAACCGGGATCGGACAGTGACTTCCGGCTGCCCAGGCCAAACGGCCCTTCCTACAAACAACCCCTGAAATAAGCTATGAGCAGAGATGCGCTGTCAGAAAATTCTGCTCTGTGTGAAAGGGAAACAAAAAAGCACGGCAACAAAAGGCACAATGGCCGGCCCGGCCAGTTCAATAAAAGGGATATGTGCACTTGATGATTCCGAGTCTATCCGGATTTGACTTCAGCTGATATCTTCCCTGCAAGCTTGAACGCCCTCTGGAGCTCTGGAGCTTGGAACTAGGAGGACAAGAGACACACAGACACACTCTCTTCCAGGACAAGACCCTGCATCAGCCAATCGAACCATCGTCTTGTACGAAGGACAGCACAGATTGAGAGCAAAGGGTTGGTTACACGGTCGTTCCTGGTTCTTCGTTGTTGCTATACCGGAAGGACTACCATATCATTTTCGTGTGGTTGGCGAGATTCCCCCCCGGTTGGTCGTACTATATCAACTCGAAGCCCCAACCCTGGCTTCCGGGGCTTGGGTTCTCCCTTCGATGGCTACCTGGAAAGAGCTTGAGCTTGATTCAATGTCAAAAGTACACCGTGAAACTCTCTCCTCTGCTACTCATGACAGTGGCTGTGGCTCGCTGTGTCTGACTGACAAGAACGAAACGGCCATCCATCATATTAACCCTGAAGTCGAAAGTCCTTATACTCGCCCCCTGGTGTGGTTTAAAGTGAGAGAGTACTGCCATGAGGCGTTCTCAGAGTTCTTTGGGACGATGATCCTGATTTTATTTGGGGACGGGGTCGTTGCTCAGGTACTACTCAGTCATGGCCAGAAGGGTGACTACCAATCTATCTCTTGGGGATGGGGGTAAGGCTCTTCTTCTTTATCGATTACAAGTCCATACTCTGTTCTAACCAATCTCATTCAACAGACTCGGCGTCATGCTCGGAGTATACGCCAGCGGGGCATCAGGAGGCCACATCAACCCGGCCGTGACATTTGCAAACTGCGTCCTCCGCGGCTTTCCCTGGCGCAAATTTCCCGTGTACGCACTAGCGCAGATCCTCGGCGCAATGTGCGGTGCGGCCATTGTGTACGGCAACTATAAGTCAGCCATCAACGTCTACGAGGGCGGGCCAAATATCCGCACAGTCCCCGGCTACTCGACGACAGCAACAGGCGGCATCTTCTGCACCTACCCAGCAGAATTCATGACAAAAGCGGGACAGTTCTTCTCGGAGTTCCTTGCCAGTGCGGTCTTGATGTTCATGATATTTGCTCTGAAAGATGACGGCAATCTAGGGCGCCGGGACGCTGACACCTCTGGCGCTATTCTTCGTTGTCTTTGGCATTGGCGCGTGCTTTGGATGGGAGACTGGATATGCTATTAACCTGGCACGGGACTTTGGGCCTCGGCTGACATCCTACATGATTGGATATGGGCATGAAGTATGGGCTGCAGGGGGCTATTACTTCTGGGTTCGTTTTGTCTGAACATCACATGGACCAAACTCTGTGGACTTTCCCGGCTTACGAATGTTTCTTCTTAGATTCCTATGGTTGCACCAATATTAGGTTGCACATTCGGGGGGCTGCTATACGATCTATTCCTATATACTGGGATGGATAGCCCAATCAACACACCCTGGATGGGAATCAAGACGCTGCGTGGACCCTTTGGCCGAAGGCGAGTCGCATTGCAGAGTCCAGTCTGAGACAATCCTACCCTTACGCATGACATTCCAAATGGTGGAGTGGTGAGTACTGTACTTGATTTGTGTTTCTTTATCTTATTTATGATCTGTCTATGACAACTACGTGTGTAAAAAGGGGTGGAACTTAGCGACGACTGTTATGATTTATATTTTGCACTATTTAGCCAGTTTCTGCAGCGTTCTTTCAGCATCATGAAATCTACTTTTAAGTTTTTCAATACCGTCCATGGCCTTCAGTATTTTCTCTCCTGTTTAAGCCAGATGTTTTGTTCGGGCCAAGTATTCATCGGCTACGTCTGTAAGTCATGGGGTCTATAAGAGATATCCGACAGCCAGACAACCACTGTATTGTGTACATTTCTCTACACAAAAAAAGAATGCCTCCAATGCATGAAAGGCGTGCTGGGCGTCATCCTTCTCTGTCTCGACTGCATGATTTTAGAAGTTAACACAGCATCTGCATCTAACTTGCTTTTCAGCTGGCTGTTCTAGTAACTCAATCATCGCACGGATCCAACATAGGTACAACATAGAGCTCTAAAGGGAGTATGGTTGTCTGGGGATATAGATCAAATGAATATGAATATAAATATCAAAACATATAAATATATGAAGCAAAACTATTCAGTTCTTTGAGGGGAAACTAAAACAGCACAGTGATCCCTGAATTGGACAAGCGACCTTAGGAAGACCGACCACAAAAATCGAGTCATAAGTCGAGGACTAGCCCTGGAGGGCTGTTGTTGATGAACATCAATGTCTCTGCCAATTTCCCCCCTCCAGATTTTCCTCCCAAAACTCATTACGTGATTTAACTCTTCCACACGGCCGTGACGCTTTCTCTGGGCTTGTATTGGACCCATCTTGTAAGAGGTAGCAAGCCCATAGCAGTCCTGACAGGAAAGGACCAGGCGGTGAAAGTGTTCTTCCGGCATTACTATACAACCTGACCCATCGTCCATGTTCTCGTTCTCACAATGGCGGACACTAACCCGAAGCCTTTTCGTGATCTGCTCGACCATCACCGTGATCTTTTTGTAGATCCACTCTTATGGACTTATCGCCACCTTAGCATAGTGGGTTGTCGATTTGAAGACGCCGACACGGCCAGCACAGAATCAACCCAGGACGACTGCAAGACTGACGATGACGAAAGGTCTTGCCCAAGTTACCCAGCGATGCTGAGCAGCTTGCAACATACCCCATTGCCGCCATAAAGTTTCGCTGCCTTGTCAACATTCTTGTGGGGAAGGGACGCCCATTTGAAACACTTCGGTAAGATATTACGTGAAGTACAATGTCTAACAAGTACATATGTACACAAAAGTGACTGACAATTCCGCTGAGCAGCAAAGGACCTCAATTTTACTTTACAGACAAACCTGTTCATCGGCCAAGACATACTGTGTTTTATCGCCAAGGACAGTCGGACAAACATTTTGGCAAAGGCATGTTTCCGTTGGTAAGCTACCTACACTATACAAGTGTCAACGGGGCCCGCAGAGACAAATTCGAGCCTTGTCCAGGCCCAAGAGGAACTCTCAATTGGATCGGCCAACGTATCCTCCAAAAACGACTGGCTCAAATTGAACCGAAGGAATGGACAGAGGACCCATATTTCGTGTGTATCTTGCTAGCTCTTGCGCAACTCCAAGAACGCGAGGTTGAGTTGCCGAAGCCAGCAACTTACACTGTACGTCTATCTTCAACCAGGCTTGTTCTTCTTTTCTCGGTAACTCTAACTTTTCGGCTCCTAGGCGCGTCTTCTTGTAACCAACGTATGCGACAAGGAATTCATCCATCTGTACGAGGCTGAAATCTCCGCTGAACTTCTCGGGGCGCTCAGAAGCCCGGAAACTGCCACCAAATATACAAAATGGCCTACTATTCGGCAAAGGAAACTCCCATACAAGCCTTACAACACCTTTGAGAACCGCATTACGGCTGAGCTAGAGGCTCCTAGTATCCTGTGCTCGCCTGAGATCTCGGGTCTGTCTGATGAACTGAATGGTGTCATTGGATGCGGCAGGAAACGACCACCCGATCAAGAAAGCAATAAGGCCTACAAGACGAATCGAATAACATAAACCAGTGACAGTCCACCGAATCAGACTATGGCACGCAAGACCAAGTCAGCGGGTCTAGGAAGATTGTATGCTTTCTAAGGCTGCCGGATGATATTGACTCTCATATTTGTACTACCACGATACCACGCTTGATCTTCTCTTTCTGCTCCACTATTTGTGAAATACATTTTAATCCGTCTAGATATGATACTATGAAGCTAACCTTCTATGTAACTAGTACTAAATATGTAGGCAGTATTGAGCCGGATTAATCCAAACACCGATCTACCGAGTCTCGTTTGTCCTATAAGAACCAGAAACTGATTCCTAGAAACTTGGAGACTGGCATAGGAGTAACCCTAGACACTGGTCTCTTCCCAACACATAAACACAACCTCGATTCCAGCAACATCTATCCCAAGCCTTGGCCTAGTCTACAGAGCCTTTCAGGATTCGGAATGGACTTGGAAAACCACCCCGACCACTCTCAAGTATCAAATCAACAAACACAGGCGAAGGATGACCCTCGCCCCCGTCAAGTCCCATGGCTGGAGCACTTTCTGGAAAGGATTGGGTTCTTTAATCACAAGTACAATATGATGTACGAGCCCTATATAACTCTTGTTTTGCATTACCAGTCGCTCATTTTATATGGCTAGGTACATGTTATGCGTTGGACTATGTCCGTATCTATTCGAATACCTCGTCTGTCGTCAATACTGTGATAGAGAGGATTGCCGTTTTTACCGCAATACTGCATCACGCTGTACAGACATCCTGCTATTCCTTTACCTTCTCCGAATTCAATACCTGACCTGGTCTCGGAATAGGCGAGAAGACGGGCGACGAGGTTTGCCGCCGTGGACTATGGTCCTATGCGTTGTTATGACTGGCAGAAGATTGCTATTCACCTCTGTTTCATAGTTGAGTAAGGAATTGTATGAATATTTATTCCATAACTATTGATTTGGACTCATTTCGTTGCCCGTACAAGAAGTAGAAGAATCAAAAGAATCAGAAATTCAAGCTTTGCGTCCAACTAGCCAGAAATCAGGACCCAGCGAAAGGGGACAAACGAATCGCTGAGTTCTATCTCGATATCTAGTAGATTCATGAAATAATATCATGTAATGAGGGTCTGAGATCGAACGAAGCTGACATGCATTAGATATTGAATCTAGTCATTCGAAAAGCTCCTGTTGCAGAGTATCAAATGAGAAGCAGCTTAGATGCTGTGTAGTCGACTCGGAATTGGTACCATACACTTCAACCGGCGGAAGACGATGTGGATTTTGGAAGGCAATCTCGCCTTGTAAAGTCCATAGACATACCGGTTCTCACAACCAGAAGTAGTAATCAAGTCCATATATATGCTTATAAGATCTACGGATAGTGCTACAAGACAAGTAACTCTCTACAGAAAAAAACATGCACAATTCAGAACCGATATCAATGCTGCTAGGAGTATGATGCAGATACACACGGCGAAGACACGCAACGAACATGGACACCTATCTCACATAAATAGAAACAACAGATCCGACTCGACTAACCAGCAAAGCTAGGATAGAAAATGCAATGCACACCATTACCGCTTGCCCTTCTTACGGGGAGCGACAACCTTGAATGCAGAGCTGGCAGCCTCTTCCTCACGCTGAGCAGCTGCTGCAACGGTAGCAGCGGAGCCCTTCTTGGCAACCTCGCTCCAGCCACCGCCGTTCTTCTGCTCTCCGAAAGCACTGGGCGAGACAGGGTCCACAATGCCCTTATCGGCAAGCTTGCGGCGGCGGATGAATTCCTCCGCGAAGCGGCGGCCGTCCAGAGTCTGGGAGTTGGCGTAGACGGAGTCGGAGATGATCTCAGCCTCAGCGGGCAGGAAGAGCAATTGCTGAACGAAATCATCGACTAGAGATGGGATGTCAGTATTGAGTCTATGTGAATTGAATAAAGACAACGAAACTCACCATTGATGCTGCTGTTCAACCCCTTGCTCAGAGCCAAAGTAGCCCACTTGGTGAACTCCTCAACAGCCTGGTTGGGGTTGGACTGGGGGGGTGCTGCCGCTGGTCACAGTACGGGTAGTGGCGACAGGGCGGGGCTTGGAGATAAGAGGCGAAACTGGGACGGTTCCGCTGGCTGTCCGGGGTCCCAGGGGAGGCGCAGTTGGCGCACCCTTGACCTTGCCACTGGCACCGACGGTGGTCCAGGCGCTGGATCCCTGGCTAGCGGGGGCGGAGGGAGCAGGGCCCTTGCTTGCAAGGTCGGCATAGCGCTTTCCGGCAGAGGAGGGGACGGGAGGGCTTGGGGTCGCAGCCATGGCGGCGGCGGCAGCAGCAGCCGCGCGGTTCTTGCGGGCTTCCTCTTCCTTCTGGATCTGAGCAAGAGTCTTCTTGGCGCCAGTGGCGGCCGGTGCGGGCTGGGTCTTGGTGGCCCAAGGGGAGCCGGTCGAGGCAGGGGTGGCCGGAGATCCAGCGCTAGCCCAGTTGGCTGACGAGGGAAGGCCAGGGGCTGCCTGTGCCTGTGCTTGGCTGAGACGCTCTTGCTCCGCAAGGAATTGGGCACGGCGTGCCGCAGCGGCGACTTCCTCACGTTGGGCGGCAGTACGAGCCTCGGCTTCCTGGATCTCCTTGAGAGAGGGGCCCTTGGGCAAGTCATTTGCCTCCTTGGCCCATGGTGCGACAGAGGTAGGCGCAGCGTCGACGGGAGTCTGAGTCTGGGAGCGGGACCCAGTGGCCAGAGACTCGGCGACGTTTTGGCGATTACGCTGGGCGGTGGGTGCAGGGAGAGGCGACGCGGAGGGTGGGGGAGGGAAAGGCTGGGGCATGGCGTGGTCAACCTTGTTTCCCCAGACCGATTCAGAAGGGCCATGGCTCTGTTCCTGTTCCTGCTGCTGGCGTTGAGCAGAAGCAGCCTTGTGAACTTGCTGAGACAGAGTAAGAGGCTCAGAACCAGTAACAGAGTCGGTCAACTGTTGAGCTGCCTCTTCCATCTCGGCGGCAACCTCGGCTTCGAGTTGCTGAGATGCAGCGGCAGGGTGGGTAGGCAGACCTTCGGCAGTGCGCATGCCCATCTCCCCTTCCTGGGCACGAAGAGCATGGAATTGGCGAAGACGCTCCTCGCGAGCGTGCTGATCAAATGGATCATCTTCATGGGCCTTGTCGAAGTCTTCCTGCTCTTGCTGAAGCTGAGCACGATCCTGAAGCATTTGACTAACCTGCTGGGACTGCAAGAAGTTATCAGGCTGACGGCCGGAGAATGAACCAGCACTACCAAAGGCAAATGGATCCTGGCGGCCGACGTTCAGGCGATCAAGTAGAGCGGGGAGTTGATCCTGGCTGCCGAAATCCGTTCCCAGCATTCCAGGTCCCACGTTCAAACCGCCCTGTCTTGGTGCAACACCATCGAAGAATCCAGGGACGCCTTGGGACTGCTGCTGCATGGGAGCCTGGATCGGAGATGGCTGGTAGCCAACGGGCGAAGTAATGCTTGAGAAGCTAGGCTGGCTTTGAAGGCTGTGTGCGCTAGACTGATGCTGCAGCGGTGGGTTCATGGAGGATGAGGGAGCACCAGGAGGAGCCATTTGCTTCATAATGGCCTGCTGCTGAGCCAGGTGCTCCTTCTGTCGAGCCATCAGGTACTGTTCTTCCTGCTTGCGTCGCTCGAGCGCATTTTGCTGCTCGGCTGTCAAGGTAGTGCCAAAGCTTGGGAAACTACCCGGGAAGGGAGGCTGAGCAGATCCAGCGGTCGTGTTAGTCCACTGGGCGACGGTCGGTTCTGGGCCATGAGGAAGGCCAATCTGGGGCACAAGGAATGGCTCGCGTGAGTTCCCAATGCGTCTCACGAGCTGAGCTAGTGGCTCGAACTCGGTGTCCTCAAGCTTCTTGATCTGCAAGTCCGGGCTGAAGAAGCCTGCCTTGAACCAATCATGCATTTCGAGTCCAGTCCACGGGCCTTGGATATTGCCTTGCGGATCCCGGTAGATCCAACGCATCCTATCCGGCATGACCATGGTACGCTGCTGAGAAGCAGGGATGCCTGCGCCAGGGGTTTGACTAGAAGGAATATCATGACCAGCCAGGTTTGGAATAGAGCCAACGGCCGAGACGGGTGTTTGCGAAGCAGGCGTTGAGCCAGGGTGGCTTGCCTGACCCGTCTTGTCGCCTTGCGAGGGGTCGAGTCCATCTAGGCCCACAGAGTCAGGCCTTCCTTGCTCGTCCTGCATGGAAGAGAAGAGGGCACCGAGTTTGCTTGATCGGCCGATGCTTCCAGTGCCAGTCATACCGGCATGGGGGCTAAATAGACCACCTCCACCGAGAGTTGACAAGCTAGGAGACTGAAGATCGCCCATAGAGCCAAAGATCGGGTCGCCGAAACCGCCAACAAAGGCGGAACGCTCACGAGTGGGCGTGCCGACGGCAGCACCAGATGACCAAGCTGAAGCTCCACCCAGGGAAGACAGACCACCCAGACCACCGAGACCAGAGAAAGTGCGGTTGGCATTGACACTGGAGTTCTGGCTGCGGTCCACAGTGGGAAGATCGATTCCTGAGCCAACCCGTCTCATCGAGCCGAAGGGGTTGGAAGGATCCCGAAGTCCGCTGATTCCGGGATGCTGGGCGGGCTGGATATCCGATCCGTCAGTGTCGACATCTTCGGGTTCCGCACGTTCGCCATGACGGTCACCATGCGGGCTCTGGTAGGGATTAGTGTTGGTTGGACTATTTGGCTCGTGGCCCTGGAGGAGGCTGGGAGTTGGGTTCCGCGAGTTCTCCTGGCTTTGCATCAACTCTCGGAATCCAGGAATGCTCGAGGTCATGCCGAATGCGCCAAACCCGAGATCAGATTGAGCGGGACCTTCAACATCCTGAGACCCGCCAAGAGCGGCGCTGCCACTGCGAGGCTCGTCGAACGGATTAGTTTCGCTTCGGTTGACACGAGTCTTGACGGCATCTCCCCAGGGCGACTGCGAACGCCCGTCACTGTCGTTTTCAGCAAGACGTTCAAGGTTACCTGTGGGCTTTTCCTTGGCGGAGCTAGCAATATCTTCAGAGCTATCCTTGGACAGCAAACCCTTGAATCTGCTCTCTCCGCGGAGACTTCCGTATCCTGGTTTCTTTTCAGCCGCGGGAGTGCCAGAGCCAGAGCCAGAACCAAGAGAGAAAGCTCCAAAGGCACCCATCGGAGAGAAATTGGCATTATGGGAGGCCGAACCCCAGGGGGAGTTTGGTCCACTAACGCCCGTATTGATAGGATTGGTGGAGCTGCGCTTCAGAGACCCAAAGGGAGAGGCAGAGTCCTCCTTGCCCTCCTTGGCCTTCTCATCCACCCTCGGGTTGGGTTCTCGGAAATCAGTTTTGCGACGCAACAGGGCAGGTGGAGGAGTAGAGGTATTGGCCTCATCGCGGAAAAATCGGGAGTTGGAACCGGTAGGAGACATGGGGTTGCCAATCGATTCTCCCGTTTCCCGGCGTCGGGTACCCGGGCGACCGGCGGTTGGGGAGGAGGTGGTATAGTTATTGATATGGCCCTGAGGATAAGAGATCGAAGATTTGCGACCTCCAGTTCCCGGGATGATGTTTTCCTTCGCGGCGTTTGTGGGAGGTGGCTTCAGAGGGGAGTTGACAGAAGCGGAGAACATCTATTAAGCTTGTTAGTAAGAGCACTCACTCAGACCTGAAAGCACACAACACAAACCTCTTTCTCATCCTCCGTCATACCCGTGATTCCGAGGGGTTCCACCTGGCCACCATGATCCCAGCAAACCTCGGGCCCCGCAGAGTTGTTCTTGTGGTCATCCCGCTTCCCCCATGCTCCATTCACAGGAGCTGACACATTGTGGGGATCCCAGTCGGCCACGAAGTATTCCTCCACGTTCTTACTCAAGGTACCCTCCTCCCGCTGTGTTTTATACAGCTCTAGAAGTTGATCCTTGGAGTACCGGGCGTCCCCATTCCGTGCAATGTTAGAAGTATTTGAGCTCAGGTGTGGAGGAATGTACGCGCCGCCGGCCGTGGGTGTCGAGGCAGATGCAGGCTGGCTACTATCCCGGTGGTGAGAGGGGGTGGTAGCAACAGAAGGACGGCGGAAGGTCTGCGTAGCTCCGTTCATGCGGTTTCGGGACCTAGTGGGCATTAAAGGTTAGCATCGGATATCTCGAGCTCAAAACATTGACCGTCACAACAGCATGGAACGATATTGGACCAAGTCTGTTGAACCGCAGCCAATGGAGGGGTCTGGGGAAGGTGGAAACAGTGTCTGCATACCATTCTCCGCTAGTCGAACCATCCCCCCTCCGGTTGGGGTCCTGGGTGTTGCCAGCAGCGGCCGAAGCGAAACTCGATGGAAGTGGTGTAGGCATTGTGGTAAAGAGGCTTTTATGGTCGGATGCTGATCCCCCACGTAAAAACCGATTCTGAGATAGTTATCGCGAGACCTGTGGCGGGCTTGCTAGAGAATGTGTGATGCGAACGGATAAGTTGCAAGACACGAGATTGGAAAATTGGTGTAGAGTTGAAGGATGACAGCTAGGAGCTAGTCAATCGAAGAAGCGGAGGGCTGTAAGAGAAGTAATGCAGATATGCGAGCGCCAGACTAACAAGGTCGAGAAAAGAGAGAGATCGAGTTTCGATTTCGCTTGGGAAGTTTCCTGGAGCAAAAATGATTAAGCGGTGGGCGTGGCAATACGCGTGCCTTGTTGTAAATACACGGTATTGTATTGCCAGTGGTCGCGTGATTCGCCGTCAAAGAGTGGGGAGTTCAGTGTATTGATGGAACAACCAATTACATACCGCCAAGAGCAAGTATCTGATACACGCACAACACTGTGTCTTCATACTCTGCCAGATGTATCTTCTACCTTGCTTAACACAGTTGTGCCCAATCCTGTGTAGCAAAGAAAAGAGAGACTGTACGAAAAGATTATAATGGTGACTCCAAATATCCAGGGTGAGTTTCGAGCCAGAATACTACTTTCCTCCAACTCAAAAAGACGATGGATACTAGTAGCAAGGACGTATGCAGTTAGGTGGCTAGACGCAAACAGAGAGACGTGGCAACAACAGGCTAGACGTGTATTCCCCACAAAAGCCACGCTCCTCTTTTGATTGGAAGTTCAACTGCTTTTCAGACAGTTCAACAGTGAGGGATTGGCTTGCTTTGGCTTCCTTTGGCTACCTTTGACTTATTTTTGTCTAAGAACACAAAGGAGAGTGTCTAGACGTTCCACAAATACAATAGAGGGGGTTGAAATGCATCCAATACCATCCCTTTCTACCCAACCTCTTGCAATACTGGGCAAACATGCCCTGTCTTAAAAGATCCAACGGTCTTATATCTTTGCATTCAGGCTGGAATCCGGTTGGGTTAAGAATCCCATTATCCAGTTGTGCCTGCCAATAGGGCTGGATCATTGTGTCGCCCTTTGTAGACCTCTACCGCCCCCGTTTGTCTTTTGATGCTTCATTCTATCACAGACAATGCTTTCTGAGATTTGCTTACTTTAGGAGTAACACAGAGACAACGCAAGACGACACAATGAATGTTTTAGCCCAAATTGATATGATGGGCTCAGTCTGAGAGCTTCACAGATGTTGTCAAGACTCTATAAAATGGGCATCCCCGTCTCCGGCAATTCCCTCTCTACAGTTCTTTCTCTCCAAGACAATCGAAGTTATTCTATGAACTATAAGCTTTCTTGCACAACAAAGATCATTTTCTCTCTTGTGTTTTCCGGTATCCAAGCCCTCATCGCCTTTGATCCAAGGATATGACGCGGTCCAGATTCAGCGGTCGATCCAAGTCCAACGGTTCAGAATTTGGCTGGTACTTCGCGGGTGAGCCAATGGACAAGAGACACTCTCGAAGCGGGCGAATCAGGCTAGTTCGCTATGGACCTGAGATGGAACCTTGTGCCCACAGTCGGTGCCCATCGCCATCTCCCATTCCAGAAAAGACACCTTGCGCCTGCAACAACACATGCGAGCTTCACTCCCACGGGACACGCTCCCAATCCCAAAGCGACCCTGACTCCTCTGGTTCTGAGTCAGTCGTAGTATGCTGCGGAGGATGTCATGCTATCAGACGCGAGCCCGGGCCCTCTCCTCAGGTGGAGAAGGTGATATGCTTCTGTGAATGTCACTCGCGAAAAACAACCCCGATCACACCAAGCAGCAGCGGATATTCCAGCTCAGGATCAGCCACAAAATGCTACGGTAGCCGTCACTCAACAAGACGGGAGCGTCGTCCCAACGACACACGTCCCACCACGCCGAACAGCAGTGATTTTTCCGACTATGAACTGCCCAGAAGACGCCGCGGTCACCGCATCTCAACACGCGAACCAGAGCATCATCCCCAGTTGGAGAAATCCCAACGCGAGGCTCACGCACCCCCTCCCAGCACAACTGCCACGTCAGGCCAAAGATACCACTCCCCGCGTGGGTCGCTCGCGACAGCACCACATGTCGGCACAGTAATCCAGCGCCACTGTCGCAAGGCGTCTTACTGCGAAAGGCACCCGGAGCTGTGCCGAGCTTTGATTACTGTGCCTTCGCCGGTGCCGAGACCAACCCCAACCCCAACGCGCTCTCCCGGTCGATTGAAAAGCCCCGTCACAAGCCGCGGGTCAAACCAGAGCTGAAACGCACCTACACTCAGGCTGCTTCGCCTCCCAAGCAGACGCCTCCCACAAAGCCAAAGCCAGTGCCTTCCTCCAAGCTCATGTGTCCCAGGCATGGTGCCCAGCATTGTGGCTGTGTCTATATGGATGGGTACCATGCTGATGACTCTAGCTATTATGCTCCTTACGACGATGACACTGTTTCTGAGACCTCCATCCAGGCCATGCCTGACCATGACAGGGCTGTGGACGAGACACGCTGTGCTTTTCATCACCGCTGCCGTCCAAAGTTCGAGTGTGGGGTTGGCTGGGTCTGCGGGAGGAAGTGAACAGGGCTTTACTTCAGTGCGTCGGTGGTTGTGTTTGATTTCAATAGAAGGAGGATCCATGCTGTTTTCTCTTACTGCTTTCACTTTTTCTGGTATTTGGTCTGTTTGAGTATCAATCCCAGATATGGAGAGCTTTGCTGGAATGCTGTCGTTTCCGTGTCAGAGGTCTAGAAAATCTGTCTGCTCTTCTTTTTCCTATGTCCAACTTACGGCCTCGGGTGTTCGGAATGCTCTTTTATTCTAGCTTGACAATTTCATATCATATGATTCAAATTTGACTTTCCTTTGACATTATTGTAGTATTTTAGGTATGGCCGAGATGGAAGCACACATAGGGGTACCTAGGTATGTGGCCAATAGCTTATCAAAGCATAACATGAATAGACTGCTTCTGCTTGACCTACGGTTTTCTGTATCTTGAGTTCTATATCCCATATACACAAGCACATTTATAGGGTGTCGAAAATATCAAATACGCAGGGTATACTCATTGTGTCCTTCTAGTTGTCACCGCTGAGCAACATCCCGAAGACGTCGCGTTTGTCGGTATACATCCATGCACTAGAATCTCCCGGCTCTCCAAATCCCTAGGAAGTGCTAGCCACTGGATGTCCCTATGTGATGATTCTTTGGACCCTTCATTTTCCACTCTCCTTCGACAAATATCCACCGATGTAGGGCCGTTGCATAGAGCAGAAGTGGTTCTAGCGGAGCGTCCTGTCTTGTAGAGCTTCATCGTGGGATGAACCTACAGCCGAGGGTTGAACTGAAATTTTAGACATTTGGTTAATCCGGTAGGGTCGTAACAGAAAGTGCGTTAGCCATATAAGCAGTCCTTAATGAACAGGATCTTATTTTACCCGATTTCTGGCAATGCTTGAGGGTGGCTGTTCTAATCTGAGCCGACCATATTCCTAGTTTGAAAGCGCTATAATCACCATATTAGTTATCCAGGAACTCACTTATAGAAGATCTTCGCTTACCGGTGCGCTGCTCGGGGAGTGGAACTGCCTTAGAAAGATGGTTTGTTCGTACGTACCAATGAAGCCACATTCACAATGCAGCTTCTGTATATCACATTCCGGCTGTGCGATCTTGCACCGAATGTTGCTTTGACTGGCGATGGCTGCTGGGAGCTCATGGTCATCGGCCCAGGGTGCTTTAACTCGCCAACCAGCTCAACTTCTGTTGCGCCATTCGCGTCTTGTAGCCCCACAAGATCTGGGATGTTTTGGGCTTGAAATCCCCAATGGAGATGTCGAATAAACTGGCCCCAGGGCCGCTCCAAGAGCATGGCCTACGGCCTGTTGGAAGCATCCTTGAAGGCCATGCTCAGTATGCGACCTCAGCCAATCAAGCTAAGGGTGGTATGATGGCACCTCTTTGTAGTTCAGCTTTGCGAGCTTCCAGAGAAGCATCACCTCTTCATCACTTTCTTGGCAGCTGACCGCCTGCGAGTGGCAGGGCGAGACTTGATGGCTCTCTCTGGGCCATGGTTGATGAGAAGAGATTTTAAGTTGATGGAGGAGGTTAATAGGGTATTTTGGTTATGTCAGAGTCAGGATGTCAATGGGACGAAGGTGGAAAGAGGAAAAAGATCGAAATGAGGGTTTCTGCTTTTATAGGTGTTTCTGAGTCTATTTGTTTGATATGTCGCTAGCTATCAGTCGCCACTCACATGCTAAGCTCAGATACGACGTATAGTATGAGTCGCTACCACGAGTTATAGTCAAATAGTATCACCCATAGTGGTTTTTGGTGTGTCTATATATTCGCCTTGCAGGTCAGGCCTTCGCTTTAGCCCTTCATTTCTCGTGGTCCAGTACCATGGTTTTTGATCCTGGAAAAAGACTAGACACTGAAATCACAGGTGACGCGACTAGACGTGATCTATTCATGGGTATAAGCAATGGCTTGATATTTCGGTGCCCAGAACCCCATAACGCAAATTCAATTATTCTACTCTTGTTGTGATAATTCGCTCTAATAAGGCTGTCAGGCCAGTGAGATGATAATCTCTCTATCATGGAAACACGTTGATTTGATATCCAAGGCTACGATATATATCCACGTAAAACACCAAACTAGCAACAGATAGCAGATCTCAAATATCCTACACAAGGTCTCTGCTGGTGCAACATAAGGGCAGTATAGAGCTATGAAAGGTCACTATAAAACAGCACCAGCAGCTACCCAAAGACACCCTATGCGTTCTGGCGGTAGGCGAACATAATATGTATGAATCTGGTTATTTTTTGGTTACAGCTTGTTTCAATTAGAGCTTCGCATGCTGAAATATATCAGGATATATATACAGTCGCAGGATTCCAATTTCCATTAATTTGTCAGCATGTAGTCTCGGACACCTGGGGATTCGGACCCAACGCGTAATCAAGAAATCGACCTTGGAACCTTGAAACCTCGGCTATCGATAAGCATTTAAGCATCCCCGCACGCCCCGACTTTCATCAAAGTCAATTTTTTTTGATATCTTCCAATATTCCGATATTCATCCAACATAATGTCCAAGGCGATTTACATATCCCCAATTGACGGCAAGCCCGGCAAGCCAGGCCAAGTCTACTACCCGCTCTCCCTCCGCACCGTGCCCAAGCCTTCCCCGCAAGGGGGTGAGCTACTGGTGAAATTGACCGCCGCGGCGCTCAACCATCGCGATCTCTTCCTCCGTCAACACCTCTACCCCGGCGTGACCTTCGATGTACCTTTGCTCGCAGACGGAGTCGGCACTGTTGTCGGTACTGGCCCGAATGTCCCCAGCCCAGAACAATGGCAAGGCAAGCGGGTGATCTTGAACCCCGGTGCTGGTTGGAAGGATTCGCCTGATGGGCCGGAAGACCCTGCTGGATACCGGATTATGGGAGGCACCAAAGTTTATGATAAGGGGACATTGCAGGAATATATCACTATTGAGTACTCGGAGGTCGAGGAGGCCCCTGAGCATCTCTCTGACGCCGAGGCTGCGGCTCTACCCCTGACGGGCTTGACGGGATGGAGAGCTCTGATTAGCAAGGCTGGTGAGAAGAACTCTGGGGATGGTGCTGCTGTCTTGATTACTGGCATCGGTGGTGGTGTGGCTCTGATGGTACTGCGGTTTGCTGTTGCCAGGGGTGCGCATGTCTTTGTGACGAGCTCGAGCCAGGAGAAAATACAGAAGGCCGTCGAGCTAGGTGCGACCGGTGGTATTAGTTATAAGGAAGAGGGCTGGGAAAAGAAGCTGTTGGGTATGCTCCCAGCTGGAAAGAGAAACTTCGATGCCATCATTGATGGTGCCGGTGGTGATTCTGTTGAGAAATCCGTCAAGTTGCTCAAGGTGAGTACCACAACGGGACATATATTCAATTACTTGATGAAAGTACTCACATTTCCAGGCTGGCGGTGTCCTCTCTGTCTATGGAATGACTGTCTCTCCTAAGATGCCATTTACAATGCCTGCTGTCCTCAAGAACATCGACGTCCGCGGTTCCACGATGGGCTCCCGAAAGGAGTTCAAGGAGATGATTGAGTTCGTCAACGCTAAGAAAATCCACCCTGTGGTGTCGCGAGTTCTGCAGACTGAGTTAGATGACTTGTCCGCAATCGACGGGCTGTTCGAGGACATGAAAAAGGGCACGCAGTTCGGCAAACTGGTGATTGAGTTCGGCAAGTCTGCGGGCAGCAAGCTGTGAACATATTCTTGCTACGATTCCCATGAAGTTATGATGCCTGTATGGCTGTCTATAAACATATGATACATATCAATTAAGATATTTTGCAGCAACTACGAGTGTTCTTCGTTCCTTCCCCCTGTGTCGCTTCATTTGACACATCAACACATCACAACGTATTTGCATCTCCAGCATACCATCACCACTTTTATCACTCATCCTCTCTTATTAGAAGTCCAATCGAGTAACAAAATCTCAGATCCGCTCATTATATAACGAATCTTTCCATTCATTTCCGATTCCACCATGAACTCCAAGAGGGACCGTATCTCCCGACGAGTCTCTCGCTCCGTTTCTCGAAATGGCCAAATGCCTCTTGTGTCGGACTCTCGTCGTGTCCTAGAAGATTCGTGGGACGAAGGTAGTTTTCAGGTATTGTCATATCGGGGAAACATCGACCTGTGGAATACCCAGTTTGTACTAACAGTCAGCACAGTCCTTTGACGCCACACACTATGCCCTGCAAACCCTCAACAAGCACATCGAACGAAGACTCGCAAAGCTGCAAGCCAATACAGTCCGCCTGAAGCGTGAACTGTGGCTGCTCCAGCGACACATCAAAGAATTCCGCCATCCTCTTTTCGAGAATTGGGAAGCCGACTTGCTCACCCGGCTTATCGAGGTTGCTCACGCGCATCAGCATAAGAAGCTACCAGGCGGCGTTGTGATCGGAGAGTCCTCGTTTGCCGAACGAGAAAATCTCAACCATGCATACAGCATCGCGGCGAAGGGAATCCGCATGCCGACTCTTCGTAAGCTTGGTCTGTCGGAGAAGTATCATCAGGCTCTACAGCGATATTCAGAGGTGAGTATTCGCTGTGGCCTCGATGTAACGTAACTTGGCCTAGTCTAATATGAATCAGGTCGCTCCTTATCGAAGTCCGAATCCCTTCCAGACCGAGTTCGCATTCGCCAAATGGCTGGTCGAGGTGCGGGAAGACAGACCAGAGCTGTATGCATTTTGGTCCAAGCTTTTCCCCGTCTGCTACGACCGCACCGTCCAAGAAAGTGCCTCCATCTTCTAGAGGATTCCAAAAATCACTTCATCATCCTGTCTCGTCACGTTTTCTATCTTTGGCTGTTCTGTCGTCAAAGCATCCAAAGAGAGGTTGTTCAGTGGGTACAATATTGCTTCGTTGTTTAGAGATGTTCTATTTCTAGAAGTTTGTGGGTCATTGCTCTGTGTGCCGGCCTCGTTCTGCCCCGTGCGGTTATGATCATCGTGTCTCATCTCAGCTTTCCACACTTTCCACATAGATACCAAGTCTATTCTTATCGATGGCTTGTCAGAATGCAGCGCCTGCCTTTTTGGTCTTGTGCTCCTGATGCATGGTATGATTTTAAGAAATAGCCCTAATCGTTCCACAAGCTAGTAGATGATGTCTTAGCCTCCTTCGACGATCGACGGCGTACACACGACCTTTTAGAGAACAAACTACCACCGTTACATCCAATCCTAGACCACATAACCACCACACCTGGACAGCTAGTATACAACATACACACCGGTCACTCTACAAGAAAGTCCACAAACCAAACAATCTAAACGTCAACCGCGCTAACCGCTCCGGGGCGTCTGGCACTTCCTCCCGACATTCTGATCAAACAGCTCGACGATCCAACCGTCAAACAATCAATATTAGGCGATATGCAATATGAAACGAACTCCCACGTGCGCGACCTCGAGAACCCTATTCCAGCAATCGTCCCGCATGGAGCATGAGGCAATCCATGCCGAATTCAGTCACCAGTAGCAATACCACGATAATGTTTACCGCTCGCTAATAATAGCTCGATTTTACGGAGTACTATACTAAGCTCGATGCTAAAATGCTAAGTGCGAACTAAAAAGTGAGACAGCCCTAAAGCGGTATGTATATTCCGCCATGCATTTAGCGAGGCTAGCGCAACGCTCGCAGTAACAGATTGATCAACCTCGTGGGCCGCTTTTCAGGGTCTATCAGCTCCCCCGAACTCGGATAGGTCCCGAAGGGTCTTATTAAAGTTTTGATGGGTTATTGATTTTCATTTTTATGGGCTGAGAGCGTTTTTCGACATGGGTATAGAGGCTTTGACCTGTATGTTCCAAGGTTATTCCGACGTTCTTCCGGTCGCATTGCTGCTATGCCCTTTAGATTGCTATGATCTCATACAACATACTCCGTACTTTGTACGGAGGAGATATGTTCATTTTGACTACGTATGGATGATTCATGGGACAGATCACTATGCTTGTTTATTTTTTATTTTGCGCCCTTTTTTATCCAATCCAGTGGATACATGTCAGTGGAGTGATGAAGTAATAAGATAGAGACTTGTCCACGTCTACGGAGTATAAAAATGTACCAACAAGTTTCCAAGGTTGGAATGTAGTATATTACATAATGTACCGTGGGCGGCCACATGGAGCCCCAGAGAACCTTGGAATGTGGCTACCAAGATAGGTAGATTAGCCTTAGCAAAGGTTAATGGCTCTTAAGCGCAGACGTTATACCTACACTGGTATACTATCGTCAGATAAAATTGCTGCCTAGCTTGGCATTTACTTAATCTGTACGTACGGAACGTCAACCCACGTTTTCTGAGCAAGTGGAGACAGCGCAACATGGAAAGAAAAGTGGAAAGCAATGGATAAACCCATCGACCGTGCACTTTACTTCCAAGGTTAAGTTGTAACTGAGCTATCCGGGTAGTGTCGGATCCGACATAAAGGTATGTACTCCGTAGCGTCTGATGACTACCAAAGGGGAGTAATTGACTAGAGCTATCAGGATGTGAAGCAGCAATTTCAATTCGATATTGTTTTGGACTGAGAGCAGAATTGATCCTCGGTACTGCTAAAATTGCTAAAAGGTCGAAACCTCGGGGGAACCTTGGAATGGACCCGAGATCCCAGCCGCGTTAAAATTTTATGCACCTCTACGTGCTCTGATTGGTTGAATTAGGAAACTCTCCACTTTCACGGAGATATCTCTACCATATGATATGCGATACTAGATACGCAATATAGTAGTCTACATATGACTCCGATAGCGTCAACGTTATATACGATTTGGTTCCTTTTCAATCCTTGGCTTAGATTTAGGTTAAGACATTGACATAAGCGCATACGTATATCGAAGTATAAATAAAGTGTTTCTCATAGGGGCATGATCGTTTTTCGGTTCCATCAACCTGAAACTGTACTTCGACTTCGATGGTTGCGATCCATGAATTGACGGGGGTGTTCGCGTCGATCCTTTTTGGTGGGAATTGTTACAATAGCGTTTAGCGCGGTGGATTGATCCAGTGTTTTTTCCCATGTGGTGTGGTGTACGGACTAGTGCGGTGGTGATATATACATTGCTCTACTATACAACCAATGTGTATTTTAGCTCTACGCCAACAATTCGTGTCAGCCTCTTCATTCAGAAAAACTTAAAACAATGCTAAGAGAGATTGTACGTACTCCGTACGGAGTACTATTATTCCAATTCAAACGAGGAAATATAGCATCGCAAATATTAAAAAGTTATAATCTCACCTCCAATATCTACCCGACCCGCCTAAGCTTCTACCGATTGGATCGCCACGGGGATCTTTGTTGCAGCCCCTGACTCGTCTATATCACCTGAAAAGTTCCACGTTAGAAGATCAGCCACTTCCTTCAGAAGCCAAATGGATCCTAATATTACAATATCTTTACCTAAAGAAGCTCGACACGGAGCACGGAGCCAAGATGACGAAAAAAAAAAGAAAAAAGAAAAAGAAAAAGAAAAAGCAAAACTCAAAGGACACGGGATCTTGCATCAAATCCACATCAGCTAAGATCTTCACTTAAAACGCCCCCAGATAAAGGTACCTCTAATACTCCGTATAACCGGTACGCAATGAACACGAGCACCGAGAATGAGCCAAGTGGGTACAAGATCAACAGTGTTAACGTGGCGCAGTCTCTTCCCTAGTGATGCGACTATAAATGAAAAACGAGGTTAACGGTTTCAGGTACGGAACTAAAAGTTGGTTCCGACACCGTCAGTACGGCTAATATGTCAGCGGGATTTGTCCACGCTATCCTCTAATCTCTGATCTGTAGCAGGCTTCCAAGATATTATTATGATGACAATGGAACAGTGGAGAAACAATATCATCTTGCATGGACTTGCGGTCAAGACTGACAGCAGGGATCAGGCTCACCTTTATCGGGATTTGTCACAGTCATATTCTTGCACTCAGGTAGACAAAGAGACAGAGAGTCGGCTAACATACCTCTCCATATGGATCACTAATGCTTCTTCCCGTAGCATCTGAATCGAGCCCACTCATCTCGACCTCGTATGTCTTAGTGTGAAGGGAAGAATTGGAAGGACTGCCAAGCGTGTCTTAGTTATCAACTTCCGCGGGCTCTCTAGGATAGGCGTGAGACGCTAAACATATCAGGGAAAGCGCGGAATCCCATGAACGTTCAGCTCGTGGAAGCGCCGGCGGTATGGATACATTGTAGACTCCGTATTCATTTTGTACTCCGTACGGAGCTCTTCTCATAACCACTTTTCTCTTGAGTAAGTGCCAAGAACGGTTAAAGCTAGCAACGACGGTTCCCACAGTGATATAATTCTCTGCTTGTGAGTGGCCATTGAGGATGGAGCTAATGTCGAGGATTCACGCCTTCCTCTGCACGCCTCCCTCTGGGATTAAAGGATCGCCGACGAATGGGGCTACACTGTGAGAGAAGATCTTCGTTGCAGGGGGCGAAAAAAAAAAGAAAGGACCCTTGAAGACATGCAGCTGATTCTGAGTCGTGATTCGCGATCTTTGATCAGCCATTCGTCATGGTGAGATAGACACCTGATTGCACTCTATCGTCCAGCTGCACCAGGGTATGATAGCCGATCCCATACTGCAAGACGGGTCCTTCAAATCTCTTCACTTAGATTAAAGATAGCCCACTCGGATAGTATTTTTCTTTTCAGAACACAAGACAGAGATGTACTCCGTAGGTGAGCAAGTCGAACCACCCAAGACCCAAAGCGGGTCCACGTCACATTCCTCCGAGCTGTCGTGCAGATTAAACCTTGATGTGAACAAGGGTAAGCCGGTGATCTTCCACCCAACAACGACACCGGTTAAAAAAAAAAATTGAGGATCGTTGCCGTTTGTCTCCCCCTTCGTGAACAGGACCAGGAGGAGCTGAAATAAAATGTAAGGGTGGTGAACCAAGGCAAAAATAGAGAGCCGTGAGTGTCTCTGACGATGTTTCACTCCGAGGGTTTGTTTCCCTATGGTCCGCGCACCAATCCCCATCCCACTATGCAGCAAGGTTGATCTTCTTGTTCTCCCTTGGACTTCACCCTCGAAGGGATTGACGATAAAGACGAAGATCCTTACCCAATAATCCAATAATCTTCCTTAACCCGTGCTCGGGATGCACTGTTGGCCCCCCCCACACGCAAGACAGAATAGACACATACAGGCACGAGTGGCGCCATCACGTACATAATATTGACGGATAGGGAGTCGACACACAGGCAATAGTGCAATTGTACCTGCATATTGCAAATGTTAGATCCCTAGAAAGGGCAAGGTCATAGAGCTAACCTGCAACCCTTTACTCCGTAACTGATACGGAGTAGGTAGACAAGGGACTACAACATAGGGTTGAACGTCGATCCAAAGCATGGGTAGCATGTCGTTCGCACGAAATAATCTAAAAATCATTTAATTAACGTTTATTAGGCGCGGGGTTTTTGCCAATAGGCAGAAGGATAAACGGTAAAAGATACTCCGTACGGAGTACATAAAACCAGGAACCGGAGAGCCCGAAGCCCTTGGTGGGTACTGACCCCGTTCAATAGTGTATCATGATGGGAGATGGATTGGACCCCTGCCAATAGTATTGTCGAGTACAGTATTGACGGCTTCAAACAAGGTTGCAAGTCCGAAGCCCTGGGGAATATGATGATCCACCTTTTTCTTTGGAAGCTTCGAAGGATGTGGAAGGTCCCTTGACAAAATTGAAGATTATTCGCTGCTTGAAACACTAGTTAGGGGATGGAGTTGATCAATGGGGTTATCAGCTGTGTTTTTTTCGGAATATTATTCAGTTTTTGTAGCTTTTTCATCGGGGTTTTTCCTTTTTGGGAGTTTGGGGGGTTGGGTTTTTGATGTGGGGACGGGCATTACTCCCGAAGATTGGCCGATTATATATGCAAACGCCAATTGGGATTTTCTTGGGGAAATGTTCCCGTTACAAACTAATAAGATTATCTGGTTTTCAAAAATTCTAAAGGGATAAATGGGATTTCATATAGATTGGACCCTTGGATTAAATGCTCCTTGCTCTGTTTGGTAGTATAGTTTAATATTCAGGGTGGTTGGGTGGGTGGTTGGGAGTTAAGGAACATGAACATTGACTTTGACACATTTAGATTGACCTGCATGTAGGGAAAATTATTAACTGTCTCCTAACGAATGGCAAGGGAAGAAGGAAGGCATCAAACAATAATCTATTAAACCAAATTTGTCTGAAGAAGCCGTTTTGGACCGTTTTGGACTCGATCGCGGATCCGATTGAAGCTTCTTGGGTAGATTGCTGATCATTGCGCTCCACTGTGTATTGTACGGTTCCGACGCCCTATTACTACCTAGGTAAATCTTGTGTGCTGACTTGACTATCGAGGTATTTTGGTTCGGTTCACAAATCGTATACCCTAAAAACTGCTCATAGTGCCCACACCTGTACGGAGTACTCCGTACATATATCGTACATCGTACCTCGGAACGTCTTCAACGTGGCAAAATCGCGGAGTCAAGTACCTTATCGATAGCAGCGCTTTGATAAATACTTTTTATTCCCCCCCTTTTATCCCTTTCCTACATCGTGGGTGGCTGGAGCTGCACGAAATAATACTCGGGAATTGTGCATCCGGACCGTTAATGTTTCCTGTTTGGTTTAGCGTATTTTTCTCATCATTTTTATTTTTATTTTTATATAATTCTTTTATGAAGGAGTGAAGGATATCTACATTAAGAAATAAACTTCTTTCCAATAATGCTTCCCGAATATCTTGAACCCTTGTATTCCGTACTCCGTACGGAGTAGCTATGATCTCATAGCGGACCTTTGAAAAAAATATACAAGAATTGCCGAAAGAAACCCTTACGGACATTTTGGATTCTATTTTCAACATGTGCGTCTGCGTCTGCGTCTGCATCTGCGTCTGTAACAATAACATGGTTGACGTTCTTACGGAACTGCAGACCTTGACGCGCTGCGTCGGGTAATTTTCCTAGAACAATAATGATCTCCTGCGCATTGGGGATTTGCACGATCAACAGGGCCTGGAGAGCCCGTGGCCCGGGAGCCGTTGGAATATGAATTGCGTACATGTAGTACATGTAGTGCATATCCGCCTAATGGATATGATTCCCAACCTTCATCTACATACATATGTAGTCATATTCAGTATGCTGAGAGTGAATATGGATATGATCTAAATATATACGGAAGTTAAGATGGATAAGGTGACAGTGCAGAGTGCCCAAGTGCCCCAGCTGATGGAACGGTCCTGTTACCTCGAGGGAGCACGGATGCTCGGGTTCAAAGTGATACCCGATCGGGTCTAGAGGGGTGGGCAGGAGGAGCAGAAGAACTAATCACAGGACAGGACCCTTGCATAGTCAGGCCACCGAGTCACCTGAAAATGCAAGGTGTGCTAAACTTAGACCCTTCGTGTTTGGTTTTTTTTTTTTCTTTTTTTGGTTTTTAGATTTGGTTCTTTCTGGAAATCTGAGCTTGGGTTTCCAAGGTTGGCCCTTCGTACTCGTTTATTTATCTTCGATTGGATTCTGTTCGGGTCCGATGACGGTAAGCTTAACAGAGTTTCTAAGATTGGCCAAATACATTCGGAAAAGGTTTTGGCTTTGCTCGATCAGGAAATATCTGGGGATTTACTTTCAATCAGCTGTGGTACCGAGAGTCTTATGTGGGCAGTACACATCATGCTCCGTATATGTACATCAGCCTCGTGTCGGGGGGAAAGGAAAATATGAATTATAATATTGACCGGCATGACGACACGATGTGTATGTACTCCGTACGATCGTGACCCTATGTAGGGAAGATCGTAAGTGGAGCATCTGGAGAAAAAGAGCGAAGGGTCTTGTTTTTGCCAGTTTGGTTCGGCACGGATGACCCAAGGGTTGGTGTAAGGAGCCGCTGACAAAGGGATCAACTTCAGATCGTATCACTGTAAGGAAAAAGTGTCATTGGGTTAAAAAAAAGGATCAAAAAGGAAGTTGAATGGAAAAGTACCCGAAGCTGATGTAGGGGAGCTAAATATACCAGTTACAAAAAAAAAGAGAAAATAGAAAAAGAAAAAGAAAAACATAACAGGGTTGCCGGTGAAGCTTTCTGATTGGTAGGGATAATAGTAAGAGAGGAGCCCTTCGAGAGAGTCCTCGTTATAGACACAATCCCTGATTGGATGGACCTTGACCTTGTCAACATGGATCTTGTTCAGGGTTACAGTACTCTACGCCCCTTTTGGAAGAAAAAAACAATGAATGAGGCTATGCTTGTAAAGTCACCTGGGGAAGAGCATATACACAACAGCGTACAAAGGTAACCATCGGGCTGAATTCTATATGGAAATAAGGCGATTCTCGTTCTGCAGACATAAAATATCTTTCTTTTTTTTTTCCTGCCTTCCACATGCTGGATGATTCCCCACTTTTCTTTCTTTTGCTAGCGGCGCAGGTCGCCAGATTGGTGTTTATCCCGAGAACCTCACCACGTTCCCTTTTTCTGTCCCCGATGGTATGAGCAGATATTCTCATTTTTGGTTCCCAGTTCCAAGGTTCTTCAAATAGAAGGGTAGAAATGTACAACATAGTCAAAGATCTTTTTGTTAACATCATCTTATTAACATCATACTATCTAAGAAAAAAAGGATTATGTGGATCTGACTGGTCGGACACCTCGGAAAGCATAACAAGTCGGCTTCTAGTGGCTTCCGACACACTGGTTGACTCGTTTGTAAATGTCTCCTTGTTTTATGATATCGAGACTCGAGACTCGAAGATAATTATAAGATTGTGTGACCATGGTAAAGAATCAAGGAGTACCTACATGTACTCTATACAATACATATACTTATCTGTATCTATGTCATAAGGTAATAATACCCAAAATACCCAATTGATGCCAAGTTGATCCCCCCCTCTGTGCATCCCCCGCCAGGATTTCCCACTAGTCTTTTAGTCTGACTACTTTGAGAGATCAATTTAATTGAATTTTCTTTTTATTATTCATAATTATGAAAAACAATAAAAAATAATATAATATACAAACCCAAAAAAAGTTCTCCCCCCCACAGGGCCTTATACAGTTTAGGTCGTAAATTGTACTCTTGACCTGCTCTCTTCTGACTGCTAATAATAATATTCCATAGAATCCTCAATGCTTTTAACCCTGCTGGTCCCATCTTCCTTGCATCCCACTTTCCATCCCCCTTTGAAATTTATTATGACTTTCTAAGTCACACATTCGCTCACCACGTTCGCTCTTACGCTCGCTTACCTGCTGCTACGAGAACCACGTTCGCTACGTTTACTGGAATTATAACTCGCCCTTTAATATTTAAATTCTTTTTTTTTCCCTTGCTGAAACCCCGGAATATCCGCCAATTCTATTTTATATTCGAAACGATTTGGTGGAAGAGGGTCGATAAAGTGTCATTTGCCTGACACTGCGTTTGCGCGATATCTCTGTAGATCCCGTTTGCTCCGCGGTCTCAGTTGAACCTCCAACCTTTCGCGCAAAAGGGAAAAAAAAGGGAAAAAAAAGAAAAGGATTCTCTTCGGGCTTTTGTACTTGCGACAGGCTATACTACCCGGGTACTGGATACTGGATATTGGACACAACTGGATTACGGAAATTCAACCATTCGCTTTCTTGTCTCGGAAGACACTCCAGAATTCTAGCGGAATCGCCTCTGTTTGGAAAGGTCTCAGAGTCATTAGGGAATATTGGATACAAGAAAGGAACTATTCAGGCAGATCGGTTCATCAGCTTAAGGTTAGTATCAATGTGCACCCCTCCCTTTGCCCACGGTCTCACTTGTTCCCCTCGTGCCTTGCATACTTCCTCTTTCGGTTCTTGATCTTTGGTGTCATGCTCCTTGCAGGGAATTTGTATTCTCTGGACTATACCAACGACTGGAAATGACGATAGTTGTCAAAGCCGTCGGATAGCTTCCCCGTCCCGCTATTGTCCAGTGTTTGTTGACATTAGTCTCTTCTTCAGGTTTAACGACCCTCGGATCTTGCATATTACCTTGGAAGGTGAACAGCCAGAACTTGGTCTCAGATCAGAACCTTTTCCATTTTCACTTTCATCTCGGTGAGTTCATTCCCCCCTATGCACCGATCCGGTTCTCATAGTCTGAAAACGTTCTCGTATACTCATTAATTGAGTAGCCTATCATCTGGAATCTTGTTCATTGTGGCCCAATCTGCTTGAAGTTTTCCCGAAACACCTCGCGGATCAAGGAAATAAAGAAAAGCGAAACCTCTCCAGTCCACGCTCGTTGCTCGTCATCCCAACCAATCTCGGCCCTTCCCGTCACAATTGGCGGTGGACATTGGAAATCTACCAAGCGACTAGTTCTTCTGCTTCTCTTTATGAACCTTTGGGCACTACGGTCGAGATTTGAGTCTATTCCTGCAGCCAACCGTTCCTAGTTTCAGCCTTAGTGGTTTATTCCTGGATGGTGATTCGAGGCCTTTTGTTGCCGCCATTTTTGTGAGACCAACAGCAGCTTCGTCTTGTCGCTCGTTCTGTCTCGGAGAGCACTCCAATTCTTGCTCGTGCTTTTCGACCCTACAATCGTTTGGAATAAATTCCCAGTCATTCGCTTCAGAAGGTTCTGTCTTGTTGCACTTGTTGCAACATCTTCAAGCTGGCTTACTCGAAGACACACGGTGTTTTGGTAAGATTCCCACCCCAGATTTGGATCTGTCTCTCTCTTCCCTTGTGGATGCCCGCATGTTTTGCATAGGTGTTCCAATCCCAGCCCAGCATCTTGTTTGAATCTTCTCAACCCTTGCTCGATTGCCCTTTTTTCTGTGTGCACAAGAAACCTTCCCGCTGACCTGTCTCTCCTTGTTCCGTCACAGTTCGACCCAGATTTTCAAACGCCTCTAATACTCGGCGAGTCGTTGGATCTGTCGGACTCAGAAGAATCACAGTTTGTCGGTGCATTTTCAGACGGCCTGTGGGCCAAGTCTGAGCCCATCCTGTCCATGTCTGCTTTCCAGAAGCCCGTTGCCGGCGCCATACTAGGTACGTTGCATTTGAAGAACTTTGGTTTGCTATGATTTGGGAACATCCCGTGTGCTGAGACCAAACACAGATTACGGTTCCACTCGGTCTTTGCATGATGCTGCTTCTTACTCGAACTATGGTCAATCACCTTATGTGACGACCCCGATGGTTCCCTCGCCCATGGCCGATCAGGCAAGTCAGATCTCGGATTGTGTTCCGTATCTGCCCAACGAGTATGCTAGCTCGTACGAGGAGTCTCAGTCGCCCATGTTGGGCGCACGCCACCGTCAGCTACCCGAAATTGTGACATACAGCCCCCAGCGCGGAAGTGAAGGAACTAGGGTGATGGTCCAGATCCAGTGCCCCTATGACCTCCACGCTTCTTCATACGCATCTTTGTATGTTGTTTTCGGCTCAAAGAAGTGTGAATCCCTCCCGCATTTCCTTGGATTCCAGGGCTCCGCGTTCCAGTACGGTCTTTCGGCTGATGTACCTGCATTCTTGTCTACTGGATCCCCATCTTTTGCTGTTCCTCTGTCTGTCTTAATGGAGACCCAGGATGACTCTCCCGCCACCTCGCTTCAGGTTGGTGTGTACACTTATGAGCAAGCTGCCCACCCTTCGCCATCAGCGGATTCCCGCAAGAGAAAGTTCTCATATTCCGATGCTCCTGCGGCACCTGCTAAGCGACACAACGGATCCGTGATCCCCAAGGTTGAGCACCACGAGGGCTACCACAGTCGCTCTGTGTCTGCGTCTTACTCGCCTTACTTGCAGCCACTTCCCGCCATGGCCGGGTTCGTCGCACCATACCACGCTGCGTCCTCTCCCCAGACAGGCTCTGGCCAATACTCTTCTTCTGCCACCCCTCAGCCCGCCCTCCGTGTTCCTTCACCTATTACCCCAGCTTGGAGCCCATCTTTCGTCCCTGTGAGCAATGATGGTCGCAACTCTGGTCTCGCCTTGACGCATGGTGTTCCTCAGCACAAAGGTCCCACCCAGCGTGGTTCTTCAAATCCCACTTTGATCCGCACCTCCACCATACAAACGCACAGCATGCCCCACAACCCCGCCTTCAACCCTTATGCCATGTATCCCACCAAGGCTGTCCTCAAGCTCAACGGTGATCTCGATAGCATGACACAAGGCTGGTCGAAGGAAGAACGCACGTCCCAACGCCGCCTGGTGCAATTCACCCGTTCTCAAACTGGTAGCACCATCCTGGGCGAGTTCAAGGCTGTTACCCCCGAGGATCGTGCCCCGAGCAGTATTTGCATCAGCTGCATTTTGTGGGAGGAGAGGAATGAGTGCTACGTGACCAGCGTGGACACCATTTATTTGCTTGAGTCCCTCGTGGCTGTGCGCTTCACTGTCGAAGAGAAGAATCGTATTCGTCGCAACCTGGAGGGCTTCCGCCCCCTGACCGTCTCCAAGGCCAAGGTCGACAGCGAAGAGTTCTTCAAGGTGATCATGGGTTTCCCTGCCCCCAAGCCTCGCAACATCGAGAAGGATGTCAAGGTCTTCCCCTGGAAGGTCCTGAGCCACGCACTCAAGAAGATCATTGGGAAATACGTATGTCCTTGAATTCCACAGCTCATCGTGACGAGGTACTAATATTTGTCTTTTCTCTAGTCTGCCAGCTATTCCTCAACCGCCGGTGCTCTCCCCACACCGATGACCACCACCTACACCAGCCACGCCAGCCATCCCAGTCTTGGCACTGGTTCTGATTCCGGTACCGAGCCTCACACTGCCAACTCCCCCCCAGTCCATCTCCGACGCTGGTGCTGGCAACACCTACACTGGTATGCCCGTCCAGCCCTACTCGCAGGCAGATCACTCCGCCTCCCACATGTCTTCGGCTCCTGAGCTCCGATCCATGACCGTTGCCTCCCAGCCCTATACGTCTGTTGGAGCATACTCGTACCCGGCCATGTGCCACCCCCAGAATGTCAACGGTCTGCCAGCTACAGCCCCGCGACCTTCTTGGGACATGCAGCCTCTCGGCCCCAACGCTCCTCACACTGGCGCACCCGGAAATGGCACATGCTACACCTACCTGGATCCCGTGTACTCGATGCACGATTCGGCCCACGGCGGCCAGTGATCCCCTTACCCGGCTGGACCTTCTATCTGATTTCTTGTTGCGTTTTCTTTCCATTCTATTTTTCATACTTTCCCCTCCGCCTTTTTTGAAGATACGATTTTCCTTTTCTTGTCACTCCTTACCAAGCCCAGACAGCGGGTTGCCAGCCCATCGGACACAATGTCTCTTCTTACCTGAAAAGGTAGCGAGAGCCCTTGTATCTGCTGGACCTCGCATCCCGCACATTGATCATGATTTATGTCCCTCCTTACACTACAACATCATAATGCCTGATGCCCTCAGCATGCACCCAACCCCGCGACCTTCGCATATCTGCTTTTTGACTTTTTTGACTTTTGGAACTTTGTCCCACTTTGAGACCTGTTCCTCGCATTTAGACGGTGTCTTGTTCATTCCTTCCTTGGGTGCATATCTTACATGCCGGGCATTGCGGCTTCCACTCCTTTTTTGCGCACAAAACATACATTCTGGGCTTTTGTACTACTATTCAGCATAGCGGGCGCTTGCTTGTCATTCCTTTTGCATTTGCGGGTTATTTTCGGATTGGAAATGGGATAGACTTGGGGTTTTCTTTTCTTGGAATCTTGGCGGTCTTGTCCATTTTATCCAATTCCTTGGTGCATTTTGGACGGGGTTCTTGGGCAAGGATTTCTGACACAATGGAGTTCTCTTCTTGTTTCGGGTTTTCCTGCTCTGGTCCCTGTCTATTTTTCACTTCTCTGTTTGAAAGTTTGGTTCGGAGTTCATTCGGTACTTACCAATTCTTGTTATTTCAGCTGAGGGTTGTTGTCACTTACTACATACCTACTGCATTGTTCCGGCGTTTGGGACTTGAACGGTTGGACCGTTTATTACCCTACTTTTCTGCCTTAATATTACTTATTCTGAGTCATAGTTGTTGCATTGCAAATCGACAGATTACTTTCTCTTGAATCATTCTTAATTACCCTTGTCTCGTGTATTATTGTAGCGATGAAATGACTCGATGAGTTGAGATACTGTAAGGATCGCATGGTTTTCATTAGATAGCCCTAGCTGGTAGATATACGTAGTATAATTACATAATAGCAAACCCTCGCTTCCTGGCGGAAAACCCTTTCTCTTTCTGTGTAGTACAAGTTGTGTGATGGGTGTAAGATGATGCATTCCAAAACTACGTGCTCAAAGCTAGCTAAGAGGGCCCCATCACGTGATAGGAACACTATGCGCCCTTTCCACAATTGTCTTAGTGCATTCTGCATCCACCAACAATATTTCTCCCATCTCTTTTCCCCTTACTCCACAACCCGCTTTTCCCTCAATTTCCGTCCTATCAACGAACCAGCCGTTTCGACCATGTCAGATTTACTTTGCGGGGCTTCCGTCATGGAGACCGCGGTGGATGTAATTCTGCGACCCGTCCCTCCCCTCACCCAGATACATGGTACGCGTTATGTCTCCAACTCATCTGAGGTTATCTCGTTACGGTTTTTCCATGAATGGCAGAGCTTTAAACAGGATGTTCTCGAAGCATCCGATTCTTTAGATCTTAGCCATCCTGTGCCTTACACGGATGATGTGTCAGAAAGCTACATCGTTGGAAGCGAACTTGGTTTGACCGGGAGGTTCTCCAAGAATGTCTGTGACCCAGTTTCGAAAGTGTTTGCCACTACTGGCCTCTCCCACTTGAAGTTCGGTGATTATCAGTCCTCTGCAGGGCCAACGGACACGAGTCAAGTGCCTGATATCACTATGTTCAACACAACGGGACCACCTCGCCCAGCGGCTGTCGGAGAACTAAGGTCTTTCTGGACAGTTGAACTTGAGGACTATTCCATTCGCGAAGGCTATCAACGGTTAATCGGCATCCAGCATCTCATTGGTAAGTCCAGTTGAACCTTATTTTTACGACCCTGTTAACAGTTCCTCAGCCCAACTCGTCAAGCACATGCGGTCGAGTAAGCTTAAGTTTGGATTTTTGTCGACATACGAGTGGACGGTCTTCATTCGCAGAACGGCTCCTTACCACTTTGACATGTCGTTACCCGATTGCAAGAGACGCATCGAACCCCAGTCTCCGGCAATGCTTCTTGGCGCTAGGTGTAGTGGCTTCCAAAGATTGGAAATTTATTGAACCCCCTGACTTCAACGTCGCCCAGGTGAGTTTTCCAGTTATAACAGCGGCAATCTCCTAACATCAGACCCTAGCTCCGCGTTCCGACGGGCCCTTCACTCCAAGCGTCCATCCGTCTATCCGCTTTCCGGAACCAAATCGGCACCAAGGAGGAGATATCGGACATGCTTGGCTCGTCGTCAATCCTTTACGGGGCCGATGACGGTCTTGCAACGACGTTCGTAAATTGCAAGAGGATTATCCATCAATCCTCCGCCAAGGCGATTTATGAAGTCACATGGGATGGAAAACCGGCCATCGCGAAATGCTGGTCACCGTCTCGAGTCGAACGGTCTGTTGCTGTGTCCTTGTAGCATAGTATCTCAACCGCTAATCCTTTTGTTCTGTAGGTTTGCTGACGAAGCGAGGACGTATGAGAACATCCATGCGCAACGCCCAGCCGGTTTCGATTTTTTCCCTCACTACTAAGCATCGGCAAGATCTGTTGTTCTTCGATATTTCCCCAGGGTTATATCATTGTGATGACAAAGGTTGATGGGAAACGGCTCGACACACAATGGAACCAACTTTCTGGAAGCGTTAAGGAGCACATACATTCGGAAATTTACAAGGCTATCAAAGTCCTCAGGCGAGCATCAACCATTATTATCGACTCCGGGATGCATAATGTCTTGTATGACTCGGAAACCAATGCTGTAACAATGGTGGATTTTGAGATGATGCAAGCATGTGAGGAGGACACCATGAGTCCTGACGAACCAGAGATGTTTTCCATATTCAAGCATTACCCTTCGCGCGTACGGGTTCGTCACGAGGGTGGTTAGACGCCAATCATCGACAATCACACTCCGGAGTTATCGCGAACCGATGGCTGCCATGAAGTTTGATTCGCGGGAAAACTTCCTGCTATGCTCGAAGCATCTTTATTTGCCACGCTTGGGTTAATATTGCTGTTGCTGAAAGAAACGTTGCTACGCTTTTCAAATGTTCTGTATGTCTTATACCCCTAGTCGACTTCATAGCTTCACGAGAAATGTTTAATAGGCGCTCTCACTCGTCGTTTTCTCAAATACAGTCTATCTCGTATAAATATTGACTAGCTATATGATACCAAAGCATCTAGACTTATATTATTTGCGGTCGTCTCGAGCCTCGGGTAATCACTTTGCAAGTGCTTAAAGCTCATCGGACACACCTCGGCACAATAGTAAACTGATACAACTCGAGGTGCGCCCAGGCTGCTTCCTATGCTGTAGTGGCCTCAGGCATCCACTTCCTGTGGAATCCCCGAGCCTGATGCCAACCCTGCAAACCCTTGGGGACGACAGAGTGATGTAAATAATATCACGTGAGTACACCAACCCTACATCCATGTCTCGTAGAACGATAAGGTCAGGTGACTTGTTATCTTATCAGCACGTGATCTGCGGGGCCCAGCGAAGCCGGACTCGAAAAAGCCCTGGAGGGCAATTGCACTTGAGTCATACAGATCGTTTGCTCTTTTATAACATCGTCTTATCCCATTCCTGACCTAACAATTCACCGCGTGTGACTTATCCCAACTTTGCACATATATATAGGGACTGTTTGCCTTCCCTTGGCCTCTTCTCTTTCTTCTTTCTTCTTATCACCACACTCTTTTGCCCCGCCACTGTCACATCGCTTTTCATAATGGAAGCTATTAAGCAGACTTTCGCCAAGTGCAAGGTGCAGAAGCGCGCGGCCCTTGTGGCCTACATCACTGCAGGATACCCCACTGTTGAGGAGGCAGTTGATATCCTCCTTGGTCTCGAGAACGGCGGAGCCGGTAATTCAACTCCCAAGTGAAAGTTGCTCAAAGAGATGATCTTTACTGACACTCGATCTCACTTCATAGATATCATTGAGCTTGGAATTCCCTTCACAGACCCCATCGCTGATGGTCCCACTATTCAGACCGCTAACACAAAGGCTCTTGAGAATGGTGTCACCCTCACTACTGTGCTTGAGCTTGTCCGCACTGCCCGCAGCCGCGGTCTGCAGACCCCTTTGATGCTCATGGGTTACTTCAACCCTGTCCTTAAGTATGGCGAGGAGCGTATGCTCCGCGACTGCAAGGAGGCTGGTGTCAATGGCTTCATCATGGTTGACTTGCCCCCGGAGGAGGCCGTCCGTTTCCGCGACCTCTGCTCGAGCGCTGGGTGAGTTTGTCTATTTTCACTTATTCTCAAATCTTTATCGCTTGTCTATGATTATCCAGCATGCTTACCCCCATTTCAGTCTCTCATACATCCCGCTTATCGCCCCTGCTACCTCCGATGCCCGCATGCGTCTCCTCTGCAAGATCGCAGACAGCTTTATCTACGTTGTTTCCCGCATGGGCGTGACCGGCGCCACCGGCTCATTGAGTGCAAACATTCCCGAGCTTTTGAACCGCGTTCACGAATATTCAGGCAATGTCCCTGCTGCATTGGGATTCGGTGTCAGCACTCGTGAGCACTTCCTGTCCGTCCAGGAGCAGGCCGAGGGTGTGGTCATTGGCAGCCAGATTATCACTTGTGTTGGCAAGGCCCCTGCTGGTCAGGCTGCCAAGGCTGCTGAAGAGTACCTCTCCAGCATTACCGGACGTAAACGTGAGCGTGATGCCACCGGTGCCTTTACCCGCGAGATCAACGTCCTTGAGGCCGTTGAGAAGGCCCTGCCTTCTGTTCAAGTCCAGCCAACTAAGGTCATCACCGATGCCGACACACCCGCCGGACCTGGTCTCGCTGACCAGATTGAGGCCCTCAATGTCACAAAGGATGCATCTTCCCAGCCCTCACGCTTCGGTGAGTTCGGTGGACAGTATGTCCCCGAATCCCTTATGGATTGCTTGAGTGAGCTCGAGCGCGGCTTCGATGTCGCCAACAACGACCCCAAGTTCTGGGAAGAATTCCGCTCATACTACCCCTACATGGGCCGCCCTAGCAGCCTTCACTTGGCCCAGCGTTTGACCGAGCACGTTGGCGGCGCCAACATCTGGTTGAAGCGTGAGGATCTGAACCATACTGGTAGTCACAAAATCAACAATGCTCTTGGACAGATTTTGATTGCCCGTCGCCTGGGCAAGACCCGCATCATCGCCGAGACCGGTGCTGGCCAGCACGGTGTTGCTACTGCCACAGTTTGCGCCAAGTTTGGTATGAAGTGTACCGTTTTTATGGGCGCCGAGGATGTGCGTCGCCAGGGTCTCAATGTTTTCCGCATGAAGCTCCTTGGTGCTTCCGTTGTTGCTGTGGAGGCTGGAAGCCGCACCCTCCGTGATGCAGTCAACGAGGCTCTCCGCGCTTGGGTCGTCGAACTTGACACCACCCACTATATCATTGGCTCTGCTATTGGCCCCCACCCCTTCCCCACCATCGTCCGTACCTTCCAGTCTGTGATTGGAAACGAAACCAAGGAGCAAATGCAGGCACAGATTGGCAAGCTCCCCGATGCCGTCATCGCCTGTGTTGGCGGCGGTAGCAACGCAGTCGGAATGTTCTACCCCTTCTCCAACGACCCGAGTGTCAAGCTCATCGGCGTCGAGGCTGCCGGAGACGGCGTCGATACCAACCGTCACTCTGCCACCCTCTCTGGTGGTTCCCACGGTGTCCTCCACGGTGTTCGCACCTACGTCCTGCAGAACGAGCACGGTCAGATCTCGGACACCCACTCAATCTCTGCTGGTCTCGATTACCCCGGTGTCGGTCCCGAACTGAGCAACTGGAAGGACTCCGAGCGCGCCACTTTCATTGCGGCCGACGATAGCCAGGCCCTTGCTGGATTCCGTGCCCTCGCCCAACACGAGGGTATTATCCCCGCCCTCGAGTCCTCGCACGCCGTCTGGGGTGTGATGCAGGTGGCCAAGACTATGGAGAAGGGTCAGAACATCGTTCTGAACCTGAGCGGTCGCGGCGACAAGGATGTTCAGCAGGTCGCTGACGAGCTGCCTCGCCTGGGGCCCAAGATCGACTGGGATCTGCGCTTCTAAGCGCTTCCGACGTCGTTTCTATGCTCTTTTTGCATCCGGATGCGATTCCCCGACAGTTTTTTTTTCTTTTCTTTCCTTTTTTTTCGGTCCTCTGGCGAGACGGAGGTTTCATGATTCTTTGATGCTTTTATGATCTATATTGCGGGATGGTCATGGAAAAAGCGTTATATTTGCATTCTTTTCTTTCCCTTCATTTGGGATTTATTTCTTGGATAAAAGTAGAAAAAGAAAAAAGAGATATTGATATCCCCTTCTCAGTCTTTTGTTTTTCATCATTTTGGACTGTCTTCATAAACATAGATAGCTTTAGGCTAGAGAACAATGACAGCCTATCATCTACCATCTACAAAAGACCACTATCCACACAAGATCAACGTACAAACCCGTCATCCCATAATTTTATAGAGAGCACAAATAGCCCGTGAAATAGATTCGATAATGTATCATGCTCGAGCAAGAAGAGACCAAAAGAAAAAATCAACCAAGAAACATACGAACGGCCGCACAACAAGAACAAAAGATAGGAGTATATGCAATTGACATCGACAAAAATGGGACCTACTAATCCCTCGCCAGGGCTCACTGGCTTTCCACTTCTACCTCACACCAAAAGATAGAATCCCCGGCGATAGTATACTTGAACATAGCGCAAGACTCGGGATTCATCTCAATACAGCACCACCTCATGCGTCGATCAGGTTCTCACCCGAGTTATCGCGGGTATCCTTGTTAGGGATTTTGCGGGCGTGGCGGGCGTAGAACTCGTCGAGAGTGCGCTTGGGGACACGGTTGAGGAGTTCCTTGGGGTAGATGCGGAGAAGGTTCCAGGCGATGTCGAGGGATTCTTGGATGGTGCGCGACTCGTAGGGAGACTGGCTGATGAAGGTGCGCTCGAACTTCTCGAGGAATTCGAGGGAGAGCTTGTCTTCCGAGGAGAGGGCTTCTTCTCCGACGACGGCTTTCATGGCGGCTGTTTAGGGTGGTTAGAGGTGTTCAGGTGATTTGGAAGGATGGAACAATGCAACGCAGTGTTCTTTGGGGTGGGTTGCTTACCGGCATCACGACCAATGGCGTACTTGGCGTACAGCTGGTTGGACACATCTCCGTGGTCCTTGCGGGTGCGGCCCTCGCCGATGGCGGACTTCATCAGACGTGATAGGGAGGGCAGGACGTTGATTGGCGGGTAGATACCGCGGTTGTCGAGCTGACGGTCAATGAAGATCTGACCCTCGGTAATGTAACCAGTCAAGTCGGGAATGGGGTGGGTGATATCTGCGTGGGTATGGTTTAGTGGGGTTCAACTTGAGGGTTGGATTGGGCAACGCACCGTCGTTAGGCATGGTCAGAATGGGAATCTGTGTAATGGAACCATTACGGCCCTCGACTCGTCCAGCACGCTCGTAAAGGGTGGACAAATCTGTGTACATGTAACCGGGGTAACCACGACGACCGGGGACTTCTTCTCTGGCAGCGGAAACTTCTCGCAGAGCATCACAGTAGGCCGACAAGTCAGTCATGATGGTCAGGACGTGCTTCTCGAGCTGGTAGGCGTAGTATTCGGCGGTGGTCAGGGCAAGACGAGGAGTAATGATACGCTCAATAGTAGGGTCGTTGGCCAAGTTCAGGAACAGAGTGACACGCTCCATACTACCGTTCTCCTCGAAGTCGCGCTTGAAGAAACGGGCAGTCTCCATGTTGACACCCATGGCGGCGAAGACGATAGAGAAGTTCTCCTCGTGGCCGTCGTGAACATCCTTGGTGGGCTTAGCCAAACTTGCTTGGCGACAGATCTGCGCGGCAATCTCGTTATGTGGCAGACCGGCAGCGGAGAAGATGGGGATCTTCTGTCCACGGGCAATGGAGTTCATCGTATCGATAGCGGAGATACCGGTGGAAATCATTTCCTCGGGGTACACCTTGTCCATTCGTTAGCTTCCCATAGTCCCATCTGATATCGGTGGCAGTGCGCATACTCGAGAGTAGGGGTTGATGGGCTGGCCGTTGATATCCAAGTAATCCTCCGCCAACACCTTGGGACCCTTATCGATAGCTCGTCCTGAACCGTCGAATGTTCGACCCAGCATGTCCTCGGAGACGCCAAGCTTCAAGCTGTGGCCGCTGAACTCGACTTTGGTCTGAGCGATCTGTCAGCACATCCGATATTCAAATCATTGCCGCCAGTAATTGTACCTTCTTCACATCGATACCGGAAGTGCCTTCGAACACCTAGTTGACAAACGAGCTACATTAATGTCTTGCATATTAGGGGCGAGGTTCTATTCCGCACCTGCACAACAGCGCGGTTTCCTATTTGTATACATAGCAAGTCAGCTTTCATACTCCTAAATAAACGGCAGAATGTGGGGAACGGACCTCTGGCTTCCAGTACTTGACCACTGCGCTCTGAGCCATCGGGGAGCGTCAAGGAAACGATCTCATTATAACGGGGGAACTTGATCTGTTTGAGAATGTTATCATTAGCATATAATTCCCACTATATTGTCAGAGCATCATATGCCAACTCACATTGTCGAGGATAACCAGCGGTCCGTTGATGCCTCCGATGGTATTGTAGCGGAATCGGGGCTTAATGGAGGACATCCGGGGGTCAATAAAGTCGGCCATGGCGAATCTGATCCTCCACGGGCGAAATTCAGAGTAGAAAAGGCAAGGATGGGGAGGAGAGCAAAGGTGGGACTGGGGGGGTTGGTCCAGCTGTCTCGATGGGGGAGCTTGGGCGGTGACGTTGCACGTGATGAGGTCCAAGATTGCGTAGACCGGGTCTTCATTTCTTGGCGTTTGCTCCTCCGGGCTTTTATATTGCACGTTATACTACAGCTCTTCGTGTATTTGGATTATTTTCGATGATTCACATTATTCCTACTAAGAACACAAATAATGCAATGGCGGCAGCCAGACCAAATCTGACAGGAATCTCAGCAGATAGAACACTAGCAGAAGTTGAACGGCTGCTCTTTCATCCGCGAAGTGGTGGTCGCAGTGAAGACCCCAATAGCAGGCGGGTCACTAGATCTGCTACTGGGAGTCATATTCACAGATTCTGTACCCGGAACACACACATCACCAAGCAGCGCGGCGTCAGGAGCAGCCCGGGTACTACCTTTCGCAGACCACTGCGCTTCACTCTGCGCCTTTTGCTAGCAGTGAGGCCACTTTTTGGCCGCCTCGGGCGCGGTCACCTGTCATCGTGAAGGCATAGCTCACGTCAATTTCTGACTCTTGGTGGAAGACGCAAAGCAGCTCAACGGGTCTAGGCATCCGGTTTAAGCCCGAGGCATATTTTCGATTACCATAAAATATACGGAATAGTTACATTAGAAATGAAGCAATAACCCATGAATCTATCCATGTTCTATGCATACATGTATTGTATGAAGTCCAGTGGAGAGCGAACATGTTTTGTTCAAGGTATCATGCATATCAGAGGCCAATACTAAGCAACTAAGATAGGTAAGATTGCTGACGACGAGCAATAATAACACGGAAGACCCGATCAAAAACGACAATTGAACCAGGAGAGAAGAAACAGTCATAGTAATAATGTGAGATCCTGAGCCCATCAAAAGCAGGGTATCCATACGCGTGAAATAGAGACAGCGGTAATCCTTCCAACGAACCATTCAAACGCAGTGCAAGATAGGCGCCTCGCCATGATCCGATCCATGAAAATGCAAACCAGAAATAAACACACACAGAAAAAAAAGAGTGGATCAGTCCACTTTGGCTTGAGCAAGGCTCTTCGGAGTAACTAGATTATTGGATAGGCGGACATTCGCAGTGCCCTTGAGCTTGTCTTTCCACGTATGCCTCTTCAACTTTCGGCGCGCAACCATTACCGGCACAGAGGAACTAGAAAGAAGATAGTTGGAGAACGATCCGAGAAGGACACTAAAGGTAAGGTTAGTATTGTCTCCCGCAGCACGATAAATAAATTCAAGTGTTGCTCACCCTTTCAGTGCGCTCTGACCCCGGGCACCCACAATAACGAGTGTGGGCTCAAGTTCATCAATCTGAGAGTCATTGTAAGTATGGATCAGAGATAATAAAGAGGCCGAGAGCAGACGAAACACTTACAGCTTCAGTGATCATCGACTTCGGGTTCTTGCAGTGGATCACTTCCACGGCAATACGGACCTGCAAGACCGTTTTCCGCAGCAGCTTCACACAGGTCTGAGACACAGTTTCAACTGCCCTCACTCGTTCCGCCTCAGCCATTGACGATGCCCGGGAATCAGCAGAATGTGTCTTGCTGGCAGTACCAGGGCCAAGTCGACCGAGGATCGTACGGGACCCATAATTCTGGTTGGCTTCTTTCGTCTGGGTGCCAACGACAGCCGTTGCATCTTTCATCACCTTGGCTCCCTCGCCGACCTGCACCCCTGACGCAGTAGTGGAGTCCTCGTGCATGGCGTAGATGGCGAAAATCGTGTCTCCATCTCTGAGAACCGTCCCGATGGTCCATTCAAGGGCATAGACAGACTCTTCACTCAAGTCAGTTGCGATTAAATATTTCCGACGGCGACGGCGGATTCCATCGCCTTGATCCTGCGGGCTTGAAAAATTCCCGCGGACAATTGTTCGGATGGAACGGTTGTGAACACCATTATCAATAGCTGACATGGAAATGCTAAGCTTCTGGGCACGATGAATGTCACCGATCTCGGCTTCATCCTCGGAGCCGTAAGGTGTGCCAGCCACTGACTGAACACGCGGGGTGGGGATGTCGAAACTGGTCTGTGGATGAACGACAGCTTTCAAAGCAGATTTCCGCGGTTTCTTCTCCTGTCGTCCACTTGGAACATCGGGGGCTTTTTCTATATAATGTGGTATTAGTATTTTGGATTTCCCATTTAACAGAAGTCCCGAGAAGGCAACGTACGTTCTTCGGCCTGCTTGGAATTGTCAACCTTGGATTTCTCAAAGTCGCTTGGCGTTATAGAGGTGATATCCGAGTCCTTCTTTTTCTTGCGGCCTCGTACACCCTCCAGAGTGCTGTCTTCGTCGCTCGAAGTATCGTTGGCTTCATCTTCACTGCTTTCAATCAAGTTCTTGTCGCGATCGAACACATCCTTGGCTAGTCGTTCCCCTCCCTCTTCCACAGCCGTCGGTTTGATATAATCAGGCAAGCTTCCATGGGGTTTAGCCAATGCCTCGTCTGACTTGTTGAATGCATCGTGCATGTTGAGCGACTTTCCCTTCCCCGAAGGAACAGGAGCAGGCGTCAAGGTTTCAACGTGAACGGAATGACTGTCAGAGGAGCTGGGGCGACCACGCTCCGGTGAAGACGCAGAACGGGAGTCGAGAGACGATCCACGCTGGGAAGACCCCCCGTGATGAGTCTCTGTCTCTGCCACGGGAGAAGCTTCTCGGGAAGAGGCGGCCAGACATTATGGCAGCCACACCCTTGCGGCTCTGGGACCGGTCTCGAGCCTGCAAAAATCGCTTTTTGGCGTGCGGCTGCTCTAGAGAAGTACAAGCGACTGCATCATTGTCAATGGTAAGGCGACCTGCGGCTGAGCTGACAGTGTCAACAACCTGGTCGGACGATCTACGAGGGAAAGCCTCGCGGTCGGCGGTGTGCCTCTCTGGCGAACTTGGGGCGGATGCCATATCTGACGAACTAATGCGCAAAGGCGATGATACGAGTGGCTCTGGACTGCGGATTCCGCCTGCTCTGGGCGAATAGGTTGTCCCGCCCGCACTCTTAGACTGCGGAGCAACCTGCAGGTTCTGCAGTGCACGGCTTAGACTCGGTTTGTCAGTTATTGATATTGTAGATCGACCATCCAAGCTTTTCAATTCAGTGGGAGAAGTTCGACCTGTGTGGTACGACATGACGACACCGCCTCCGGGTTGTGGGGAACTCGAGAGTCGCCGTGAGCGGAGTGGTGGGGCTAGCACGTGAACGAGTCTGCTAAGGTCGTCCCGAAGTCGTCGTCGAACGCGTGAGAACGCAGTCTTACCTCTATTAGGGCCCTCCACTGTTTCGGATTCCGCACTTTCCTTGGAGTAATTTTTCGGTCGCTGCGGAATTGACGCAGCGCTGTGATGTGGTTGTGCGTAGTCGCGTAGCCTTCCACGAGTTGACGTGTAGCTTGCGTGCGAGCTGAATGACCAATGGACTTCGGTAAGTGATCACACGCGACGCAAAGTGGCAATCTGAGATGTCTTTCTGAAAGAGCCCAACGTTTGAATACACGACCAGCTAGCCAAGCAGCGAGGGCAGCTACTATAACGACTGAAAAGGCTTCAGACCAAGTGTTGCCCATTTGCTTTGCGCAGCGTAGTTGTTCTTGGTATGATTAAAGGAAAAAGAACACAAAAGAAAGAAAACAAAGACCTATGTAGATTTGGGGAAGGAGCCCAAGTTGAGGTTTCTTACTCCAGCCACAGTGGCTGCATGTAGACATCTCACAACACGCCTTGTTGAATATCTTTTATAATGTCTTTCAATATGTTCTTTTACATGTCTTCTTATATGTCTGTTTAAATACATATGTATCTTTGTGGGGGTTCTCCCCATGTCAGTGTTATGGACAGAAAAATGAAAAGTATCATGGTATGGAATTACAAAACTCCTATGAAACCAACATGATAAACGCTTAAACATGACACATGAATGCTACAGGAGGGAACAAAGACCCTAATTCAAGCCTTAGTCCTCTTAGATTTAGGCTTTGTCCCCTTCCGGGCCCCAACTGCAGCAAATGCTTCCTCGGGGGGCTCATCATCGACACCACGCTTCTTCCCAGGCTGCGCGTACTTCTCCTCCAAACGAGCAAGGAAGCCCGCACCACGATCCTGCTGGCGCTTAGTGATAATAGCCAAAAGATCATCCTCATTCGCCGCAGCCTTCGAGCTCTTCGTCGCAGCCCGAGCTTTCTTCTTCTTCTTATTCTCAATCTCCTTCCCCAGCTTCTCCGCCTCCCGCGCCTCCTTCTGCGCCTTCTTCACACGCTGCTGTTTCTTTTTCTCGGGCTCTTTGGAATAGCGGTCAAAGTCCTCTACTTCCCCATCCGCAATGGCCTGGTCAATAATACCCCGGAACCGTTCATCGTCGTCTAGTACATTAGACAACATCACGGTATCGTAGATGGCATCCATGTTGCCCTCATGCGTCTCATACGCGGCGAGCAGATCCTTCCTCTCCTCTTCTGAGTTTTGGTATTTCTTCTGGAAGTCCGATATTGCCCGCGAGTCGAGCATCGCTGACAGCTGTTCGCGGTAGAAATCCATCCAGTTGAAGTCGCCATCTTCCCCGAAGGCTTCGTCCGTGCTGCCGGTCCGGTCGTACACATCTCGTCGGCGCGCGTCGGAGAGTACACCGTATGCCAGTGCAATTCGTTGGAACTTTGCGTTGGCGTCTGCGCGGGCTTCTTCGCTCACTTTGTCTGCTCTGAGGTTAGTACGTTGGATGTTTTCGGGCATATGTGGATTTGCATACCGGGATGGTTTCTCAGAGCGCTCTTTTTGTACGCAGTTTTGATGGCTTCTGGAGTTGCATCCGATGCAACGCCTAGAATCTTATAGAGGTCTTCCTCGACAGACGGCATTTCCTCGTCTGAGGCATGGCTTTCGGGTTTCGCGTCTTTCGCCATTACAAGCTTTCGGTGACGTGATATGCGTTATTGGGTTGTTCCACCACCAGGAGGAAGAACAGAGTGCAATTTAGATATAGTACACCGAATTGGGATTTAATAGGTAAAAGACCAATAGGAGTGGCCACTTCACTAGCGTAAGGTTGGAGAAACGGAACGCGATTTAGACGCGACGGGGCCATTTCGTCATTTTGCTGCTGCTCCCCGCCTTGCCAACCAACCCACTTACAAGCACTCCGAGCTCATCGACAGCGCCACTTCACTCTCGTCGGATTTCAAGAGCCACAGAGACCATCCAAATCAAAATAAAAACTCACATTCTACATCCAAAACAACAAGCTTAACCATTCCCCTCCCACCAGCCCAAATCGCAATTGACATCACTCACCATGACGACAAACACCTCCCCCCACATACCCTACATAAAGCAATGCCTCTCCCTAGCGGAGAAATCACCCCCAAGACCGACCAACTTCCGAGTTGGCGCAGTCCTGCTATCCCGCAAAGACAACGACCCCACCTTCACAGACGACCGGATCCTCTCAACGGGGTACACAATGGAGCTCGCGGGCAACACACACGCAGAGCAATGCTGCTTCGCCAACTACGCCGCAGTGCACAAAGTCCCCGACGACCAAGTCGGCGAAGTCCTCCCCGTCGAGCCCGGCCGCAAACTCGTCATGTACGTCACGATGGAGCCATGCGGGAAGCGGCTGTCTGGGAATGCGCCGTGTGTGCAGCGCATCACGCGGACGACGGAGGGCGGGCGAGAGGGAATTCATAAGGTTTATTTTGGGGTTAAGGAGCCTGGCACATTTGTTGGCGAGTCTGAGGGGTGTCGGATGTTGACTCAGGCGGGCATTGAGTGGGAGCACGTTGGTGGGTTGGAGAAGGAGATCTTGACTGTTGCTTTTGCGGGGCATGAGAATGCGGAGGAGGAGGTTAGAGCTGCATTGGGGAAGAAGGAGACTAATGTTGATGATGTTAGTGCCGAGGAGAGGAGGAGGCAGGAGGCGATGCCAAGGAATCCGATGAAGAGGATGATGGAGGGGGATGAGCATATCTATCTATAGAGATTGTGGGTATGATAGTATTCAGAGTGGCACGGGAATCAGCAATTATGTGCTCCAGTGCCATTACGGGCTGGTTGAAGGTCCTAATGAGACGATGACGTAGAATGTCAAGAGGTATGAGTAAATCAATCGAATTATCTTGGGGTCATCGAGATACACTATATCTTCGCAACATGCAGAATCAAAATACTTGAAGTTCCGGCGAGCAAAACACGAAATGACGCGCCCCACGACCTTATATACAACCACGTGACACCAACCCGACCTTCACCTGGGCAACAGTTCCAGCTTCCAGTTCACAATACAACGCTTATATCTTTTATCTTTTGGATATCTTCGAAAACAGAAAGCCCGAGAAAAAGATGAACCAATGGCAACGGTCAGCAATGAGAACCTCGTATTCTACCCCGCGTTCTGCTTCAAGGCGTCACCAACGCACTTTACCTGGGTGAAAATGGGAGCAGCCGATGTGCATCGTCTCCGAAAATCGAGTGACTTTGTTGGTATGTTATTTCTTTTTCCAAGTTTGCTACCATTTCTTTGTTTCCCCTGGAGATCGACGCGCGTGGCGCCCATGTGCATATTACCGGGTCCTCTAGCGTGGAGGCTCGAAAAGAGGTGCTAGCGTGAAGATGTTCGTTTGATATCTCCCACTAGACTGTCTATACTTCATTTTCATTATACCCGAACTTTCCACGCTTACTCCAATGGCATCTGTCATGTTTTCCAATATATCACAAACATGTTCTGTCTTTCTATTACCCAATAGCTCCCTCCCATCCACAACCAAGCCTATCTATACATACGAAGCCATATAACTAACAAACCCCACAGGCCAAAACATCTTCTTCTACAACAACCACCCAATCCAATTCGTTAGCCTAGTAGGCATAATAGTGGCGCGAACTGACATCCCTCGACGCACAATCCTAACACTAGACGACAGTAGCGGCGCAACAATCGACATAGCCGTACTAAAAAAGGAGACACCAAAACCCAACACCACTAGCCAGCCAACACCTACCGCAAGCCCGGAAAAACCAGCATGGTCCTCATTCACCCTCACAGCGCCAACAGCCACCAGCCCCACCCAAACAACGCACATAACCTCCAAAGACCACGACGAGATAGACATATCCGCTCTCCAACCAGGAACGCTAGTCCGAGTAAAAGGGACACTATCGATGTTCCGCTCGCGGATGCAATTACATTTCGAGCGGTTCTGGCTCGTGCGCGATACGAACGCCGAAATGCAGTTCCTGGATGCCCGCCTGCGGTTCCTTATTGAGGTCTTGTCTGTGCCATGGGTGTTGACCGATGAGGAGATTGAGACGCTGCGTGAAGATGCTGAGAAGTGTGATGAGCGCGTGTTGGAGGATAAGAGGCGTGCGGAGAGGGTTGCGAGGAAGAAGATTGAGCGTGAGGAGAGACATGCTAGAGCTATTGCGCGTCGATATGAGAAGGAGAACGAGAAGAGAGGAGAGAGCTTAGGAAGGTTAGAGAGGATGGGGAGAGGGTTATGAGGAAGTTTGGATTCGGGTCGGGGTGAGATGGATGCGACTTGGATACGCGCTGCACATTTCCATTCCCGATGCTATTGATGAAATTATAATTCATATGCACTCAGAGCAGAATAAAACGTCAATTCATGAATCATGAGATATGTATCGTCAGTCATGCACAACCCCAGAAGAAGGGGTATCTTCGTATCCATGCAACGCCGATTGAAAAGAATCAGGATCAAGACCAAAGGTCGAGACTGAGAGCCGGAAGAACAGAAAAATTACCCTGACATGCAATGATCTCCAAAAAGGAAGTCAAAGAAACCAAAACATAAAGCAAATCTACCCCTCAGCGGTAATACTTGTCATACTTATCATACCAAGACCCAGCCCCCCCAGGTTGCGCACTCCCACGATAATACTCCTCATCACCACCCCAACTACCATGATTATACCTGCGCCCATCATCCTCGGGCAGATTCGCAGTGGGTGACTCACTATGCCACAAATCAGACGCCGACAGCCCCGCATATCTAGACGAATGGTCGCGACCATGCAAATCACTCTCTGAATGTCTATAGTCACCACCACCACCACCACCGCGGTAGTTTACACTTGGCGACGAGCTGCGGGGATCATGCGAGAACCGCTTATCAGCAGAATGACCAGATCCCGAGCGTGAGTAGTACGGGTCCTGGTCATACGACTCGGACATGCGGTGTGCTGGAGTTGGCCCCGGCGGTCCCTTGTGGGCAGGGTCCGAAGGCCGGGCCGTTGAGAAGGAACCCGCGTGGCTGCGGCTCGGGGCGGATCCATCGTAGACTTTGCCGCCACCTGGATTTGCGGTGTAGGGCTTGCGTTCGCGCTCGATTGGCACAGACGGGGCGGGCTCATCTTCCTCGTCATCTGTGACCGCCGAGGCGGGTCTTGGTCGGGATTGTCCAGTTGGTCTTGGGATCGAGTCTGCGGGACACGGTCGGCCTCGCTCGTATGAGTGGCTTCGCTCTGTGGGTGATGCGGTTGTAGTGGATGATCGGGTCGGTCGGGCGCCGGATTGGTTGCGTTCTTCAGCGGTGATGTATGGTAGATCGACGCCGCAGTGGATCATCATGCGGTCCTCGATGTCTTCTCTGATTTTGATGTCTCCGATTTCTGGGAAGAGGCGACGTGGGATTTCCTTTGGGAAGCGCTCTTTCTTGTCATCTGGGTTGTTGATGGGCATGTTGAGGACTGCTTTTTGGAGCCGCTCGTATTCGCGCCCTGGGTTCGCGAGGATCATCAAGGTTTCCCATGTCTCGAAGCCTTTGGGGGTTAGGCCTGGGATATCTGGACGTTTCTCTACATCGTCTTGAATGAGATGGTGTTCAACTTTGATTTCGCGGAAAAGTCGGGATATCGAAGATGTGCGATCGTCAAAGATGTCTAAATATTTTGTCAGAATATGGCATGTCTGTAAACAGATCAAATCACCAACCTTGCCATGGATAAGGATCATTCGGATCATGAGTATCACGATAGAACTTTTGCAACTTGTGAGGGGAATGACAATAGTGTTTCCCGGTGGATAGTCCTCAATCTACCCAAGTTAGCCATCAAAATCCGCGGTATATCAGAACAGACAAAAGTCCACATACCAGATGAACCGCAATCCCCCTCAAGAATTGACCAAGCCTCTCTGTCGCTTTGCCATCCTCAAACAATTTCCCCCAAATCCGCTCCAAAGTAGTCATCTCCATAATGGTAGCGTCCCGGTCCGGAGGTTTCGGACGCTCCGGCTTATGGTGGCTATGATGACTCCGATCACTATTCTCACTCGATACAGAGCCACGTCTATTCGCAAGGGGATCGCTTGTTGGTTTGGGGCTCAGGCGACTATCACTAGTGTAACCGGAGGGGACATGTGGCTGGAAATTCCCAGCATGGATGTTGTCGGAGGTGGAACTGGGCGGGGGGATTGAGCTGCTTCGCTGCGGGGACTCTGCATGCGGCCGCAATGAACTGTCCGTTTGCCATGGTGGCTGCTGTGATTGCGAGCGGGGCGGGGGCGCACCAGATCCTTGTAGGTTGTCTAACCCAGTTGTCTTGAGTTGTTGGATCACTGTTGCTGTGATTTGCGATAGAACTTCTGGGGAGAGATAGTCTGTGGAGCCACTATTGTGGAATGCAGAGCTCACTGCGTTGTTTATGTGCCCAGTGTTCATGTTTGGGGAGGAGCGCTGGGGTTCCGGGTAGTTGTATGCTTCTGGGATTGGATTTGGGGCCGGCGAGCCAGTCCGCGGCACCTGTGGCTGCGGCATATTCAAGTAGGCTGGTTCGTTGTAGGATGGATATGGAGGGGTTGGCGAATACCCATGTCCGTTTGGATCTGGGTTCATTTGGCCCGTTTGGTATGTATTCCTCGCATAATTTCCATTGTACTCCATACGGGGGTTCGGAGGACTAGGTGTGGCTGGGCTGTTCTCCTTAAGCAAAGACGTGTAAATTTTCCTTGCAAATAGATAACTGATTTGGAGAGAAGTTCTAGAAAGAAATGTGTAGAAAGATCACGAATTACCAATAAATTATGGCGGAGGGGCTAGTGGGGGGCAAGTGAAACGTTGTGGCAATTGGCGATCACATCGTCACTAAGAGGCGGATTTAAGATTTGTTCTCTTTGTACTCCCTCGACGTCACATTATGCGGTCGCCTGTTAATATATTAGCCCTTTGCTATATTAGAGTCCCACAGATGTTCTGTCATATTGCTATACTGGGTCAGAGCGACGCGATTGGCAGACTAACGGAGCATGCATCTGGTAATGCAGAGCAACCACTAGGTTTTACATGCATCTTCCATGCGATACGTGCATAATATTTTCTCTTGCTCCTATCAGAGTTGTGAACGACACTATTTCAAAGATTGAGCTATGTCATTGCCAGCTGTCGGGCCGGATCCGACGGTTGGGGCTCTGATCTGCAGATCAGAATACTTTTCTAGTTGTAAGGGCTGTCAATATATTTTGTAGGGCTGCCCTCTTCTCGTCTATGCTCACATTATGATCTGATGCCATTATTCTAACAAACAAAACCCCAGATTATCGGAAACTACAAATGCCTTGGGGGGTTGATCGGTTTGTCATTGCTCTTATAACCTTTCCAATAACCAAAAATAGATGGAACATTCCGCGACGATTATTATGTTGTATATTGTTTACATAGTAGTAATGAACTCGAACTACGATTTACCTACCTAATTTATAGTAGTGGGGTCGACGGAACCACCGATGTCATTACCATGGCACTGTTGCCTCCCGACCCATGGGGATTCAAAGGGGAAATAAACAAACATTGGAAGTAAACTTGGATTGGTATCTGGGTCTTCATGAAACATACCCTAGGATACTAGAAAAGAAAGCAAAAAGAAAAAGAAAAAGCGTAGATAGGGTCATATCAGGCGCGGACTTTGAGTCCACCCCACCCTGTAGATAAAAGCCCCCGTCAATCAGAATATGAAAAGAACCTGTAGGACATGCATCAGGCACAGGGCTGGAATACTAGAAACTCGCATCGCCCTAGCAAAGAGCAACCTTGGGGATAAGGAGCGTCTAGATACATAGGAAACATCATGCGCAGACACAGGAGATAAAACTGTGTGGACGCAAGAGAAGCCCGGAGTATTACAGAGATAGAAGAGGAAGAAGAAGAGAGCAAGCCGTGGAACGCAATGCTAGGGTGCGCCTAGCAGACGAAGTGCTCATAGAAGCTTCCTCATTCATAAACCGGGGGCTGTTGTAGAAAATGCACTGGCACGATGTTGGAAACAATTAAAGAAACCTTCCTCCCTTCCAGGAGTGCCATCATTGACCTTGCGAGTACCGGGTGCCCAGCCTGGGGCGGGCTCGGGGTCAGGAACAGGCTCCCGATGAGGCTTGTGCGCCTATATGATGCGAAGTTTCGTTAAAAGTTTATTCAGAGCGATATGAGTTTTGTCAAATTGAAGACACCCACCTTGACCTTTACAAAGCCGCCCTTGTTTCCACTGCAATCACTATCCGTGGAATCATCGTGCAGAACAAGAGCTGTCTCGACACCCTGCTCCAAGCTCTCCTACAGTAAAAGTACATGCGTAAGTAACGAATACTTGGTCATAGCTGATGTAGTTCTGGTCACTTACCGGCTGACTTGTAGAGCTCAAGAGATCGGCGGACTCGGGGTGTCCCACAGACCCAGAGGGAGCCACAGATCCAGACCGACCCGCAGACTCAGAGTTGAGCTCCTCTTCCTCATCCTCTCCCTCTCCCTTATCCTCAACAACAGCTTTGTCCTTGATTGCAAGAGGTCGATCGGCAGGATCGAGGGACATCTGGTAGTTCATGCAAGGCTGGCAAATCTATTGAGATTGTTCAAGTGTTAGAGACAGTCAAAGTGCATGGATCAAGAAAAAAAAAAGCATACCGGATTCTCGCGATTCCGTTGGTTTCTGGCAAACTGGTCGATGGCACGATAGTGACCGCAACGATGACACAGCTCTTCACAAACCTGAGCATTCGTGCATGGGCCACACTTAGCAACTTGCTGGTCACGAATGTTATTGTAGCCAAGCTGGAACATTGCCTGGCGGAGGTAGCTCAGTTGATTGTTCGAGTACTGGGACTTCGGGCGACGCCGCTTGCAGACGCAACATTTGATTCTATGATGGTGAGCACATGAAGACCAAGACGGATGAATATACTGACTCGCTTGGAATTGGCATTCGGTCCACACTATCGATACTTTGTTAGCGACCATTCTGCTAAAGTGAGGTTTTGTTAACTGACGCTTCTCTCATTTCCGGGGTGTATCCCCGGGCAAACGGACTCATAGGGGCCCGTCCTCGCCGCTGAGGCATGGTCAGAATAGTAGTATTTCAGGAAGACAAACGAACCAAGTAAAAAATGGCATAAGTCGCAGGATACTACACAGAGTGGGTGTAGTAGCCGAAGGTCCCCGGGGTGAGTGAGGAAGAGAAAACGAGAGGGAGAGCAACAGTTGATTTATATTGGCAGAGGCAGGCACAATAGGGAAACTGCGTGGGTTGCTCTTTCCAAAAGTGAGGGCTTTGGGCTGACCACTCCAATCACCTCAAATTTGCTTTTCCATTATGACCATTGTTTTGCTTGTTTTTTTGGCTTCAACATGAAGGACTGGCGGCATAAAAATGGAAATAATACCAAGAAAAGAGGACTACTTCATGGTATTATTGTCAATTCTGAGGTAGATATGTAATAACAGAACACACAGTTGAGTATGTAGATACATGCAGACGCTGCTCATCAAAGCCATCATTAATCAAAGAATACAAAGAGCATTGTCTAGAAGCAAACACACAGCATAATCAAGGCTATCTTGAATACTAGGCTTATTCCTGAGTAGGGCAATGGCAGAGAAAGTAAAAAGCCTTTTGTAAAACCTTAGGAGCAACGCTATATCAAATAGCATTCTCATCTCCCTTCAAATCACCGCACTTTGGACCCTCTTCACTATATTCTATATTTTGTGGCTACTTCTTATCCTTCTAGCCGCAACACCAATAACGGTGGTGTGTGGGAAGGAGGATCTATAAACAAAGACATCCAAAAACACTAACAAAAACACCATTAAAAGAGATATGACAAGGCCACATAAGCCACCATTATCCTGAAGTCTTGGTATTATATTTTAGCTACGGAGTAGAAGGCAAACGCAAAGCATGCCCAGGTGGTTAATTAAGGCCACTTTAGACATTATTAAGTTTATTCCTTATTAGGGCAACAACAGCGATAGTACGGAGTAAAAAAAGGCCTCTTGCAAAACCTTCAAAAAGGAGTAACATTAAATCAATCAGCTTTTGAAACCACTCTATTTTATTTCTAGAAAACCATAGAAGGAGCGGAGCAAGCCCCCGAATAGAAGCAATTGATTGCCTCGACATACAACATAGGGGCATCCCCCAATCTCAACAGGGGCTAGTTTCAAACCCAACCGGACCACGGACATTAGTTCCCAGAGTGATGGGATAAGCTAGTTAGGTATGACACACATAGGGACCCAGTCTGGGCAGTGGCAGGGTAGGGAGGAGGGGCATCTGTCACCTCACAATGGAGATATATTACTGTGGTACGCAAGACGTCGCGGCTGCCTTAGCTGGCGATCTAAATATACCCAGAGGCAAATTTGAATGCGAAGTAAATCAATGAATGGCACGCAGTAAGTGGCACTGCCACTGTGTACTCCGTACGCTAGGTAGCATTGAGGGCTAGTGCTAGTTGACCCTGAAAGTGAAAGTCTGTCTGCTGGTGTACGGGGTATTGTGCTGTAGACACCTTCCCAATGCGCAAAAGCTTCATATAAAATCTAAGGTTACTGGAGTGACAGTGGGACCACTCTAATGAAAAACAATTTAACTACGGAGTACCGAGGGCCAATTCAAACTAGTTTAGGCCCGTCCTCGTGCGCAGTTGGGACGGATAATCTACGGACTCAGATCTGACAGTCCCAGCGATCAAGGGGGTGTCCTTCCCGCGGCTTCCACGGATTCTGGAAATTCACGCACAGCCATTTCGGCGTTTGAAGTGGGCCGAGGTGATTTAGTGTCGAAGGTACTCCGTAGTGTGGTAAGTTGAAGGTCTAAATCTCGAAATTGGTAATTTGCCAACGGTCGCTAGGAAGGTCCATAGGAAGTTCGGGATGAACATCCCTGTGGTCGTCTGTTCGTCGTTGGTCAGCTTGTTTAGTCTTCGGAGGAGGAGGTTACCTGTTAGGGGGGGCAACGAGGCAAGAGATTGGCCAAGGCGGATTTGTCCCCCAACAAGCTCTCGCTTTATGGAGTCTATGGTCTAGGCAATAATCACCCCATCTGAAGGCAAGATAACCATTCGGGAGCCGTTGACGAGCAATTAACTTGAATATTCGGTGATCACGTTGCCAGGAACCACCTTCTCGAAGGCCGAAGGAACACGGCGGCGCCTCCCGGCAGACTGGGAAGCAAATAGTTTCCTTTCCCAAGTGGCGACACTTCGATCCTCCCCCTATAGCGGCCCTCCGCGGGTAGCTGGGACTGGTCTAGATGAGGCCCACCGTGGAGCATTCCGTAGTCCCCGAACCGACGGTGCGAGACTAGGCAATTGTGAGGGATAAGAAGGCGTCGTCATAGGCACAACGACTGGAGAAAGTGGGCTGTCTTTGGTGACGGGGCCAATGGCATTGTTGGCGCATAGACTCCATCGGACTACTGATCTTTGGTCGGTGATAATTGGCTTGTGCTTGGTGTGCGTGGAGTAAACATCCCCACTGAGCGAATCATAGACTCGAAAGTGGGAGAAAGTGGAATTCTGTTCTGAGAATGTCTTCTGGTATTGTACTCCGTACAATTCATCTGGTATATTGTACACGGTGTGTACTCCATGTCCCGTAGTTTTCCCGAATGGTAATAAAATTGTGCGGTCTAGAGGGAAAAAAAATAAAAATAAAATATGAGTGAAAAAGTGAATTGGCCCACTCAATGCGAACCTTGGTTTCCTTTCGGTACGGCCCTTAGATTTGCGTACCACCCTCTTGTACCAGAAATTCGGAATTTGAGAGATCGGATCAGGGGGCGAACATTGAAACAGTGGATGCTATAAGTTAATGTATTGGACTAGACTGATCAGATGCTCTTCAAATCAGCCTTGCAGAGTCCAAATGAAATTAGGATCCGTGGCCAGAAACGGTTGCCCCAGGGTTCGTTCCTCTGACAGGTGCATTCCAACCCGCTTCCTGCAGGTAATTACATCGCTTTACTCCATACTCTGTGTGTAAGAGTAGGGCCCCATCTCTGTGTTGTCGGGACCACGAACATCCCTTAGCTTTGAAGTTAGTGGAGAAACCGGAATGACGCGGTTAGAGACTTCCCGCAAAGTGGCTGTAATGGGCTTGGTTTATGATCCTTCTGTCATAACTTTGATTGGAGTTGACTGGAGTCTGTTAGACCATATCCTGATACGATGTCCGAGACTTTCTAAGTTTGAAATACGTCAATACAAATGGCATCCATGGCAACAGACACTAAGACGCGAATCTTTGAGACGGATCTAAACAAAGAAACCCGAGTCGACAAGCGAATCCAACGCCTGTTCCCAATCGGAAACGGCTGGGGAAGAAACCTGTCAATGATCTCCCAAGCATACGGGGCCCAGGCCCGTGTACCTTTGAACAAAGAGAAAAGAGAACCCATCATATGCAACTCCCAGCCCATCGCGGCTTAAGTCGACCTGCCTTTCTATCCCGCGAACCTTTCCGTCCTGCCGCGAACCTAATTTACCAATTCCCTTCCACATGGTCGTGCCAGAATCTTACCCCGGTATATGATTGGCCTCAACCGGTCAGAGGATCAGTCAGAAAAGAGACAGCTCCTCCGTAGATACCTCTTCTCTCCAGAGCTCGGATGCATCAGGAGATCAGGTGGCGGAAAACAAAATGAGGCGCAGGATGTCCGGTCAACCAATGTCAACCAAAATTTAAGAAGCCAACACGAACTACTCCGTATGTTGTATGTTGTAGGCGTACTGAAACAAGGATGGTCCGTTAGCAGCCGAATAATAAGACAGCCGGTGCTCTACTATCCGTGCAAAAATGCGACTGGCAGAGGGCAGAACTCCGAAGGTAGGACATGACATAACGAACTTGAGATGGCGAGGGAAAGGATTCTCCTTGCTGTTCTCGCCCATTCTGCGAGCTGTGTCTGCGGTAGTACGGAGTACATCTTACATCTTACATCGTACATCGTACATCTGGTACATCAACGGAGAACCAAGTACATCTCCGCTGGAAGTGACTCGTACAAAATACGGGGTAACCAAGGTGATCAGAGTGTACTTTTGTATCAAAGTCAAGATTGAGATGTCTTTGTTTGTAACTGGACTCTGGAATATTAGAGTATGTTAGTCCTAGAGTGATAGTTCGAGGCAGCCAATTCCGATGCTCGAGTCAAATAAATTACCACCGCGGCCCAACCCCTTCTGACACGCCTCAAACAGTGCAGACTAGGGCTGCGTGGGCAACGGTTACAGGCTGCACACAATTATTGTATGCCCAACCTCCTCAATTATTAGGCGCCGTGCATCCACAGCGGTCAGATGATAAATACGAGGGAATTATACAGATGTGATAAGCATATAGGGTTTGTTATAGAATATGTAAGTACTTGATGATACTGACTCTGTAGTTAAAATGGAACATTGAACACGAGATAAACAGTACTCCGTATACGGAGTACGGAGTACTATTTATTCAATTATTTGAAGACTCAGACTTTGTCTTTTCTTTTTTCTTTTTTCAAAGTGGAAGTGTTTTTGGGAGAATTGTTTGGTAAAATTGAAAATAAGGTACCCGTTCCCACAATGAATGTCCCATTGGTTGAGACGGGATCAACCCGTTATTTGGGGTTTTAGCTGGTTTCGGTTGGTTTATTTGGTTTTATTTTGGAATTTTCTGTTTGGTTTATTTTTGTAAATTAGTTTATTTTCTTTTTATTTTTCGTTTTACTTTCGTGTTATTTTTGTATAATTTCATAATTTCAGTATTGCAGAGTATTCAGATTTCTCATACGAAAGGACCCAGAACCCCTCTCCTCTCTCTATGCGCCTGCGATGTCTCTTTTATTCCCTCTGTTTCTTTATTCTTATCATTCTTATTCTTCTACTCTGAATACTTCTAAATTTTCTATTCTCCTCCTATATACATTCCAAGTGAACCTCATATATTCCAAGTATTTCGCCACGGTGGACTGATCTGCAACGACCTAAAGTCGTTAATTTACCGTCTCCACGTCCCCGTTTAGGAGCTCGAGCTGTCACCGCGTCAGGGGCTCACCCTCGGTCCTCCGATCCCTCCAGTTTCCACCAGAACGGGTCTCCTCCTATTCTGGATTTTCCTTTTTATTGCATCGTGCCCGGTCCTCAGTCCTTCCAGATCGCCCACTACATGACCACCGTCATTCCCCCTCCAACTATCTCGTCACTCCTTACTTTTCCGTCAATGGGAACCCAATCGTCTGGCTCGAACTAATTCTCGGAACATGATCACCTGCTGCAATTGATATTCCCATATACATACACACTCACTCGGGGATACCGCGAAAACTTTCCCCTCTACATAATATTGTATGAACCGCCTGATCTTCCGAGAATGTCGGGAAACTGACCTGAACCCCCCTAGAACCCCTCCACATTCCTCTCTCGATCTGCTGGCAGACCTGAAGAGACATCAATATGACCGTTACATATGATACACCCACCCGGGGGTCACATACCTCCATGGCAACCCTCGAGGACCGCTTCGAAGTTATCAAGGAGATTGGTGATGGAAGCTTCGGTAGTGTTGCCGTCGCACGCGTACGGACCGCCGGTGCTCATATCGCTCGCAGAGGCACTATGGTATGAAACAGCAAGATTGGTGGTGTATTGTGCTTCCACTGACTCATCGGCTAGGTTGCGATCAAAACGATGAAGAAGACCTTTGATTCCTTAGGTCCATGTCTGAGACCTGCGAGAGGTCATCTTCCTCCGAACATTACCCATTCACCCCCACCTAGTCCCTGCCCTCGACATCTTTCTCGACCCCCTCTCCCGAAAGCTTCACATCTGCATGGAATACATGGATGGCAACTTATATCAGTTGATGAAGGCCCGTGACCACAAATACTTCGAAGGCAAACACGTCAAGAGTATCCTTTACCAGATCTTGTCCGGCCTGGACCACATCCACGCACACCACTTCTTCCACCGCGATATTAAGCCCGAAAACATTCTCGTCTCAACCTCCGCCCCCAATGATTCCGCTTTCAGCCGCTACTCTAACCTTGTTACCCCTCCCTCCACCCCTCCTGTCTACACTGTGAAGATCGCCGACTTTGGCCTTGCGCGTGAAACCCACTCCAAACAACCATACACCACATATGTCTCCACGCGCTGGTACCGCGCACCTGAAGTGCTTCTCCGAGCAGGGAGTATTCGGCCCCAGTCGACATGTGGGCAATGGGCGCCATGGCAGTTGAGATTGCCACGTTAAAGCCCCTATTCCCAGGAGGTAACGAGGTAGATCAAGTTTGGCGTGTTTGTGAGATCATGGGTAGCCCAGGGAACTGGTACAGCAAGTCGGGCGCCAAGATCGGTGGTGGTGAATGGCGTGAGGGATCACGCCTGGCTCACAAGCTCGGTTTCACATTCCCAAAGATGGCACCACACGCGATGGAATCCGTGCTTCAGCCCCCGATGTGGCCCGCGGCATTTAGCGAGTTTGTCACATGGTGTCTCATGTGGGACCCTAAGAACCGCCCAACGTCTACACAGGCGCTTAACCATGAGTACTTCGCCGATGCGGTTGATCCGGTGCGGCCCAAGTCCTCTACTTCGTCGAGACTGCTGGGTCGCAAGCAGTCCGAGAAGAGCTTCAGGTCACCAAATCTTACCCCGGGTGACTCACCTACATTGTCTTCTAAGCCTTCGTGGTTCCGGAGATCATTGATTGTTCGGTCGGACAGCCCTGTACCTGCTGCAGAGGATAGCCCCGCCCGGCCGTCAGCTGTTACTCAAGTCACTGTGCCCGAGATCCAGCCTATCAAGCCGCGGCCCGCGCAACCTAAGCGGGCTACCTGGGCAAACGGTGCACCAATGCCAATCCTTCCTTCTATCCGCCCTGTCTCCCCTCTCTCCAACTCCGTTACAGCCCAGGCGAACGCCACTTTGGCACACAGCGAGGCTTCCAAGTCCTCCGACACATCAGCTAGCTCAAAGATCGGTCGTCAGTTATCCCTCAACTCCCATGGGAATCACTACTCGGACCAGAATCGCCAAGAGGCTGAAAGGATGCTCAACGGTTCCGGGACCAACACTCCAACCACGAAGGAGAGTTTCTTCTCTCATCTGCGCAAGCGCGCCCGCAGATTGTCTGGACAAAACCAAGCAGCCCCAGCTGATGACGTCGAGGCTAACGCAGGTTGCATCCCTTGGTCGAACCGTTCATCCGTGGCTCTGGACGGGCCAACTAGTGAACCAAAGCAAGGTTCTGACTTGACCGAGCTGGACAAGGCTCTTCAATCTGTCAAGTACTCATTGGACTCGTCCACACTGAGCAACGTCCCGGTGCACTTGAACAATTCTGCTGACAGCCAAACCAAGCGTCAGTCAATGCCCCAGGTCACCAGCAACAACGCTGCTCCTATCTCTAGCAGGACTCGCCGTGCTATGCAGATGTCTACCCACCCGGTTCACCGGTACGAGACTCCTGAAGAGGAAGATGAGCTGCTTGATGAGGTTTTGCACTCTGCCAGCAAGGCAGCTAGACGCTTAGCTCAAACTCAGTCAATGGCTGCCGACTCGCACAGTGGTGCTCGCAACTCGCGTGTACTGCAGAACCCGTATCCTACACCGTCACCCACGGCCAAGGACAGTGCTACGTTTGGTCAACAATCGACACCTAGTAGGTTGAACATTCACAAGATTGATCCGGCGGCCCCAAACCGCCACTGGCCCACCCCCCTTACGAGGAGGCCGAGTATCACAACAAGAAATCCGACTACTTCTCTCGTGGGTCTAACTATATCTAAGTGCCCCAACCCCCCACCTTGAACCACATCACATCCTTTTGAGTTGCGAAAAAGCACAAAAATTTGGCAAAATTGCGCAACAACGGAACAAACACCGAGCAACCTACATAGCTCAAGGCGTATGGATTGGGATATATTCTTTTTCATTTTCATCACAAGGTCTGGCCATTTCAGAGGGTGTTTTGTCATTTTCTTTTACATATGGGCATTGGGCTTTCGCCCTCTTTGCGAGTTTCTCATTTCCCCAACATTCATACCCCTACAGCCCTTTTATAGATGGATCCGGGCCTCGTTTCTTTTTCCTTTTCATGGAGTCCTTTCATTTATCGTTTACCAGGGGCGTGATTTCTTTCCTTGACGTTTGATACCACATGCGCAAGTCGCATCATATACCGCATTTCCCTCTACCTTATTAGGTATTCCTCACCTTCTCTTTATCCGACATGTCTGATATCGGATCTGCACATTTGCATCTCATTCTCGATGAATATTGCGCTCTTTTTCTTTTGTCTATATAATTTTCCCCCCTCTCTCCCCCACCTGTACATTGTCCGGCTACAGCCACTCCCATCTTTATTCTTCTTGTCTATCATTTTCTACCACTTATTTATCCCTGCATCTACATATTCCTGTCATAGCCCTTCCTCCTGCCTCGATTTCTTGTATCATTTCCTCTCCCTCGGCGTGCTGGCTTGGGTCCAGCCAGTTCTATACTCTTGTAATATACCTCCGCTTTGGCTGTTGCGCCATGCCCATACATACATCTTACTACATATGCATTGAATCTACTCAAAACTTACACTAATATTTTATACTTGATGTTCTTTGTAAGCTTATTTAACATTTTCTCTCACAATTCGCCGTATTCCCTAACTGGTATGGGGAGCCGGTGGTGATGGAAAACGATGGACAGCTTGGGAAGGTGGTATTGTTGTGCTAAAAACTATAGTTTCAGCATATGCAGAGAATTAAATATACAGCTAAAAACATGCTATTCTATCTCAAGATTATTATACAGTGAATTTAAAAATATCACATTGCATCTGTACTTCTCACATGGATGGATACCAGCGGAACAACGATCATCCGTCGCAATCAAGATTTCCTGATTGAGACTGCTCTGCTCGACTCTACCAACTTCTTTTTTCCTGCTCAATTGCCCTCTAGTGCAACCTCACCAGTCGAAACTAGACTGGCTATATAGCTTGGGATCCAGGCTGCAAACACGTTAGCACATTCAGCACGCGCTCCGGCAAGCACTTTCCACAAATCGCGGGCCGATCACCACAAAATCAAACTGCCCGCCAACAGCTACGAACTTAACCTCGCGCAACTGAGCTCCAGCTCTGTCCCCGGAATAAAGCAATCTATTTCCCTGCCACCTAGCAAATCAACACCAAACTCGCCAAAATGTCAAGTCAAAGACAAGCCTCTTCCGCCTCTCAAGTCCCCCACCTCTCACCCGCCGAACTCTCCTACCTCTACACCTCTCTCAGCCTTTTCAAGAACCCAATCCGACCAGACGGCCGCTCACCCACACAATTCCGCCTCTCTCCGCCGAGACTACTATCCTGCCCGGCACGAACGGCAGCGCGCGCATCGGGTTCGCAGACGGCACGCAAGCAATCGTCGGCGTAAAAGCGGAGGTCGAGAAGACTGTTCTCGCAGCCGACACGCTTGACTCACGCAGTCTAGCGCAGCATGGCGACGCACTGAACCGTGAGGGCGAAGAGGGCTCGGCCGCTGTCTCGGGACAGGGAGAGTGGGTGCAGATGTCGATCGAGATTCCCGGGTTTAGGGACGATGATGCCCTGCCTGTATTTTTGAGTGAGATGATGCGGGAGAGTCTGGTTGGTTCTGTTGCTGGTGGGGATGTGGATGGCGCAAAGGAGATGGCCGGTGGATTGAAGGGGAGGCTCGTTATTAACAAGCGGTGGCATTGGCGCTTGTATATTGATGTGAGTTTCTTGAAATGCTTTGATTTTGGGGTTATGGTTCTTCTTGGTGGTTCCAAGGGTATGACTTGAGCACTGCTAACATGCTATCTATAGGTCCTGCTCCTCTCCCAACCTCTCGCATACCCCCTCCCCCCTCCTCTCGCTCACAACCCACCTCGCCCTCCTCAGCACTAAGCTACCGAAACTCAAGTCCACGGGCGAAGAAGATCCCTTCTTCGACGATGACTGGGCTGCCGCGGAGTATCTCTACCCCCGCTCCAATACTTCCAAATCTTCTCTCTCCGCCGCACCATCATACCCTGTCCGCCCACCTGTAACGCTGCTTGTGATCGCCGTCGGTGAAAACGTCATCTTCGACCCCAATCGCGAAGAAATCGCCGTCGCAGACGCCGTCCTGGCCATCTCCGTTACGCGCAGCAGTGACTCCGAGACGTTGAAATTGCTATCCATCCGCTCGATCGATCCCCCCCTCCCGCCTCACCCAGCCTGGTATCCCCAATTCCGAAAATGTGAATATGCTTGGTGCTACTGCTGCGCCTGGCGAAGAGTCTGGTGGCCAGGAGGAGGTTGAGGGTGTCTGGCGTCCGCGCAGAGGTGGTGTTAAGCGCGGTGTCATTGCACGTATGGTCAAGACTGTCCTCGGCAAGGGCGGTGTCGGTGAGGAGGTTCTTGAGGGACTTGAGGGTGTTGAAGTGCAATGATTGTCTATTTTGATCCATATCTCATGGCCATGTATGAGTAATAAAGTACAGCATTGCTTACGGTTGCGACATTGATATCTGAGTTAATATGTCGCTGCTTCTGGAGTTTGGAGAAAAAGCGTCGTGTTTCGATTAAATCGTCCCTATTCATCGTTTCGATTGAAGTTGAGGTAACCCTTCCTATCGTAGCTGGACTGAAAGTCCACTAATGTACAAAATGGATTGAACTCCATTTACACCAACGTCACTGCTGGAGTGGTCCCTCCATGTTGGACTACCCACAGCCAAACCACATAGACAGTATATGTAGCATATGCCATACCTAGCTATATCACCGTAGATAGGAACAGAAACAGCCTACCCCAAGGTTATGTATGTAAGGAATAACAATTACCAAATCCCCAACCACTTCTTAACGGGCTTCTTATTCCCCTCCCAATCAACAAACTCATTCTTACCCTCCGCACCCTCAACAGCAGCAACAGGCGACTGCACATCAACCTCATTACCACTCTCATCCTTCTTCTCAGGCTCCGCCTCCTCAAGCCCATGTGCAACACGATACTGCTTCCTCTTCTCGGCATCCTCAACGCGACGGTGTCGCTGTTCCCGCACGAGCATCGAGTTGTGCTGCACATGCATGCGCCACACAGACAATGCCTGCGAGATCGTTCCAATGGGCGACGTCAGCAGACCTGACCAGGATGGTAGCAGGTGGGCGAACGGTGAGGTTGCTTTGAAGTTTGTTGTGAAGGTGAACCCGGCGCAGGAGATTAAGACACTCTGTGTGTTGGTTAGTTATCTGGTTATCTGGCTAGTCCTTTTTGTATAGCCAGAGCTAGGTCTGTGCCGGAAACTCACCATCGCAATCCAGATGTGGATCCACTTGCTCGTCAGGAACTTAAACATCACCGTTCCCTCCGGCGGGAACATGCCCGGGTACTGCGTCTTGTTCTGCTGAATGCGCTCTTTCTCCGTCGTGCGCGGGCCATACTCGAATGGTTGGCCTGGGGGTGCGTTCTTTGGAGATGGAGTCGTGAGGCGCTGGGGGTGAGAGGGCGGTCGGAATCTGTCTGGCTTTGCGAGGACACGAGGCTTCGAATTGGCATTGGTGTTGCTTTTGCTGGCTTTCTTCAATGCGGCGCTAGTCGAGGTGAAGCTGCGTCGCGCGCTTTGGCGTTGGAGGACGCGAAGGGTCAATGCTGAGGGCGGGCCTCGCGGGAGGAGAAAACCGGGGATTGGAGTGGGCATTTTGGAGATAGCTTCCTTGCCCTTTTGCTCGTGTGGAGGGGTTGGATGATCTTGTTGACTTCTAGATGTGGAACCGTAGATGCAATTTTTGGAGAAGGTTTTATATCACGTGACTACATCGGGACATCGGATGCCGATTGAGTCGAGATGCTCTCACCCGGCTGACCGCATATCCTAACTATTTTCGGGGAGGGAAAAAATTATAAGACCACTTGACCTTGGAAATGTTCACATGGCTTAGTATCCATTATTTCCCGAGTTTCCCACCAATTGAAATCGTCTGAGAATAGCTTTAACCCGTTGTCCGAGTCATTTCCAAAGTACTACGAAGTACAACCTAATGAAAGGTCATTGTCCAGGCCTACTGCAACCTCGGCAACAGGCTAAATTGCATTCGTTGCCGAGAATGAATCGAGAATAAACCGTTTCTGCCTCAGGATCCACACATCGGACCACCGGCCAGCTTGAGCGAATGAGAACCCTGCTATTTCGAAGCCGCAGTGGACCGGGGATTTGCTCCAGTTCTCCAGGGGGGAAGGGGGTGAAAGAACGCGCGTGTAATATGAGCACAGTCGCCAAGGGCATCTAGGGTGAGAGGAATTGAGTGTTTTTGTTTGTGAGGCTTCGGTGCATATGCACAAGCAAGTTAGTCAGGAACCTGTTCTGAGCTACTCAAGTGATGATGAGTGATGAGATCATGGAGGCGGGATATAGGAGACAGAGGGTACAAGTTGATTCTTTGCCACAAGCTGCCAGTAGCTGTTCCCATTGTAAGTCCAAGCAAGAAAGCAGCAACAAGTACGGAGTAGGAGTGTAAGGGTCAAGAGTACAACAGCCACACCGAAGATTCCGGTTGCGCCCGTCTACCTGAATCATCTGACTTCTGATTGGCGAGAGCGGCAGATTACGAGAGAGAGCGTCGGGGCCAAGTACAAATAACCAGATTTTCTTTTCTCCCTTCCCATTTTTTTCTGTACAGTACAGTGTCATAATATCCTCTTTTTTTATTATTCTTTCCATAATACTTCACAATGCCTCCTAAGAAGCAAGAATCTTTCGCTCCTGGTAAGCTACCTTCCCTCCATTGAGAAAGATTGAACGGGGAGGCGCCATGGAGAAGGAAGGAAGTGAGAGTATCCCAACTCCTGAAATGGCAACACTCTTTGTTTGGACGATGGTGATTGACATTACTTCCTCGCCTTTACTACCATTGCGACTCCTCGTCAACCCAATCATCTCTCAATTGCGGATCACCGCAACCTTTCCCAAAGCACCGCGCATGAATTCTTCAAAATGACTACCTTCGATGTCTTCTGCACCTTGACTATCATCGACATGCGCGAAGCCGAGCGTGCAGAAGCCGCCCTCGTTGAAGAAGCCAAAAAAGAAGCCGACAGAATCGCTAACCTTAGCTTCTCTCCAGGCGACGCCGCCAAGGGTGCCAAGCTCTTCCAGGTAAGTTCATCGTTGCTTCACGCGCAGGAAAACGAAAGTGAAAATCTAACAGCTCTTTTTTTTTAGACCCGTTGCGCCCAGTGCCACACCGTTGAGGCCGGCGGTGCCCACAAGGTCGGCCCCAACCTTCACGGTCTCTTCGGCCGTAAGACTGGTTCTTCCGAGGGCTACGCCTACACCGACGCCAACAAGCAGGCCGGTGTTGAGTGGAACGAGGACACTCTGGTAAGTGCCAACTGCCGCCTTCGCCTCACCTCCGATCGCGCACTAACAATGCCTATTACAGTTCTCCTACCTCGAGAACCCCAAGAAGTTCATCCCTGGTACCAAGATGGCCTTCGGTGGTCTCAAGAAGGCCAAGGAGCGCAACGACCTCATCACGTACGTTACCCGCGACTCCACACCCCCTGAACACCGAACTGACAATCCCACAGCTACCTCAAGGAAAACACCGCATAAACGACCTGATGTTCTTTTTTAATTCCCCGGCTTTTTTTTTGTTTCTCCCCATAGAAGTCTGGGATTATGGCGCCATGGGGTGATTACCGGATCTCCCAAGGCAACCGGGCCTGTATTTTTATTACAATTTCCATGACCCAAAATAGATTTGATCTTCTCCTCTTTTGGATATTCTTTTGATTAGAACGCACTGCAAACGGGGATTATGCAAGTCTATCTGAAGTGTTTGAGATTCTTCGGATTATCATGGAGGTCTGACTTATGATTGGTCGATGGTCCTGGCTGTATCGATTGGGCAAACATGGGCGGTCAGGCACGGAGATACTTGACGGTACTTGCCCGGTACCTTGATGCTGGCTTCGGAGACCAGACAGAGAAAAGTACTCGTCCAGTATCTTCTTTGTACCTTTTCGGTATCTGATGTGTACACACCTTGTTGGCCTCGAGTCTCAGCACATGACCAGCAGGGGTTAGGCTGATTGGCCCAACCTCCTCGACTTGGATACAAGTGAGGGGATGCTTTCTCTCGTCTCTCATTCCTGATTCCTGCATTGCTCAAGGCGTTACGATCCCAGTTCCATATTAATCTACAGCGTGTTGCCCTGATCGCATCTTGTTTAACATCAACTATCGAATGCACTTATCTCAGAACAATCCTGTGTTGCCTTCTAGAATCCAATACCTGCCTTGTCGCATCGCATCGCATCATACCTTATCGCATCTTTGGCGTGGGGTTGATCGCTCAGATATCTTCTGTAACGGCTAGCGCAGGCGATACCGTCCCAGCGCGTATACTAACTCCTCTAGTTTACCCAAGGAGTCAGAGTCTTTCGACCGCAAGTGATCCCCACTTATAGGCATTGGTCTGCGCTTTGTCGCTGAGAACTGCAGTGCCTCTTCTTCTGAGGCGCGACTATCGCGATACGCCGTCCGGGATGCTGGACGAGTTAGAGCAACGTCTTCGACGACCATCCATCCCTGGACGCGTCGCTCGAAGACTTCGAGAACAATACCAATCCCCACAGGTCCCCAATGTTCACCCTGCCGTCCCAACACTCAGGATTCCGATCTGAAGACTCGGATGGGGATGACGGAGAGATCGAGGACCCTGCCCAGGAGCGCTGGTCACCCCCAGGCTTCCATCCACCGGAATACGTCCAGGGCAGTGGATGGTACCGCCATCAGCCCTACCTGCGCAAGGATAACGCCAACGCAGATCGCTTACAGCTGAAGCCCACAGTTGGACTCAGCGTCTCCCGTCCCAGTCGCGGGAGCCAAGTCCACAGTATGAGGATGCGCTGGAGGGCCCCGCGAAGAGTAGACAGGTCGATCGCAGCACCCCGGGTGACGTATCTGTCGCGGCTAATGTGCCTCTACCGGCGGGTGCAGATACCCCCATCCACGGACGATCCCCAAGTCCGCCTCCGGCCCCGAGTACGGGGCGCACACCATGCCACAGTCCCGAGGATGACGGGGTGAGCTTTGGTCCGGAGAATCTGAGCAATTGTAGGCCCTGTCTGATCTGGTTTCAGTTGCAGGCTCGGGTATACTAACTATTGTTGTGAATGGATAAAGACATTCGTTTTGCAGTGCGCGCAGAAGTCCAGCACCGAGAACCTATTGCCGCGATGTTTGGCTACCTGCGCTCAAAGTTCCAGCGCATGACCAGCTCCAAGTCTAACACCACATTATCTATCGTAATCCTCCTCCTTTCAGTCGCATTCATGCGCGCCCTGGTCCTCCCAGGCCTCCCACAATCGATTCCCGACCTAGTAAAGCTATCCGGCTTCGCGCGCTCCTTCGAACCACTGATATACTACTCAGAGAATGGCGTTCAGCAAATCGGCACCCTGCAAGAAACCGGCGTCGCAGTCTGGGACCTGAGTGAGTCCGTTCGCGGTACAAACATGACCAGCGCACCCATAATCGTGCGCCAACTAGACGAGCTCTCCGACTCCCTAAAGTCCCTCTCCCTCGAGCTAACCCGCTTCTTCGCAAACGTCGACTCTGACATCGACTCCATCCTCATAGTAATGGACTGGGCCAAGCGCGAGCTAGAAACCCTCTCCGCCCAGCCCCCAAGCACCCTCCCTACAATAGTCTTCGACAACATGCATAACATGCTTTCACGCCTCGGCGCGCTCGAACGCTCAGCGGAGATCTCCGACAACGGCGTCTCCGCAACCTCAACAACAACAACGCCCCTCGGCCACCTCGTAATGGCCGTGTTCGGGCCAACCTCCGCGCAGCGCACCCGCACAACCCTAACCCGCACCTTCACCGAGTTCCTCTCCGTACTCGAAGAATCAATAAACAGCGAACTTACCCATTCAACCGCTCTCTTCGCGCTCTTCGAGTCCATCGACCGTCAATTCCTCAATCTTCAGCGCACGGTCGTCCGCGAATCAGACGCCCAGGAACGCGCAGAGGGCGAGATGCTTTCGTCCCTATGGACGCGCGTGCTGGGGCCGGATGCCGCGGCTGTTCGCAAATACGAGAAGAACAAGAAACTCCTCGCCAATGTTCGCAGTCGCACTGTCGCGAATAAACATCTCCTCGTCGACCACCGCGGCCGGCTGCTCACGCTCAAGGTCAATCTCGAGACGCTGCGCCGGAAGCTGGTTAGCCCGCTTGTGCGTCGGAATGACTCTGTCAGCTTTGTTGGGTCGGTTGATGGGAGTGGAGGGAATGGGAATGGGCATTCCGGGTCTCCGGGCCGCATGCTTGGGCCTGTCGAGGCTGTTATCGACGGGCAGATCCGTGGGTTGGAGGGGACGTATGATTATCTCCGGACTGTTCGGGAAAAACAGAAGGCGAAGCTTATGGAGTTGGTTTATGGGGCTGGGAGAAAGCCTGGTCGGGCTATGATTGATGGATTGGAGGGGAGTGACAATGATGAGTGAAGGCTTGAGGATCCTGATCTTGTCTATTGTCTGTACGTCCTTTTGGCCTCATTTATCTTGGCGTAGCATCCTGTTTTCGGTTGGGTTCTTTTGTCTCTCCTCTCTGGCGTTCTAGGGCATATGCGGGCATCTGCGGGCATCTGCGGCTGCGGGCTTTTCGTGGGAATATGGTGGCTTACCTGCTGTGCCTCTTTGAATGACTGTCTTTGTTGTTTTTCCTTTCTGATTTCGCGGCGAATATGCAGGATTGCGAGGAAAAGGGATAGAAACATGTGGCGCCAGCTGGTTTGATTTTACTTCATGGTGCCGTGCAGTTATGGGTTTCTTTGTGGATGTATGAATGAACTTTCTTGCTGTTCATAGTCATTATTCTTATGCGACTTTCATATATCATATATAAGTCCCTAGTTATGCATGGGAAGTCCTCTATACGGTTCATGCTTGTTCCCAAAATGTCTTCTAGCTTATAAGACCAAGATCAAAAGGATCTCTAAAGTAAGAGACCCGAAAAGGCATTTAAAGCGACATTCAAAAGAACGCCTGAAAGGGAAAAAAGGAAACCTAGCGTTTAAACACACTAGAAGTAATGAATAATGGCACGCGGCTAAGTCTTGCGTAGATAGCGTCCTATAAGTGCTGAGATCAAGTTCGTTTCCTGCTTCAATGTTATAAAAAGTCCTCTGTATCACACTCTCCCTTTGTCTATCCACCATGTTTTCTCGCTCAATCCAAATATTGGCGGTTTGCCACTTACGTTTGCCGTATTTCGTATAGAGAGGATCAATTGCTATACCATATCTGCTGAAATAGCTGTTCCGTCGCAGTCTTTATTGTTATCTTATGCAATGCAATGGACTGCGTCAAACGTGTATAAAGGAATACCACGCCACGCTATATATATGGCCAGAGTATCCCTTCTCCGGTGCGTTGAATGCCCATTCTCAATATTTATATATCCCGGGGTTTAACTTGCCGCGAAAGAGTTGAAGGAGATATAACCTTCCAGCTACCCTATGCCTGCGAACCACGAGGAACTGGAGGCTTTATAGCATATAACCCTGATGAAAAAGGTATGCGAGATGGGGTCTTGTCCGTGTTTCCTGGTAACCAGACCATGGAGCTGGTCCTATGAACCGACCTCGAACCATGGCTGGGTGAGGCCTCGTCGGCGGCTATGTGATGCAGGTATCGCGGAAAACAACGGTAAGTCATGCCTGCCTTTGGTCTATCTGGATCAACCACTTAAAGATCTCAGATCCGTGCGTTTCGGTGTTGTTTACAGGATACATCGCGGCCCAGCCCCGGCAGTCTTGAGGCAGTACCCATCGAAGATATGGAAGTGGTTGGAGAAAGCGAGAGGCAGAAAGGAAAAAAGGACGCGACCCAACCTTGTCTGGAAGGATCTAGAAGACCATGGGAGCGAAGAATTTTACTCTCGAAGGCACTACCGGAAAAGGAGCCCGGGGAGCAGCGAGAGATGCTTGAAGAAGTCACCCAAAGTATTTGGAGCTTAGTGAAAAGAATTTGATCCACAGACTTTGGTTCGCCCCAGCTTTCTTGCCTCGACAGCCCCTTAACACAGGAGGCTGTGAGACTATCCATCGAAGATGGTAAGGTTAGCTACGTCTACATGAGTGGTGGCGAAGCAAGACACACCTTTTGTCTACAACGGTAGACCTCTCCATATCGAAGATGTTGATATTCCACAATATGGTCAAGATCATTTTCCTTATCTGTGCTCAGCGAGGCTATGCATGGAGCCAATTCGATGCTGTGGAAGCGTGCCTCGATGATCCGGAGAAGAAGAAGAGACAGTCTACGCTATGCAGCCAGTTGGTTTCGAGTACAGCGCACCTAAAATTGGCATCACGGACTGGGTTTGACAGCTAAAACAAGCTCTTATGGTTTGCGAGACTCAGGGAATGCAGTGGGATAAGGAGCTATGAACATGGATTTCGCCTTGAGATAGGAGTTTGTCAGTGAAAAAGGAAAAGTGAAAGAGAAAGGTGATGCGAAATGCAGTTGCTCTTATATCAGTTAATGGAGTAGACGTAGGAGTCACGGACCTTATTAGATCACACTCCGATGTCTATTCATAGACTCCTATTTGAAACAAAATCGATCAATCCCTCCCTTCTTTCGCGATTCTCATGGGTAAGAGTCCCCTTCAACATAGACTCCCTCAGCTCCATCGTCAGACGGGGCGGCTTCTTCATGAATCCGAGTCTGATCAATCGGATTCTTCAGGACTTAATGATAAAAAGAAGAGCAGAAAGAAGGTGGCTCCGCGCCCAGTGCCCCGGATGACGGCCAACCCGGCCTTTGATAGCTTAACCACTCGCCGTCAATTGCTCGGTTCTTTTCAAATGAACCTGTCTGCTGTATGGGAAGGCGCATAAACTGGAAGCCCCTTAAGCGCGCGAATGGCAGATGCTTGAGGAGCTCATGTTCCGGGTCATAATTGCATATATCCGCTCTGGCCAGGATGACCGTTTCATCGTGCGCAAACTGTGCATCAACGAAGATAAGAACAATAGGAATAAATCCACCTGTCAAGTCGTGGTAGGCTTCGACGATGATCTCCCAGATGTCTTTCAGCTCCCCATCAGGTACGCCGGCTTCCCCGTTCTTCCAAGGCAAAGCGTAATACTCCTGGACCCATTCACCAGGACCAGCACCATCGCCAACAAATTCCGCATCGGTTTCATCGGGCGTCAGCCTGAGCTCCTTGAGTCTCTGGGTCTGTTCCTCGGTTAGACGATTTGTGAGGAAGACCAGAGATCGCGCATCGGAGATCACTGTTTCCCATGGAGTCTGAACTGAGAACCATGGTTTATCCGGGTGATAGAGTATCTCTATCTCGCTGGAAGAAGGGCTTGGAAGTGAAAGACGACCAAGTCTTGCTGTTTCCGCACAGATGGTACTCAAGGGCCTCCGGAACGACATTGCCGGCTTGTCTCCCAATCCGAACAGGCGAGAGACGCCGAGCTGCGCCGAGTCGATATCGGAAATAGGCTCGCTAAGATAAACCAGAGCCCCATCTTCATTGTTCCACCCGAAAGTAGTATACCACATGTGATATTCTTTCCAGAAAGCTACGAGCTCTCGCCGGGTCCTGAGACCGTGTCGATCCCACGGGATCAGTTCCGCAGTCATTTCGGGAATGTCGGTTTTCCAGGGCTTGCTACATTGGAATTCGTTATCCTTTTCCCAGTCCGTGGCTACTTTTTCCATGATGGAAGAAAGTGCATCTTGGATTGTCTTTTGTGTGTTGTGGAGCTCCTCAGTTGTGGTATGATAGAGGACAAATATGACGAGATGTGTCCTACCTGGACGGCGATCCCAAATAGGCATCTTTACGGGGCTGCTTAACCTATCTGCGATGCCGGTTACGAGCTCCATACTAGGCAGAGTGGGACATAATGCGGCAGTCACGGCCTTCGCATATAGCTCTCGCCCCAGAATTGCCGAGTCAGCTGTGAATGGCTCTCGGTCGGGGTCATGCATCACGAAGCCCTTCCAGTTCCATCCATAATTCCAAAGGGGCCCTGCGTCTTTGTCGACAGAGTAGAAGGGGAATGGTTGAACATCTTCCATTACAGATCCCTCATAATCAGAATTATTCGTTTCATTACGATCATAAGGTGAAAGCGGCGGTGGAAGACAATTAGCGCGCCTCGCATGTACAGAAAAGTTGTCGGGGTCATCGTGCAATCTTTGGACAGATATCAAGATGACCGAGATCACATGTTTCGTATCCCAAGCAAAGTTGTGGTTCCCAGAGAGTTGGCGTTTGGTGGCTTCGTCTGCCACGATGATTCTTGGCCGACCTGACCGATATGCTAAGACAGCAAGTGCATGGATGTTGCTCGCGCTATCCCGGTGTGGGCCCGGTTGCGCGATAGACGCGAGGAGCTGTCGGGGTGGCGACCATATCTTGACCTTGGAGCAGGCTTCTCCTTGAAATTCATCTCCGAAGTATTGCTCAGAGTGATGTTTGAGGTCTTCCTTGAGGGTCGATTCCACAAATCCAGCAAGCTTCTCTTGGCTAGTTTCATCCAGATCTGTCAAGAGGACAAGTGGCCATAAGTAGTCTGGCCTCACGGGCTCTTTTGGAGGTGCAGAGTTGCTTGAAAAGGACATGCTGACATTTAACAGATATAATACTTGATTGATGTGTGCCTGGAGATCGAAAGAGGAAGAAGATCTGCACTGAGGCGAAAGCCAGATTAGGCCGGTTGAGCACCACGATGAGTACGTTATGGCACCTCCACAAAAAAACAAGGTAAAACTCGAGAACCGTCGGAGGTCTGTATTTACATGGCTGTGAATCAAAGAAGCATAGCTTAAATTGTCATGGATAACTACATCCACTTTAATATAAGGTGGTTCAGTCCGAGAGAACGAGAGTGGGGGCCACGGGACATGTCAGAATCGCTTCACTCCAACTCGACGACTCTCCCCACTATCTCGCCATGTTGAAAGCCTCACGGTCCATGTACATCCAAGGATCGCAACGGAATAGCTCTTCTATCAGACCTGCAGTCGGAGTGTTATCCCAAGCAATTGACCCGCCAATAATAAACGGAGTCCGCAAACCACGCAAACCAGGCGGTAAGATGCCGCGAAACATTTTCCAGACTATAATATTGCTAGTGCTGACTTGTCACAGGATACCAGGATTCAGGTGCAGATATTGCATGCACATTACGTTCTAGGGGAATCGAGGTCATCACACCTCAGTTCTCCCCTTCTACCGCCCAGCATGAGGGCTGGTGTTTCCCGGATTCCGAAGAAGGGATATATTCCGCCGTAAGCCAGGGTGCCACACACCTGTGGGCGAATACTATCGTGTTTGCTTCCCATCCTCTCCAAACAGCATTCTGTCTCGATAGTTATGCCCCGACTCTACGGGTCGTAGGCCAACCGCCGGGTTTGGTGGAGAAGTTCGATAACAAGATGTACCTGAACGATAAATTGCGTGCGCAAGGAGGCTTTACCTTGCCTCAATCGTGGGTAGTGAACTTGGGAGATGATATATATGTCCTACTTCAGTCAATCCCCAACTACCCCGTCGTCGGGAAACCGGTTCGTGGTCGCGGAAGCCACGGCGTAAAGGTTTGCCATACTCCTACTGAGTTGAAAGACCATATCGAATCACTATTCAGGGAATCACCCGTGGTACTCCTGGAGGAATTTCTCGCCGGCGAGGAAGCCACAATAACCGTGATGCCTCCGTCCCTCGACCGAGCGGAGTATTGGAGCATGCCTCCCGTGGTTAGATTCAACCATGACGAAGGTATCGCGCCGTACAATGGCACAGTGGCTGTTACTGCCAATTCCCGTGTTGTCACTAAGGACGAGATGCGGGATGAATCGTATGAGGAGGTCATGCGTCAATGCGAAGAGGTGGCGCGTCTCATTAGGGCTACGGCTCCTATCCGCATTGATGTCCGGCGATTCCGGCATGGGTCGGAGTTTGCTATTTTTGATGTTAATATGAAACCTGTAGGTGCTTTCATTTGAATTGTGGCTGCGGTTTGTATGCTGACCTTGACCGCTAGAACATGACTGGTCCTGGTCGACCAGGTCGCGAGGATCAAGCAAGTCTGACTGCTATGGCAGCGGCTGGGTGTGGGTGGGATTATCCTACACTATTGGAGAATATATTGCATGGAGCTTCGACCCTGGAGACATTCCGTCAATATCGCTCTCCTTTGTAAATAAGTGCATGTGAATGTGATGTTGACCGACTTGAATGGTCCTAGGGTCGAGCATGGATTTTCAAAGAAACATACCACGAAAAAAAAGAAGGGACTTATACACTGAGCTGGTATAACACCAATATAAAACAGCTCAAATCATACATAAGCCGAAGCTCTTCTGCTTTGCCATCTCAACAAGATCAAATATATATCCCATCTTCCAAATTCCGGCCAGTTCATTCCTACAACCTCTATATCTGTACCTTGGTGGCACTGCCAGAGCATAAAATCACCCAAACGGTAGACCCCCAACGTGCGCACCAGAAGGTCCAGCGGCGGAACCCCCATTGACTTCTGGTACGCGATCAGGTCTACAGTTTATCTAGCAGCAGTTCATCTTCAGATTCCAGCAGCCTGTAAAACTGAAATTACTTTAGTATATAATCTAGATACATGCCAACCTTTAGGATCAGCTATCTCTATAGGAAGGCACTCCCAAAAAAGCAACCGATAACCCGCAGAGCTACAAAAACGACCAATCCCTCCGGTGTCACTGGTGTTACCCTATCCTGGGCTCAGGTATGACTTTCGGGTTGGTTTTGTGCGGTGTTGTATCGAGGGATAGTGTACCACCTCATCGCGTATCTTAGGATCTGATGGGTTTGGTTGCTTGTAAGCACCCGAAGCTTGTAATATGTATCGGATAATGCCTGGCACTTGAGAGCTTTCCCTTTCCGTTTTAGTGCTCACCTCTTGCCGCTTTTCCATCACTGAATAAAACCGAGGACCTGAGTATTCTGACTTGATCACGCTCCATTACATAGGTACCTAGGTAGGGTTGAGCGAGTCACATAGCAAAAAAAACTCAAAAAGTGCCATTTGTCCCGAGTTTCTAGCCCAAAACTATGAATTATGCTTCCAACTTGGTCGGCTCTATTGAAGCTGTAGCTACCGTGCATTCCATACCCGCAATTACATGGCTCTGCATGAAGCACTCACGGCCTCTGATGAACCAGTAGAAGCTGGATATTAACATAAATACGCCCATAGCAGCAATGGCATAGTCTAGGCAGCGAGGAAACCATTCTGATTAGTTGAATGCTTGAATTAATCGGGCATAGGAATGCTCACTCATGGTCGATCCTGTCACCGAACGGGAAGGGGGAAAGAGGAAGAGAACGGTTGTTAACAGAATATACGCGATTGATACCTATTCAATATATTAGCTCGTCTGAGACATGAAGTTCAAGGGAACATCAAATGGGAAAATCATACAAGATTGACAGTCCATCCAATCACAGGATGCAGGCTCCATGGTCGGGCAGGAAGTAATTTGCGACCCCGTAAGCAGTGGACCAAGATTGGAACACAGTAGGATATGTCAAAGCATATGACGGTGGCGGAGCTCAGTGCGTTGAATGCACTAGACGGGTTCATAGGTTAGACCTCAGACCGAGTCTGGCGCAGGCAAGTACTCGAAGACACGATTGGGCTTACCTGGAAGAACCGAGAAAGATACACCCGCAGCAAATTACTGCAAATGCACTGAGGGCCAGGGCATTTAGAGGCATCCCTAGCGCTGGATGCACTTTAGTCCAGAGGGAAGAAAAGGGCAGGCCGGAGTCTCTTTGCTTTCGGTCAGTAGGCCCCTCAGGAAACCGGAGGAGTGCATTTTCCAAGGAAGATGGGTGCGAGGATCTATTCATACCTAGCCAGAGCGTGAACCATTCGACTACAAGTGGTCATTATAGCTATCACACCTAGTAGGAGGCACCCGATGGGGAAGCTGGTAGAATTGCTGTGAGCGACAGGATCATGATGTGGAGGAGAGGGCACGAACAGTAACAAGCAAATTGCCCCCGGTTCACTGTTAGTTGCATCAAAAAGAATTTGAAGTAAAGGTCCAGCACCTGAGCTGATGACGGTGTCTATATCGCGAGACACAAATAATAGGACAATAATGAAGATCAAGCTGGTGGCGATGCCAATTGCCACACATGCCATCATGATCACCGGGCCCTCGGTTGATGGTTCGGGGATCTCTATATTGTGAATGGAAATGCATTAGGCGAGGGAGGTCTTGCAGTAGAAAAGACAAGAAGCTTTACCCTCAATCATGTGCGCGACCGCATCCTGGTCACAATCAGCTGGGTCATAATTCAAGTAAGGCTCAGTACTCACAACTCCAATGAGACATAGTCCACCCTGAAGCAGCTGTAGATTATAGAGCGTCAGCTCATCAACTCGATAACAAGATACGGGTTTTGTGCATACTCCTAAAAGCCAGGCCAAGCCATCGGGCCCTAAATACCAAGAGTCAGCTATAGTGAGACCAGGACAGAGCGAGGCCCATTAAACTGCCTCAACCATCTGAAAAATAGGCACAGAACTTACATCCAGTCTCGTTGATGAACTGAGTGAATACAAAGCTGGGAGAGCCGTTAGATTGACCCAGGAAATGGAAATCAATAAAGTAGAACTATGTCAACTGAAACTTGCCTCGCAGAATTGTAATTCGGAGCTGCGCATGCCAACACAGTTATCGAAATTATGAAGAACCCACAGAGGGACCAGATCACTATGGTACCGTCAGATAATTCATGCATGTAGGAGCCCGTCACGGTGTGGATGGAATGATTTACAAGCCGCTTTATTTAGCGCGGATAGGATGCTATTCCAGACTGCGTTGACCAGAAAAGCTACCAGGCAAAAGCCGACATAGACGAGAAACACGTGCCATCGCTGCAAGTTAAAGTCCTAAAATAAAAGGTCAGTAAATGATCTAAGCCAATGTTCCCTGAAGATGACAGTGTGGCGACAAAAAGAAAGTTGAGCAAGAGAGCGGCGGAATTACCGGATGCACCAGAACCACAATGTTTGTAATAAGTTGACTCCCAAATAGCGAGGCCGTTGCGCTGAGACAGATCTGAGAACACCGGATAATTGTTAGTGCTGTCATATGCCTGCAGTAAGCTAAGGGTGACGGGTACCCATGCGGTGACATTCGCCCACGCAGTAAACCATGAGAGCACTAATTTGTAGTCATCCCAGGATACTGGTGATTCAGTTAGCGAGATGTGCTCTGGGAAAAGGTTATCAGGAACAGGTACCAGCTATATGAGAGGGAGGCGCATGATCTGTCAGTGGGCTTCTTATGCAGAAAATGGGGACAGTTTCCAGGGAAGTCTTACCAGCTACCCAGCGATATTGCCCCGCGGCACTGCGTCGGTCTCACTGTCAGCGTCGCCTGAATTGCCTTATTTTCCTCCATTTCAAACGGGGCGAGGAAGAACGAACGTTGGGTATGCCGATAGAAACTCCGCTAGAGAGGCGGCAATACAAAGAGTACAAAAGCCTGAGGCCAGGAGCCCTATTTCATGCGCGCAAATCAGCACTAGTAGTTTTTTTGTGACTGGAGCAGCAAATATTTTGTACCCCATATGATACTTGTTGGACCTCCAGATGTGAGGCTCAAGGGCAAACTCGAAGAAAAGGCTGTCCATGACTGGTGATTGCAACGCGCGTTGGTCAGCAGATGATAATGCCCCTGAAGAAGCCGTGTCATAACTGACTTACATTCAAGGTGATAAATGCCAAACCCAGTAAGGATCTACCGGCACGAGCGTCTCGTCAGTATACGTTCTGGCAAATCTCTTGCAGGGAGAGGGAATTCATTCACATTCGGGAGAATTTCTTCGCCGGCTGGGTCAAGCCAGCAAACTCCATCTCTGATCCAGGATGTACCTTGACCACGTCAAAAGGAGCTAAGGAAAGGGAATAGGATACAGTGATGAAGGTAAGGAATTGAAGAGAAAAATATCCGTCTAGAATGAGAACACATCGCTCCCTGGGATAAGATGTCCGTAGAGCTCACTTTATAGCTGGATGGCCGCGCCACCCTCTAAAATTGGCTTATCTGCCCGAAGTCTCACGTCAAATGCCACGGGGAGCAACGGAACTCTCGTGAGAAGGACATGAGGCGTGAATCGTAGCGTCTAGAGATAATCATTCACAGCCCATTTCCAGCCAAGTCGCCTCAAACAGCCGATATTCTTTCCCGAATGAATTGCATTGCCCATTCTCCCCCAGATAAACCTTACCCCATGCATCCACTCCAACCAATGCGCGGTTGACCCGCGCTTATCTGTATCCGTGAACTGAATTAGGTGGGTCTTCCCCACTCATGCAATCCTTCGGTGCGGGGATAAGGTTCATAGGACCCACTTGGGCATTGGTCTCGGCGCAAGAATCTTGGAAATTCAACGTTTGGCTCTTTGGCCAACCGTGCAGACTACCTAGATAGAGTATTACGGATGCTCACCTGGGCAGTTCCTGTCATGCCACTTAAGGTACTCACTCTCTTATTGACGGGTGAGGAATGGCTGCAATCCTCTACTTGCATAATCACTTATTGGTTTCACTAATGCTTCCATCACAATTTTGGCATATTCCTCGTCGAAGATAATGTACATAGCAGTGGAGACGCTCATTGCTGTCTCATTTTCCAGTGACCGTTTCTCTCTCTGACTTCTGTCACAATTAGTCCTATCTCCTCAAAGTCGCTCTCCCAATCTCGACAAATGACATACGAGAATTCCAGCCTCAACTGCCATAGAGATTCTAGTCATGGACACCTATACTGGTTGGTTTAAGCCTAACAGAGCATGAATCGAAACCCTTGTGCCTCCATCGCGCGAGGTACGCAATATGGCCCTTGTTCCTGTAAGTCCTGACGGGACCAAATCAGCTGCAGTAGTCGCTCGGTCTGTCGATGATTTTCAAACCCGTACTTTTGTACTACAGCACCTAGGTACCGTAGGATAAACGCTTGGTCAGCGGGAGACTTCACACACGGTGCCACTGTTGCAAGAGGCCAAGCTAGCACTGTGGTTGTGCTGGACTGAACCGGAATGTTTCGAAGTAGACTAACGATATTTGCCACAAGCACCTCCGTTTCCGGATTGTCAGAGGTTCCGGGATCGGCTTGCGACAGGAGGACTAAGAGAGCCTTTTGGTAGACGCGCGCGATCGCTGAATTTTCCTTATCCGCACCCTCTGGCACCCAAGATTGGATGTAGTTGTAAAGAATGTGGTGTTCGTGAAGAGTTTGGACAGAGGAGCCAGCTTCACTAGTAAACTCATCGTATAGACGACGCGATACCTCTGTTGCTTTCGGTATCGTACGAAACATCTGGGGGGCACACCCACATAGAACGCCCGTTGCAGGGACAGCGTTGTTGACTAAGGTTTGGAACGCGAACTCAATGTCCCCTTCAATCATATCTGGAGACTCCATCGAGCTAGTGGGCAGGAGCGACAGAATGTATAGGTAATGTTCCGCTAGGAAGCCGAGCAATTGAGAATCCTTGCAGTAGGCAAAGGCTCCTGAAACTAATTCACGACACGCCTGGAGATGACAGAAAGCATGACCGTCGGAGTCTGATTTGGAAACCTAAACAAACGGGATAAGTAGACGCTCACCTGGATCGAAACTCCGGCAAGTGTCATTCTGCTTACCTCTAAGGATATCAATAGAAGCACAGTGGCGAGCAGCTCCGTCCCTCGATCAGCTTGATGCTCGACATGGAGCGTGAGTGCATGTTTTAAACTGCGAATTGCCTGGGCATAATGCTCCCACGTGGCTTGGGCAAAGGAAGCAGAATGCTGCTGTTGATACATTACTCCGCTAAAGGCAATCATCGCCTGGAAGACAATGTCGCTGGCAGCGGCCAAGGGCATAAGAACATGAATGAAAGGATTTCCTAACCCATCCTTGATTGACAATGTCTGTGCTGCCCTAGAGTAGAAGAATGAATAGAGAAAGTTTGTCTTCGCGTTGGCGAGCTGTGGATGAAGCGCAGGCGCCACACATAGCGCCACATTTTCCGGATTTGCGCTCTTTGAGGCTGGAACAAGTCGTGTCGGCTGTTGACTTGTTCTGGAGACTCTGTCGTCCGAGTTATGGGGCCTGCTTGTGTGCGACCCCGAGTCCCATGCGCAGAGGAGGACATTACGAGCACAAGCCACACAGGTTGGCTTCCGCTCGTCGCATTTCTTTCGGCGCAGCTTGCAGGGGATGCAGCCCGTGCTCCGTCGGCGAGGCATCAGGTGTACGTAGTATAGCAGATTTGATCGCCGTCAAACCAAAGAACCTTCAGTCTTCCTCGAGGGCTGTCGCTCAAGATTATATCCCTAATGCTGGGCTGACTGGCGGACACGATTACGAGTCATCGGTGTCTTCCTTTGTCTTCCCGGGAGGATCACGCGGGGCTTGAAATCAAAAGCTCTGGCGCCACCTACTTACTAATTGTAGTCGGGAAAACAGTGTGGCTGTACATAACCAGTTCTTTGAACAAGAAAGTGCATTCAATTCAGACTACCAAGGGAAAAGAAGAAAGGATTGGTGAGTTTCGAGTATGGGGAAAGTGGATGACGTTCAGAAGCTGCAAACATTCCAAACACTCCACAACCTTATCAACCAAAGGCGGGGGAAAGGACAGAACCGACGGACTGGATTCAATCGTAACGGTGAATCATTCGGCTGTTAATGTATATAAAGGGCGATATTTTACAACCTAATATATCAACAATAAGCTAGGATAAGTCCTTGTTATATGTGTTGGTTTCGTCAAAGGCGCTTCGCTTCTTAGGAGCACGTATCCTCCGATAGGGGAATTCAGAAAGTCAGATCTTGTATACTGTAGATGTATGTACGAGTCCATAGCACCTATACTCCGCCGTACACGAGAACTCTATACAACATGTGTAGTGATAAATATTCGTTTTACTTAACCTGTCCATGAGGATGCCTCGAGTCCATCAAGTCTCTCCAAATGCCAAAACATTTGAAAGCCTACATTGAATACGAAGAGAACTCCCATTCTAGGGGCAACAGACTAGAGCTATTTTTTTGATATACGAGAAGCAAGTTCGACAGATTATTTATTGCACCGGGTAGTCAAATTAAAAAGTTGAATATTCCCCTGCTCTCACTGTCGTCTCACATATCGGGGATAACACCCTTCATTGGGGGGCCGGTCTCGATCTCCTCGTAGTCGTCGAGTTCAAGGAGAGCCTCTTTCAAGATCGAGATGCCTCGGCGTAGATCTGCTTCTGGGATGTTCAACGCCACGCCCATCCGCACGCGATCTCCATCTGGGTAGGTGAGAATACCCTTGTGGAGAGACAGCATGCTGAGTCGTCGGGTGGTGAGCCTCGGGTTACCAGTACGTTTCAAGTAGAGGCCTAGGTCAGCGCCCCGGTTGGTGACATAGTCGAGCCACGGCATGTTCCAGTCGGCCGTTTCTTTCTTCCAAACCTGCCCAATCCAGGTGGCGCGGTCGACGAGTTTCTCCTCGTCGATGATCTTCAGCGTCGCACGAGTGGCAGCAATAGCTGCCGGCGCCATACCAAAAGTCGCTACTGATTCGTAGCCGCCCACGAGATCCATCACCTCGTTGTTGCCGAAGATGTATGAGGCTGGATAAGCTCCTCCTGTGATGGACTTCCCCATGACAACCAAATCGGGCTTGTTCTCCAGCCCCATCCAGTCAGAACAGAGGAACTTTCCCGTCTTGCCCGTCCCCATTCGCACCTCGTCAGCAATGAAGAGGATATTGTACTTCTTGCAGAGCTGGCGCACGCCGATCACAAAGTTGAGTTCCTCCTCGAAGGATCTACGCCGCTTTGTGTTAGCTTATTGAAATGAAGAATGCATAGCATTCTGGATTAAAACAGTTTTTGAGAATCATGGAATAAAAACTTACGGTCTCTTTCCATGGATACACTCCATGATTATCGCCGCCACATGCCCGTGGACGTCAGCGAGGACTTCCTCAAAGTCCTCCAGATGACCATACCGCAGGAGCTTTCCGGTTGCGGGATTGGTATTGCGGAGATTTTTGTTTGCGATGCCGTAATCTTCAAGGAACAGAGATGGCCAATAGTTAGTTCTGCTGCTAAAAGATGGGTACTCAAAAACAGGGACGAAGAACGAAAAGGTAGCACAGACCTGATGACTGGCCCATATCATTCATTATGGGCCAAATTCCGGAGCCAACGCCGTGATAGTTATCCGAAACCCCGAGCACAAGGACATCGTGCGGCGAAATGCCCTTGACTTTAATGCCCCATTTTCGAGCAAATTTGACGGCCGCATCGGCACCTTCAGTCCCCGAAACCATTCCTACCATCTTGTCGTAGCCGAACCGCTTGCACATATCCCGAGTGAACTCAGCCCAATCGCCGACTTTGGTGGCGATGTTGGTGAGAGTGACTTATTGTTGGCAATTTCAGCACAGTCCAGTTACTTTGAGGGACTCTGGCTAGGACATGTGGACCAAAGGGCAAGCACTTACTGTTCTGCATAGAAATAGTCATTTCTTTGACCAGTTCCGGGTGACATTGGCCCAAATTAGTCGCACTCAACATGCAGATAAAGTCGATGATCTCCTTTCCATCGACGTCCTGGTAGTTCGATTTTAGCTTCACCGATATGACACGCCCAGGAAGGGGCGGCGAGGGGGCCGGGCACTTACCTTCAATATAGAGCCTTTGCCGCTCTTGATGAAGACTGGGAGGGGGAAGACCCCTCCGGCAGAGTGCTTGCTGTCGATCTCAAGGAGCTGTTTTGTTTTGGAAGACAGTCGCACAACTTTACCTTCATTCTGCCGTCCTTGGGCCATGATGTCCACGGATGAGATTCTGCTCGTCTAGAGCAGGAGACTTTATAACAATCGTAAACTAACCAACTAGCTATACAGACGAGTCTGTTGTGGATAGAGTAGGGAAAGATGAGGGAGGAAGGGGTCTAGGGAAACGGGGGAATATATAACCTGTATTAGATATCCCGCGGCTTCCCACCGGTCTATCTTTCTTTGTGACTTCATCAATCAATGCTTCCAATCGGAAATGGCTCGCTCGGCATTACATTCCTCATTTAGACGGAGGCATATTCTTTCCGACTTCTTGGCGTTATCAGTCTGCCTGGGCAGCTGAGCTTAGTTATGGATCCGAGAAGTGCCACACTGAGGGTACCCTGTATGGAACAACAACAGAGTGGGTGAGTCTTTTTTTTTCCCGATGATGATGCCATGGGTAGCAAGGTGGATGTACTTTGATAAGCGCGGGTATCCCGCTGATTGGCTGCCACAGTGGGGACAATTAGGGTTAGGTTTGGCGCTAGCGGCGCCGATCCGGGGCCGCGGCTTACGATGAGAACCTTCCAAGGTTCCTTCCAAGTTTGGAATCAAAAGGCCCCCGGGGCCTAAGTCGGCAGATATTCACACGCCCGACTGACAGCTCACTCGTTAACCACAGTCACTGGCGTTTCCCCCGTTCTACCCCTCACAAATTGTCGGATCGAGCGCGGGGGAACCATACTGATACGTAAAATAGTGCAGCCGGAGCAGGAGGTCCGGCAGTGGGCACGGGAAATGAGACCGGAGAATGAGTGACCAAATCTGTTGAGGCTTTGCCAATTGGTCATTCGAGGTAGTTCACGCTCGGCTGTTTGAGTTCGCAGGATGTACCGTCTTTCCGGAGCGCATTCCCTATAAATCTAAGTGATTATTGATCTTCGGATATCCCGCGATATTCTGACGCTTTTCTCAAAGGGATCTCTAATAACTGCAATTCTTCCTCCTGTGGAATTGCTTATTTATTTCTCTTGATATCATTCCCTTCGATATTTTTCTCATTACATTTACGTTCTTGTCTCATTTTCAGTCGTCTTGCAACGTTACCTTTCTGCTACGATGAGTACTACAACGGCTGGTCTGGATTTCACAGTAAATATACTACCCCTCCTGTTCCTTGCCCTCTCTCCCCTTTTTACTCGTCTTTTGCTTATATAAATGCACAGTCAAGATGAGGTGGGCTAAAAATTTTTCTAGAACTTTCACAACATCATCAATGGAGAACTGATCTCCACTGCTGTGACTCAGAATGGCATTAACCCGGCCAACAAAAAGCCAAACTCCCCGGTCCCTGTTGCGAGTCACGCCGACCTTGACAAGGCTGTCACAGCGGCTCAAGTTGCCTTCGAACAGTGGTCACGATATCCACTCGAAGATAGACGTAGAGCTCTCTTTGCGTACTCGGATGCACTTAACGCCGAGAAGGAAGCGTTCACCAGTCTGCTCACAAAAGAACAAGGCAAACCTCTCTCCCAAGCGGCTGTTGAAGTCGACATGGCGGTAGCATGGATCAAGGGTCTGGCGAGCTTGGAGCTGCCCGAGGTCGTGCTTGAAGATACACCTGAACGAAAGATTGTTCAGCGATTCACTCCGATCGGTGTGTCGGCCGCAATTGTACCGTGGAACTTTCCAGTGCTCCTGGCTATTGGGAAAATTGTATCGGCACTGATCACCGGTAACAGTATTATTGTTAAGCCGTCTCCTTTTACTCCATATACGGCCCTCAAATTAGCTGAATTGGCAATCCCCTTCTTCCCTAAGGGTCTTTTCCAAGCTCTCAGCGGGGATGACCAACTCGGCCCCTGGATTACTATGCACCCGGGAATCCGAAAGATCAGCTTCACCGGCTCGACATTGACGGGGAAACGAGTTAGTGCCGCGTGTGCCCAGAATCTCAAGCGATGTACCCTCGAGCTAGGAGGCAACGATGCCGCTATCGTATGCGAAGATGTGGATCTTGACGCCTTGATTCCGAAGGTAGGCGCATGGGCTCCACGAGATCTCGTGCCAGCAGCAGCTAACTTGAATACATTTCTAGATCGCCCCACTCTGTTTTCTGAACTCTAGTCAGGTGTGCATGATGATTAAACGCGTCTATGTGCATGAGAGTATCTATGAGTTATTCCGAGACAGACTTGTCGCCCATGTCAAAACTCTGCCAGTCGGCGACGGAGCCCAGCCAGATGTGTTTTTCGGGCCGCTTCAGAATGAGATGCAATACCACAAAGCTTTGGATTTGCTCAACTCCATCTCTACGGAAGGACTTCGTCTAGCGCTCGGGGGCACAGTCAATGAGTCGGGTGGATACTTTATTCATCCGACGATTATCGACAACCCCCCCCGATACCGCCCGTGTCGTCGTCGAAGAACCGTTTGCTCCTCTTCTGCCGCTGATGAAATGGACCACGGAGGAAGAGGTCATCGCCCGCGCGAATGCCGGTCCGACCGGCCTTGGCGGTTCGGTCTGGGGTAGAGATCTCAACCGAGCCCAGCGTCTCGCAGCTCGCCTCGAGTGCGGCTCTATCTGGGTAAATTCTCACTTCGCCGTCGCGCCCCATGTCCCATTTGGCGGTTGCAAGGAAAGCGGGACCGGTGTTGAATGGGGAGTGGATGGACTTAAGGCCTACTGCAATTCCCAGACCGTTTGGGTTTTCAAAAATGACTGAAGTTTGTATTGCCATGTTTCTCTGTGTGTTATCGTCTGTAGCCGGCGTTAGATTCTCATTCTATTTACTGAACGGCGGCTAGGGACAACCACCTACTAGGTTGCAATAACGCGTATGCCATTTTCATTGGTCCTCTTTCCGCTATAATGTTAATATTACGGCACGAACGGCCAGCCTCTAGTCGCGTAAAATCATTGTTCATATAATACGCAAGTGTAATCACACTTAGAGTGGCTGGCTGAAAATTTGAAGCGCGGCGTATGGCTGACACAGTAACACAGTACCCAGGTTTCATATCCAATAGATTGAGATACTTGATTGACTTGATCGGCATGATATGGGCTTATGGGCTCATTCTTAGAAAGTGTTAGTTTGCGAGGTGAGCTAGACTAGAATCGACACTGGTAACGAATGAGACACGCACATGACAGAATCCATAGATATAAAGTAAATATTCTTGCCAGGATTATCTTTATATAGCGTAAGCATAGCCTCCGGTGTGATAACTAACGGGATATCCTTGGTAAGACTGATTTAACGGACTGGCTACATGATATTGCGAAGCTGTAAAGCCAACTTGCCATATGGAATTGCGGCGAAGGAAGGGAGGCCGCGAAAGGTAAATGGGATGGACAAGGTCAAGTACATCGGGGTGATGCAAAGGGAAGCTACTCGAGATCCCTACCTACCTAGGTAGTTACGTAGGAACGGAAGGAGCGATTGATGTTGGAGCTTGGTCGGTATACACATCACTTGGGAAGGAGCTTCCAAGGTTGTTAGCAGATACTTCATAGTTAATGGTCTAGAAATATAAGGACATTTATAGACATAGCAGGTCGCTTGCTATTGCATTGGAATCTAAATGTAAATCAGAACAGATCATCTTGATTTGGCAGACAGCAGACTTGACTGAATTGCTTGTGAATTAATTAATTAATTCTTCCATGAATCTATATCTGCTCCATCCCTTTTCTTGGTGTTTTGGAACCCCCGTTCGGTCTTAGCTATAGTTGGCACTGAAACATCATCTTTGATCAACCGAGCAAGTCCACTGCGCTGTTTCGGACAATTTTAGGGCCCAGGACTGCGGCCAACTCGGCGATGATTCCCTTGATAGACATTGGCGAAGTCATTGACATGGTTTCCCATTTGACCAGATCCTAGTTAAATTTAGTAAAGACGTCCCTCTTGCTCAAGGTTCGAGAAAAGATAAATGCATACCTTCATGTGAACATAGTTGTCGTTGAAGAACAGCAGCCAATGATCTAGGTCCAGTGCTTCCACTTGGGGGACAGTAAGTACACCGGGCATGCCAATATCAAAGAGGGAAACCTCCTCTAGATCGACGTCAATTTCCGGGGCCAGAGGCGCAGGGGAGGATGCTCGGTCCCGAGACATAGAGACATAGGAACGGGAATTAAGCTTCTCCGTCAATTCGCCATCAAGAGGGTCCCAGTCGCAGGATTCAGGGTCTGAGTAACAGATAAAACGGTCAGATGTCGTGCACAACTTTTCACGTAGTACAAATGAAATAAATTAAGACTGAGACACGAGTGGAACCTACCAAGGATGTACTGGGGGCGGAAATTGGCCTTGTAGCGCATCTTCTGGCAGGAGTGAATGTAGTACCCTATATTTTGATTGTTAGAGGCGTACCAAACTAGGGACCAGTTCCACAATTGCGACCTACCCATGTAGTAGTACATGTACTGATTCTCGATTGCGAAGGCAATTTCACGCATGGCGCTCAGCTTGCCGATCTCCCATTGCTCATAGGCAGGATCGTAGCTGTGTGGTACTGAATATCAGCTTATCATATATTTTGCTGGTTGGAGTGCAGTCAGCATCAGCTTACAAGACATAGACGGAGCTGACGCCGCTGGGGACCAAGTCCAATACTGCAACAGCAATGAGCTCGCCATCCAGACGATAGCACTGATGCCAAGAACCGAGTTTCTTCTCGGAAGCGTTGGTAGCAGTTAGGGGATTCGGAGTTCGCTTGATGCCTGAGCATAAGAAGCGTTGAAAGTCCTTGGGTTTCCAGTGAGAGACATCCTCTTTATGGATGGCCGTTTGGTACTTGAGGAACAGCTGGAACTTTGCCTGAGACACAGAGTCACCTTCAATAGTGACTTCAAAGCGGTGCGCTGGTTCGATAGGAAGCTTGGTAGCAGGGTCAATGGGCCGTTTGATGTGGTCGTACTCGCTCTGGTGGACAGCTGACAGGAGGTCGAAGTTGCACTTGCGGTGCTTTTTCTCTCTGTGCGTTGATTAGCAATAAGCATATAATCTGATATCAAATTGGCAGATATAGAGTTGCATACTCGCGGGTTCGCGGACAAAGCCGGGCTGCCTTTCGCATATACTCGGGACCTAGAATGAACTTGTTCCACTTGTTGATGGCCTTGCGCTGATCTCGGCGGGGCCGATAAGCGGATGCCTCTAGTCTCAGCGTGTAGTGAGGACAACAAGACCGAAGCAGGTTTTGTTTGTAATAGAGGTTTCCCGATCTGAGGATGTCAGTATGGTCTGATGGAGCACAGGGAAATTAAACCTGGGGGCAATCATACCGCCTCCACCCGCCATTGATCAGCTCGTCATAATGTTCCGGGAGTACGGACGTAGAGCTGGTGTAGTACGATGCACCTTTTACGTGTCAGCATCCCTGCCTAACTTGCTAGCCCTGAAAAAAAAAGTAAAAAAGGACCAAACACAGCAGGGGTAGGGGGCAACAAACTTCCATCTTTGGACTTGCAGTAACCACACGAGTTCTTTTGGTAACCTGAGAGGATCACAACGCATTAGTCTCTGCATGAGAGGGGGTTGGACGATCAAAGAGCATTGGGCGTTGACACCCCCGCCAAATTCCCCGAAGTGGTAGCGCCCTGGGCCAGTGGAAGCGCCACGGGGTAACAGAAGCCTATCTCAGTGGTTCCCTGCAGGAGAGTGGGACGTACCTAGTGGGCGGAACAGCGACAGCTTTCGCGCGCGTTCGGCGTCAACTTGTTGCATGTTTAGATTGGATATGTGTTGGCGGGCACTGGCGTGCACTGGCGAGTGGATGTGAGTTGTAGGAGAAAGTCAAAGGTGAAGTCGGAAAAGCCGGGGTTAATGTAGTAAATATTGTATCTCTACGGCAAGGGGAATATACGGTTTATGTGTACTTATGTATAACATACAACATACATAGTTACTTCTATAGCTTTTCAACTGTATGTATCTTATGTCTCAAGCCACAAGGCCGATCCTGTTGTTTCTGGTCGAATCGCCCGAGTTTTCCCCCTTCTCGGTACCAGCAAATCCCGTAGGTTTTAAAGAGGCTCATTAACCGACGCACATTTAGACGTATGAGGTTGAATTATAGGAATAGTATTTGTAGATTACTGTAGAGTATAGTAAATTGTAATAAAATATAGTAAAACATAGCACAATACAGTCGATAATACCAAATATAGAATCATCTCAACTCCTTCGATCTAGTCACATGACCATATATAGAGTGGAAAAGGAGAGAAGTCAAGGTCATTGAACTGCTTGTTCTCACTTTAGAATGACTCTAATGACTCTAGTGATTATAGTATACGATGTAACAAAGACAATTAATGTAAATATGCAAAGAAGAAAGGAAAATAGTAAAAACGTGAAGGGAAAAAAAAAAGAAACGTACCTTGACTCTTCTCCCGGACTGCGCCGCCGTGCCCCTCCATTCCCACTTCTCATCTTTTCTCCATTCCTCAATAACCTCCCATTTCTCAGTTCTTCTTTTGAAAACCATGCCTATTTTCACTTACCATTCTAATCCCCCGTCAGGCATGAACGGGAAGACCTGATCTCCATTGCCTACCTCCGCAATATCCTAAAGGAAAAAAAAAATTTCCCTCCCCGACCGCCCTCGCGCTGTACTCCCGCTCATCTACCACCGAGACACCGGGAGCTTCTTCTCTCACCTCAGAGACCTAACAGGCTCCGAGGGAGCTTGCGAGAGCATCATCTATTGGCTTTCCCTTGACCTTTTTTTGACATCCTTGGCCTTTACACTCTTTTTTTCTCTCTTTCTTCATTTCCCGGGACTTTTCAACCCCACCAAATCCTGGAGTAAAACCAAGGATATTCGATTGTCTATTACAATGGCGCAAATACGGTCTATGGAAGCCCGCGTTGGGCGGAAAAACCAACGTGAGTTATTGCTGAGGTCGCTTTGCGGCTGCGCACGTGGGGGGAACCCGTCCCCCTTACGTCTACACTGTCCCCGTGTTTCCTGACTCTAACGGCTTGTCCTAGGCTACGGCTCAAAAGGCGAGCGACTGGTAGCCGGCGTTGTCCCTATTTCCGCCGACAAGACCAAAGTCCTCATGATTCAGTCCGCGGGACCCGGAGGTTGGGTGCTCCCCAAGGGTGGATGGGAGCTCGATGAAAAAACCGCCGAGCAGGCTGCATGCCGTGAGGCCTGGGAGGAAGCCGGTGTCGTCTGCATCGTGATCAGAGATCTCGGACTCATCCCGGATATGAGACCTTCCGGCCTTCTTACGGCGCAAGCGCCCAAAGCGTCATACCAGTTCTTTGAAGTCACCGTCGAGCGAGAGGAAACCGAGTGGCCCGAGATGCACAAGCGGAAACGACAGTGGGTTCCGTATGCACAGGCTGCCACTGCCCTCGCGAATCGTCCCGAGTTGCTTGAAGCATTGAATCGCAGCTCATTGAAGCGGTAGCCCCTATCGTATGCACATCCAGTTCTCTCGCACATCGAATACTCTCCCCTCATCATTCTTCAACATATACGTGCTCACTACTATGAGAGAACACTCCCTGATAACGACTCGACATGACCAACTCCAAAAAAAAAGGTGGCTTCGTCGCTTCTACTATTGGCTTTGTCTACCTCTTACCCTTTCACCCCCTTTTTTTTGCATCTTTGACGGGCTGCCGCTACCCGTCTGCTGATTCATTTGCGAATGAACCGTTTGAGCCTGTGTTTTGCTCTGTCTCCCTCTGATAGACGC